TATTATATACCTATAGTGCGCAAGCGTATTAAGACTGCTTTATACTAGCAGTGCGCAAGAAAGAGTTGTTCTAGGGGCATATCTTTTAATAGTCTTTTTAGTTCGACTATTGTTCTCTAGGTAGCTTTAGTCGGTACCTAGTTTCTAACTCTTTAAGTTCGCTAGTGTTACACGCTTAATAATGCCTGTTCTACACACACTTCGGTGTTGTAGTTAGTAATAGAATGCGTTAATAGCTAGCGAGAGAGCAAGCTTATAGGCAATGTGTGCTTCTAGTATACTTCTTATAGTATACTCCTAGTAGGCCCTTAAACCGCTAGTTATATTAGATCCCTATAAACGCTATTGTTTATTTTCTCTGCCTTGCATAGTAACTAAGGCCTCTAGTTTTAGGGAGAGGTAGGCAAAGGAGGGCGAGGACGTAAGAGGTCGCTTCGGCGATTCTCGAAGAGATGCTATTTATAGCGCTCGTTATACGTTATCGCCCTACGCTTCTATTCTACCGTACATGTTGTAGTGCCTGCTAACTAGTATATAGTACGATAAGTATAGTATTAGCTTCTAGGCTTTGTCGGTCTTCTCGAAATAGGACTTCTCGAAATAAGGCCTTCGGTATGCCTAAGGCTACGGTCGTCGTTATCGTATTAGACACTTTTGTTAGCGCTATTTGCTAGAAATGCGCTCAATCGACTCGGTCTAGCGTTATAGCGGCGGTATTGTTGTTTAGAAAGCATCGTAAATTCGAGGAAGGAGATTTAGATAGAGGAAGCCTCGACAGCCCGCTAAGGCTCGGATTTACTATAGTATAATATCCGATTAGCGGGATTAGGCTAGCTTTAAGATCGCGATTTCCTCTTACGCATCCATTAACTTTAGCTATATACCGATATCGATAAAGAATATAATAAAGAGCGTAACGGTGCTAAAAACGCGAGAAATATATACTATACTATATGCTATCTTAAAGGTCTACTATCTAGTCTACTGTCTACCGCGAAGTCCTGCTAAACAACCGCTAAATTAACGCTAAAACACGCGATTTCCGACCTACCGACGGTCTACGTATCTCTGTACTATATCTACTACCTACTCGGCAGATACTACGATAGGATATTGTCGTCGATATTACTGCTACGGCTGCTTGCTGCACTTAAGCTTCTCGTACGAGCGCCCTCGCTATATAGACCCTTAGTAGCTGCAGGAATGCGAATGTTACGACTACTACGACGACTAATATAAGCCTGTATTAACTGCTTAGTCGCCTCCTCTACTATAATATCGTCTTCTTCTTTAATAGGTAGAGCGGCAGGGCTAGCGGTAGTAGAGGCAGATCGACTAGGGCCTAGCTAAGCACTACGGCGCGTACGCTTTCGAGCAGATAGTACATCGGAAGGCCTAGTAGGATCGGAGACCGTAGGGCTATCGGACGGAGGGTTAGAAGGAGCCGCTATAGCAGGTGTCTGCTAAGTCTGCTGCTAAGTCTGCTGCTAAGTCTGCTGCTAAGTTTGCTAAGCTAGGCCGTGCTATATACCGGACTAGCGTATAGTATTCGCGAAGGCAGATCGTCTTAAGGAGTTATTTAGGTTACGCTAGTCGGCCTCTATCTGCTATAGAGTCCTATAGGTTACTAGACGTAGATCTGCTAAGCTACCTTTAGCTCCCTATTCTTCTGCCGCCTGTCTAGTAGTAGTAGTATCTTTAATAGCCTTCGTAGCAGCCTCCTGCTTCGCTTTCTATTCCGCCTTATAGGCCTCCTAATTAGTATATACATCTTCGGCTATACTAATAACAGTAGTAAGCAGCTCGTCGAGATTAGTATCCTTATACTGCTACTTATTTAATTCTAGTGCGACTTGTAACAGCCTATCTCTATCGATATTTAAATCCTCCTAGATCTCGTACGACCGAGTAAGAAGGAAGACCTCTAACACAGACTATATTAGCCTATCCTTTATATATATGCCGGCTAGTATGCGGAACAAGCGGTTCTTACGTAGGTGTAGGGCATCTACTTTCTTTAAGCACTACTCCTTAATACGCTTAAGTGTATAGCTTAGCCTCGTGCCCTTACCTAGTAGGTTGACTAGCTTAATACGCTTAACTAGTAGTTCAGGTAGATCGGCTATTAGTTCTGTATTGTAGAAGTTATAGCAGTCTCTCTAATCTATTTAGCTAAGTAGATACGGAAACTAGGTTAAGTGCTCGCTATAGTACTTATTTATTACTACGCGAAAGCAGCGACTAGGAATCTTAAGGTAATCGTTTAGTGTATCTAAGAAGACCTTCGGGATATTCTTACGGCTCTCTAGCTTAGACGTATTCTATATATTACTTTCCTTAGATTTTCCTCGCCTACGGCTACTAGCGGCACTATCTCTAGTATCGGTATTAGCGTTACTATATACATTATCCTAATCGCTCGTACCGCCGACATCCTCGCTAGGAAGCTCTTATCGCAACCTGCTCGGTCCGGTAGTATATACGCTACGGCCTCTACTACGAGTACCTCTACCGCGAGTACCTTTACCGCGACCGCTACGACTACGACTACGACTACGACCGCTAGACTACGACTGCGCCTATACCTATACCTACGCTAGTAGAAGGATAGAAAGCATGCTAGCGCCTTCTAGCATACGCTTAATATAGTCTCCGCTATAGTATAGGACGAAGAAGAACGCCCGAGGCCGGTAGAAGTGTAGCTTATTAAAGAAGCCCTGCGAATTTAGAAGCGCTAGTCGTCGAGCAATGCGTCTAAGTCGCTACTAAAGGTCTCCTAGGTTGCGAGTAATATTGAACTTCTACTAGTATATATCCGCGATATTAGGCACATCTAATCTAATGCTTGCTACGGTAGTAGCTACTATATATCGAATGTTAGAGTCTAGCTTATAATACTTATTATATCGATCGTCCTAGTCTAGCTTTAGTACCCTCGCAGTATAGAAGGAGATAGTACGGGTAACATTAATACCTAGACCTACGCCTAGGCTATACTAATACTTCTTAGTTAGATCCGGATTATCCTTAGTTAGATATAATAACTAGCTACGGGCGATATCGACGAAATTAGCGATATATTTATAGCCGTTAATAAATACTAGAGACTTGCGTATATTCTATAGCGTAGTAGATCCCTTCTTAATATCCTTGTCCTCGCTATTAGGAGTTAGTAGATAGGAGACCGCATTATTAATTACTATATATAGCATATCGTAGTTAGTAAGATGCTCTCTCGGGATAAACTTAATAATATACGTAATCTCTAGTCGATCGATACTACTACGGATAATCTTAGTCTCGTATAGATTAGGGCCTTTATCGCGTATGCTAGCATACTTTATCGCATACTTAGTGCACTCTTTATCTATAGTAGCCGATGTTAATAGCGTACTAGTATCGATACGTAGGCGATTACGCATTTAACCGACCTGCGAGTATTCGTTACGGAAACTAGAAGGCTCGCCCTAGTTATAGATTAGGTGCGCCTTATCGATAATAAGTAGACTAATACGCTCGCGGACCTCTAGTTCGTTTAGTAACGAAAGGAATTGCGGAGATGCTACCTATTCTAGACTAAGCAGGAGGTGCTAGACCTTACCTTTTAGAATATTCTTAAACATGCCTAGGTCGATCTTCTTAGTATCGGTAGAGATATATACTAAATAGACGAGGCTACTAGTATTGCTAGCTATATGCTCGATAGCTGCTGCTTGTTCGGCACCTAAGCGGTTTAATAGAACAACTTAAATAGTAATTATACTAGTTAGCATTATAAAGCCCTAGAGTAGCAAACTCTTTCCCTCGCCTATACGAGCAATAAATAGGACATTATTCTAGCTATAGATAAGTGCGTATATTACTATCTTCTGCGGTAGAGTTAGTATGTATTCTATACTAGGGTGCTTGAAATCGAGGAGTTTAGTTAAGCCTTTCTCGATAATTTCCGCCTAGTACTAGACAGTCTCTTTAAACTAGCCTACTTACTATACTAGTTCTTATATACGCGCGAGTAAGGTATCTAGATCCGTAATCTTCTCGATGCGTCGCTAGAAGTGCCGCGGCTAGTCTGATTTTAATTAAGGTAGCTTTATCGGCTTAATACCGAAGTCTAGACGCATACGCGTAATAGCGGAACGACCTAGCAATAGTGCTTAATATAGCTCTTAGCGCTCGAGTCGCTGCTTCTTCTAGCGCGCAGCCTTCTTATTCTCGCGCTACTTACGGCGCTGCTTTTTAGACGCTATGCTAGACGCTAGGTACTAGATACTAGACGCTAGGTGCTAATACTAGATACTAGATACTAGATGCTAGATGCTAGATGCTAGGTACTAGCTAGTGTTCGAGTCGGCGATGTCGTTAGTTTAGCGCTAATCGAGTACTAAAGGAATAGAAAAGTTAGCGAGTAGCGGCGGCAGCGAGGTCGAATTTAAACCCTGTTTCAAGGACATACGGACCTTCGGCGGAGCCTATATAACACTCAAACTTTGCAACTACGTACTACGTTTATCGAGATTAGGCTACGGGTTAAAGTTCTAAGTGCTAGAGGCTAAAGAGCTAGTTTGCCCTCTAGACTAAGCAGGCTATATAGGTTAAAATATAGAATAGATAGACACGCGGAGGTTGTAGAGGGCACTAGAAAGGTAGACCTCTAATGCTTTATTGTTACGGCTAGGTATTATTTATTTAAAAGTGAATTATATAGGGGTAGGCAAACGAGTTAGGCGAGACTAGCAATTCACGTTTCCTAATTATAATTCTCAAATTTGTAAAGCAATAGTATTATTAGAATACGCAGTTATCTTGTTAGTATAATTATCTAGGAACCGTCTCTATTATATACTATACTACGAGTACTAGTTGTTGCGGTATTCGAGCTATAATGCCTGCGCTAGTAGGTAGTTAGTCGAAGCTGCACCCGCCCTGAACGGTTTAGCCTTAGGCGCTTCGCTAGAATGAGATCTCGAATAGCGCTAAACCTAATGTGGTATAGTATAGAAATGGAAGTCACGAGCAGCACACATACGAATTCAACCACGAAGCGCCTGAATGGAGGTAGGCATATTCAGAGTCCTCAGATCCCAACGCATGCTTTTAAATGCCCTCAGACGCACTTGGATGGAAGGTTCAGGCCATATCAATCATTCAAGTTCAATCATTGACTTCGTTACGAGGGCTGGCAGATTTGAGGGCCTCGGGAAGCCGGTGCATACCGACAGACGTGCAACGCTGGGACATCCACTCGGATGCAGGCGGGTGGTGTTTCAGGATCATATGTTGACTCGAATGGTTTGGCTACGCTCTTACAAAGATCCAAGCCTATAGGAAAGTCTGTACCGTTCGTGGAGTGCATTCGAGGGCTAATGTCTTGAATTTTCGATTGGGCTTTGCAGGCGAAGCTGGAAACACCATAGACCTCTGCGCCTCGGATGACACCGATGCAAGTGCGAGAATCTGGGATGAACATGAATGAGCCGGCACACTCACTGCACTGCTCAAAGTCTTGTTGAAGGACTGCTCGGATTCGGCCTGTAACCTGAACGAGGAGGACTGCAATCTACCTCTCAAGTTAGGCGCTTCTCCTTCGAGTGTGGTCTTGAGCCATAGCAACTGCGTGCCATGAGTCTATTGTTTTGATACATTTCTGTCCCAAAAGTGCCTATCCCTCTTCAATTTCCACCTCGACATCAACACTTCCCATTCGCCATTACTACTCGTCAAACCCGTCTATTACTTTAAGCGGCTCATCCAAGAGCTTCTTACCTAGCTCGAAGTCCTGCGTTGACGTCCTCAAGATCCACAAAGGCGGCTTTCCAATCTCAGCACCAGAACGACATCGAAAACACCACTACCATAGAAAGCATTCCGCATTCAGCATAACAGACCGCGGCGGTCGTGGTGGCGGCCGTAGTCGAGGCGGAAGACGTGGTAATAGATGGCACGCCTGCCAATACTGAATGGGCTGGATTCGGATAAGACCAATCCCGCATTTCTGATAGGCAGCGCCAACAACTGAACATGGCGGCGAGTCGTGCAAAGAGTGCTTCTCAAGGTAGTCTTGGTCGCGGCGGTGCTCTTGTCGATAGAGGCGGTCAAGGTTGCAATCGTAGAGGCAGTCAAGGCGCAGATGATACACTAGCACCAGCAGCTCTTTCTCCACGAGCGTCCTCAGTTCACTACTCCAGATGTTCCATTGCCCGAGCGAGAGGTCCTCCACCCTCGACACCCCCAAGAGTGCTGTAACCTGATCTTGACATAGGAGTTCACGCCCGAGAAGCTCCAGCAAGTAGTTCACACTATCAGCGAATGTAGAGGCATACGTAGGATCAAGTAGAACATCATCCGAAATAGCCTGTAGGAGATTTTGCACATACTCCACCACCCGGGAGAGATTCAAGATAATGTCGTTGAGTCTCCTCCCTTCGGATAATGCACACTATCATGGTCGCTGCCATCGGGCAGGACTATAGTGCTCCAGGCTTTCAGTTTTTTACTGTCCGCACAGTGCTGCACATCGCGCCACTCAATCAACTTGGCGAAGAGCAGAAAGCCGACCTCGAAGGCCCTATCGCGAGCATGCAGGCAAGTCAACTTGTGTAGACTGTCCACATTACCGCCCAGGCAAAGGCAGATGAGCCTAACCTGTTCAAGGATCTCGATACAAACACATTGTCCTATGCCCAGATCAGGCTCTTCATCCCGACTTCTGTGCACTTTTGGTCCTCCCGCACCTCCGCATCCGCATCGTTGCTCGAGCGATCGACGAGCTCCACTATGTCGAGGAGTGGAAAGCCTTTCGCGTACACTTTGCGCAACTGTATACGCTTGGTCTTGGGCTCCGGACCGACACTGCTAGCTTTGGGTGTATCGCAACGATGTCTACACCCACGCCCGAGATTCTGCTTCTAGAGGCAGGCTCCAGTATAGTTGATGATGAGCTATACATGACTGAGATATTCCGGTCAACTATTGATGAGCCAAATACGACGTGCGTCCTGCAGAATATTGCCTTTCGCGAGAAGGGAAAAGAAGAATGTACATACTTGTACTTCCTTCTGAATGATGCGGTAAGTGATACTGGCGAAGCCACCCCAGCGAGTATTTCAAAGACATTGGTTTTCAGTCGTAGCAAGTTTCGGGATATTGTCGACCTCTTCCGCTTCTGGCTGATCGGGAAGACCAAAGATTGTCCAGATCCAGCGAAGCGTTGCATCAATGCGCCTGGCGGGCACGATGTACACGAGGTTGTGCCCTCCTACACCAGCTATGTCCCACAGCACGACATGGACCTCCCATACAGCGGATTCGCGAAGCTGGATCCAGTACCTGGTTCAGAGTGTCGACTTCTAGGTAGTACGACCGCCATTGGCGCAGGCAAGAAACTTGGTGATATCAAGCGTGTCGCCTAGGTCCTTCTACCGCCTACGATGGATCCAGCCAGCCTTGGGATCGTGGTTTCACGATCCGAAGCCTCGGAGCCCGGAGCTCTCTCGCCGTCTCGGCCGCGGTGGCAGGGAGATCGAGCACTGTGAGGCCCTCGTGTTCCTGTCAGGCTGGGTAGCCAACAACACCAACAAGAACCCACCACATGCAACAGTAGAGAAGACATTCGTTCCTCTTTCCAATCGACGGCAGCGCGAGATGGAGAAGCAGCGCAGGTGTCGTGGAGAACTGCTGTGTCTTATGCTGCCACATGTACCAATGGCTCGCACGGCGCTCAGACATGCAGAGAATCCAGAGGAGAATGTCAACGACCTAGGCCACCAGCGCTTTGGCGATCATGAGTCGGAATTTGAGGAGAACGATGCACCAGACCCAGGGAAGAAGTCGAAGAAGGGTGCGAGCGAGCTCAGCGCAAGCCTCTGCCAGATCCAATACGCCGCGGACGAGCAAGGCGGGAACAATGCTTGCTGTCGCAAGGAGATCAACAAGTACATGGGAGAAGCCGATAGCCAGCACGATATCCCCAAACCGCCAGCGTACAAGAAGTGCTGCCTACACTGTTATCCAGACCTGACTAAGGAAGTCGGGTTGGATCCACGCCTACCTCGTCGCCCAAAGCCAGCCGAAGCACCTCCGCCTAATACTCGCCCAGCATTGGCTTTTCCACACCTGGAGAAATAGGTTGGAGAGCAGGTTGATCGGATCTTGTATCATGGCGAATGCCGCAACTTCCGTACTCCTGCCTCCTCCTTGATCAGTGAAGAGCTGCTGTGGAAGATTTGCGACGTAGCCGAGGCCCAGTAGCTTGCTGACAGCGACTTCTGGGAGGCTCATCAGCTTTCGCCTGCAATCCTTGTCTAGCATGTTACTGAGCTTGACGATCCAGACGGCGGCGGGTGATCATGAACAAGTTCAAATGCTGCCAGCTGGGGGCACAAGGACACTGTCGTGGCTAGCATTGTCGCGCAGATGAACCAGATCGTTGCTGAGGCGTATGAGAGGGATGCTGCATATAAGGAACTGATGCGTAAGCAGGGTGAGAAGCGTCAAAAGGGCATAGAAGACGCCGCCACTGCTGGACATGGAGGTGCTGCACCCGCGCAAGGAGAAGATGGTACTGCTCCTACGTGGTGAGAAGATGGTACTGCTCCCACGTGGTGAGAAGATGGCGCTGGATCTGAACCACCTGAGCTGACACGTGAACAGCGTCGCCAAAAGTACACGCAGACTGTCGCTTAGTCCGGCAATTTCCAGGCTCGAGAAGAAGACCCGAGGACGAACACGCAACACCAATCGTCCTGGTGCCCCACGTTCTTGCGGTACTACTTCAGGATCTGCCAACATTCCCAGCACTGCTTCTGCCTCAGCATCTCAAGGTCGCCTGTCTCCAAAAGAGCAAAAGCAATACGTCTCGAAGGACACGGCCATGGCAATGGGGTCCAGATTGACGAAGCGGTAGGTGAACTCAGGACCGGTAGTGAGACTTTCATTGTTGCCGCAGGAGCGCAGGCCGAGAACATCCGAGACGGTGCTGCTTTCAACTCAGGCCTGGTGTCACGCGGCAGTGAGCGAGTGGATAGCAGCGAGCGAGTGACCAGCAGCCAGCGAGCGGTCGAAATCGGACGATCTCGGAGGGAGGAGAAGGACTCTCGGTCTCTGGCTCTCACGAGTCGTGGTAGTAGTGGTTCCTCGAGAGCATCGACTGATTACGGCAATGCCTTTGATGACGATGTTTGCGGTGTAATCTAGCCGGCGCACCCACGATACTGGTATCAGTAGATGGCGCAGAGTGCGTAGATCACATCAAAAGAAAGCGAAATTGGCCAGAGTGCGATGTGCTGTCGAGAGAACGTGGTTGTCATGAAGCTGAGAAGTCATGCATGCGTGAAAGTAAAAAGTCGCGGTGCCTGTTCCCGCCAATCGGACGTCGGGCTGCCACGTAAACCCGAGGGCTTCGCGGGATTCGACATTTCTATCCACCTTTTCCATCTACCTTTTCCATCCACTTTTTCTATCCACTTTTTCTGTCTACCTTTCCTATCCACCTTTCCTATCCACCTTTCCCATCCACCTTTTCCATCCACCTTCTCTGTCTACTTTTTCCGTCTACCTCATCCACCTTTTCTGTCTACCTTTTCTTTCCACCACCCTTGTGCTGCCTAAGATCCCTGCTTCTCCTCTCCCCTTTTAGACTTCAGCGCGTGTGTCGAAACACAGCAATTCGAGTCTCAAGGCATTGTTCGCATGCGCATGCCACGCAAGAATGCCTTCTCGAGATCTCCCGGATTCCCAAAAACCCCATCCACGAATACACGATGCCGACGTCGAACGAAACGTTGCGCGGAGAAGGACGAATACCACCACCGATGGCGCATGCGCAGAATACCTCGAAGCCTCAAGATGCGACACGACACTGGACTTGGTGAGATGAGCGCGCGATGACACGGTGCGAATAACACCTTCAACGCGACGCGACAATGACGAGAATGCGAGATGCAACGCGATACACACACCGACTGTACGATCCAAGAATGAGACGGACGATTGGAACATCAAGAGCATGAAGAGGCGGTAGGCAGTATGATTCAGAGTCAATACACGCGTCGATGCAAGAGTTCTTCGACAAGCAGCAGCGCCTGAGAATGTGCTCGTGGTGTAATGCCTCCGGCTCTCGTTCGCCCACTGCCTGTTAGAGATAGGTAAGATATGTGGCGCGCAGAAGTCAGTGAGCTTTCTTAGTCTCAGCCCAATCGTAATGCGTCTTCGCGTAGGTGTGACAGTGGCAATGGCGCTGGCGATGGCTGACTGAATACAGGACACCTCGCATTGTCGTGTAGGGTTTTCAGCGTGGTAGCTAGGCCGGAGTGGTGCTTTCTGGTGTTGTTGCGACAATCATACTTCCTTTTGCATTCTTCGGGATACTCTCTACATGCAGGCTTCATCGAAAAGGTTTCGGCACCCGGCTATTTGGCCGTCTTTTGGCCAGCATCTCCATCCAGCATGCGAATGTAGACTCTTCATCTCGTCAGACTTTGCAGCCCACTCATCATCGTCTATGTGTCAACTCAAGTCGTGGACCTTGCGACCCTTTCTTCTTCGGCAGCGGCGGACTCTAAGCTGGAGCTGGCTGATGTTGTTGGGGAGGACGAGGTGATGCTACTGCTGCTGCTTGCTGCCTTTAATAGGCCAGCATTGGATCTTCGCCATCTCTCTTTCGAGTGGTGAGTCGAACCGAGAGCGAGCGCGTGAAGGTGGTAGCACAAAGGCTGGAGCGTCGTTCGCTTCGCAGCAGGGAGACTCGCTCTTAAGTAGCCGAAGCAACTTCTTCTTCAAGAGCAGGGAGATTTTCTGTCTGCTGTTGCTGTCATTGACGTCGCCGCTATCGAACAAGCATCAGCACTTTTTCATCTGCTGCAGTGAGGTGGAACACACCGGAGAAGGCATCATCAATCTCCTCGGAGGCTGCTGGGAAAGGATTCATGATGGCGACGGCGAAGCCGAGGTGCTGAAGGCGCGGGTGATGTCTGTCGCTGAGAAAGGAAACAAAAAGAGAAAGACGCAGCAGAAGAGTGATGGCGAGGACCCTGTTACTTTGAACCATGGCGAGGACCCTACATCGACCGTCACAGTGAAGTTGTCAACACGTTGCTTGTGATCATCGGTTGCACTAGTTTCCAAGCCTCTGCCTCCGCCCATGGCACCCGCATTATTGCGCAGGCATAGGCCGTACTCCTCGGCCACCTCTTGATTCAGCACCGCATCCTCAAGATCACCATGATCCGTAACAACTCCCCGCCGCTGTGTTCAATCCATCTACGTCCGGCGCTGTGTCGTCGAGCACAATGGCTTAACCCGAGGCATAGCACTAGTTGGCATGGCTGACCTGCTTTACAAAATAAACCAACTTCTCGATCCCAATCTTCCCAATGTCTTGCGATAGCGCACATCATCACGCCATAGCTTGTCTGCCAAGCTGAAGGCCTAGACGGGCTTGTTCTCAGCCGAGTGCGAATTGGTACTGGTGACGCCAATGCCTGGCTCAAACATACTACGAAGGAAATCCTTGTACTCGCGTTTCAGGGCAGACCTGCGAACGGTAGCAGCGATGACCTCGTGAGTTGAGGTCATGTAGGCTTTCATGTCTAGTGAGTAGTCCGAGTTGTACGTCTCTACAGCTATCACGAGGGAGAGCCTTTCCACAATTGCCTGAAATGTTCCAAACGGCAGTTCCACGGAGAGCTTCCTGTACCTCCAGATCAGCGATGCCGTCGGTCAGCAAGCAATGTAACCACATCATCTCTCTGCCGTAGATGCTGGAATCCTGTAGTCGACGAGAAAGCGAAAGTAGCCGACATCTATCTACCGAGTTGCTCGACGCATCGTGGACACCAACTCACACTCGATCAGGAACCGGCTCTGAGTAATAAAGGCATTGTCTGGGACGATGGTAAAGCGTTGGCCTCGACACCAGAATCCGCAGCAGGAGTCTGCTATAGGTTACTGTACGGGGTAGAGCCTTCTTGTGGATCCAGGTCTTCTTGTGCAGCAAGCTTGAACTTTACTGCATCCCCGATTGCCGGCTTTTGATGCAACTGGCCAGCGATGTCACCAAGAGAGCTACGCTTCATTGACTCATCGGAGAACATGGCAACGATTGAAAACTGCTTTTCATCACACTCAGAGTTTGGAAGACCTGGGGGTTGCGCATCTTTGAAGAAGGAGCGAGCAAGCTCCTGGCCCGGCTCGCTTTTCGGGTAATATGTGCGGAGCAGAGTTAACACACGGTTCAACGACAACCACTCACGCCTGTTACAGTGAAGTGTGCTCTCACCGTTCGTTCCCGGCTTCACTCTTGCGACAACGCTCCATTGCTATCTGGTCGCCAACAACGACAACAAGCAGCTTCTCCGAGTCATCCTCCTTATGCCGGAGATTCTTCTATGACAGACCCTCACGTACTAAGATGGTGCCTTCATCAGACGTTTCATCGTTCACCGACACGTCCATCAAGAAGAGCTTCTCCGGTTCCCTTGGGTCCAGTTCTTTGATCCCAGGCACTGTGGGCGGTAGAAGCAGTGGAACTGGCACCTCGTCATGACCAAGCACTGAAACGCCTTGCGCATTGACTTCGAATGTGCTCTTGAAGGTCGTATCGAGTTGATTTCAGTACGGATAGCCGATGTCTCCTTCTCTCCAGGGGCTTCTGCTCTCTCCACTTTGTGTCGGCCTCAGCCTGCCCCTCAGCACTGAGCACGGCGGCCGGATCTTGGCCGGCCTCCAGCATTTTCTGGATGTCTCCCAGCGCACTGGCAATGATATTCCTATAGTCGGACCACGCCACGCAGTTGTATGCAGGCGCAGGCGGAGACCCAGGAGGAGAGGCGGGCTCGGCGTCTTTCTTCTCTTTGCCACGCATGGTCCATGAAGAATTTCGCAGTGTTCTCGTTGGGATTGTCGGAGATGCTGTTTATAATCAATCCTCCTATTCCAGCGGCTGCTCAACGTGAAGCTTGTCTTCCGTAAGGCCTTGTTCTGTGACGGATGAGGCCTCAGCTGAGAGAGATGTAGTCAAATTGAAGGTGCTGTCGATGTTACCCAGCGTCTGATCGTGCTTGATATCGGGACGACTGAGTTTGTGGTATGCGACGACGAAGTGCGGATCCTGGGCCAGATCGAATACAGCTTGTCTGCCGGCTTTGGCGTTCTCGTCCATAATCTTCTACACAATTGCGTATGAGCCAGCGACATTGAGAATTTTGGGCACCTTGATGCAGCGGTGCTTGGCACCTGCCGTGACTACAAAGACACCAAACGCTTTTGGAAACCGGGATGCCTTTTCCTTTGCTACCGAGTGTGCTATAACACTGTCGATCATGATGACGCGCTCCTGGTCAAGGTTACGCTTGTCGACTGGCGTGTTTCTCTTCCATTCTCCGCTGCGCTTGTTGGGCATCAATCTGCCCAGCATCTCCTCTGCAGCATCTTCTCTCCAGAATCTCCCCTGCAGCATCTGCTCTCCAGCAACTCATACCGATTTGGAGTATCCTCCTTGATAGCAACAGCAATGTCCTTTTTGTCAGGCCGCTGCATGCTCCTTTCAGGGTCATACTCGTCAAAGAGCGGCTTGCCAACCAGCTCCTTCAGATCCTTGCGGATTGCCTTCTTGCTCACCCATACCTCGAGGAAAAGAGGTTCACCGATTTTGGACATACGTATCTGGGCCAGAAGGGCTGGTATACATGTTGATGAAGTCTGGGACGGAGATGCGCAAATCACGCAGCTGCTAGCCTCTTCCACCGAGTCACCGACTGTCCGCTGGCGTCTTCGGCATGCTCATCCAGAACCTGCTGCTGGTTGAAGTCTTGTTCGTCGAGCACTTGACGAGCCAGTACCCGCTGCTCTTCCTCGGTCAAAAGTGCGATGGTTGGTGATCGTCTTCTTCGCCGTCGCTGCTCATGTCCACCTCTTCGCGGTCTTCCTCATGCTGCTGCCATTCTAGATTGTCCACAGAGGCATTATGGATTCCATCTCTTCGCCTCTATCACTTTATCCAGGAAGAGCATCTGATACTCGGTTGAAGCTGGCAGCGGGAGAAGCATGTCCAGGTAGTGGTGGCGGCGGTAGCGGTGCATTGAACTGGAAGGCGTTTGGTGGCATGTGGCCCTTTGGATCGAATGCGCAATGTCCGAGGGTATGAGTGGGATCAGAAGGAAGAACTTGGGCAGAAGGGAACACTGAAGGCTAATGACCAGGCTGTGTAGCATGCAAACTCGCGCGGAACCATGCAGCACACGCGCGAGGAACGGGCCATTAGTGCGCCATAGTTGAGCCGATAAGTCCCCGGCGCTTCGGTGCTGTCACCGTGAACGGCAGCGAAGGCACTGATTTGTTCTGGTTGCGCGAACTCTTCATCAAAGTCCTCCATTTCCACACACCGCAGCGGCCCACCGAGGAACGCATCCTCCATCTCAAGGAAACCCCTCCTCAGAAGGGCGCCGACTGCAACGCAGCAAACATTCTTCCAAACTGTCACCGCGACTTGATCCAAGTGCGCGAGCTCTTCACAAAAGTCCTGCACTCTCAGACACCGTGGCTGGCCATCGACGAACGCCTCCTCTCCCTGAAGGGACACCCTCGTGAGAAGGCCGCCGACAGCAACGTAGCAAAGGAACCCATCCGAACGGTCACCGCGAATTGTCCGATTTGCGCGAACTTTTCACCAAACTCCCGACGCAGCAAACACATTCACTCGAGCGGTCACCGCGCAGTGATCCGGTTATGCGAACTCTTCACGGAGAGTACGAGGAGGGCCACAAGAAGCTAGAGTCTGAGCTGGAGGCCGTGAAGACCAAGGTGAAGAAGAGCGCAGGCGGCAATCAACATTACATTATGACTCAGCACCACGGCATCGTGAGTCGCACAGCAGGTCTCGAGAAGAAGCAAAAACAGGCCATCGACGAGCGCATCCTTCGTCTAAAGGAAGGCCCTCCTAGGAACCGACAGCGAGGCTAGTATGGCGGGCAAGAATGTTGGAGGAGAGCTTCTCGTTTGCTTTGCGGTCAATCACGGTCTTCATTACCAACCCCGAACTCAACATGCGATCCACGTTTCACCCATTTGCGCAGCGTTAGCCCTGTCCTCTCACAATGTGCACGGCACTGGGATAACTTACGCCAGTCTGCTTTTCACACCATGTCTCTATCAACACGCATTCGCGCGCCCGTAGCACCTCCGGCTACGCTGGATACGATTGTTCGGCCTGCCGTCCCACTTCCCAGCGTGAGCAGCTCGGTCTGGCACGCGTGTCCGCGCCTGATTGCAGGCGAGCAAGTTGTAACGAAGTGCACTTGTCGCCTGAATATTTCCAAGTCTCCCTTTGCCGAGTCCAGCGTGGCCTGCTCCATCCTCCTTAACGCAGAATCCACCCGGTCTCGTTCAGCTCATATCCAAAAGTGCTGTTTCCGCCTTCACGAGCATGACCTACTCGTCCAGAGCTCCGTAGAAACAAGCACACTCTTCACAAGGAATCGCCCAGCCACTCGCAGGTTCGCTTCATGTCGCCTAATTCGCCGGCAACAAGATGTCGTAGGGCCACAGGCTCGCAGTTGCCGTCGTCGAGGTCTCGCTCTGAACCTCACATCAAATCCTGACTGGAGAGTGGACACAGCACCAATCAAAAGGCATACGAGATTTGGGAGGCACGGACAGCAGATTGCCAGCTGTGCCTGGGGAGGGTTTCGTGTACCTATCCTTCTTCGCTCTCCTCTGAACACGACTGATCTTGCATGACACAGCTTGCTCCTCAATTTGGCGTTCTGCTGGCCTCATACTACGCTCTGCATTTCATCCGACCCGGAACACTTCCAAGAACAGCATCGGTGGCCTATCTGCACGAGCAAAACTGACAAATCGAGTCTGTCAGAGTACGGCCACCAGCGGCGACGAATCCAATACCAAATGGGTACGTCTCTCGCACAACTCCGCTGAGGGGGGCATATGTCTTCTTGCTATTGAGGGACGCGGCTTTCACGGGATACTTATGGTGGTCAGGCAAAACTTGGACTCGACAGCTATACCACCTCTGGAACCGAAGCAGGCGGAAGTAGCGTGAAACATCAGTAGTCTCCCAATACGCGGGGGCCTCTATGGCCGTCGAAAATATGAGCCGCTAATCCCAAATCCAACAGTCGACGATAGAGGCCAACTAGCCGACACAGAATGACCTCTACAATCTGGAGAGAACGCCGACCGAGCTGAAGACGAATCAAAAGAGGCAGACTACCAGGATCAGAAGGCGAGAGGCTTCCAAACTCACGCTATAAGGCAGGCGATTCCTAATAATTGCCTCTGCTTGAATCCGAAGCCATCCCAGAACAGTATAGGACCGCCATCTCCGGTTAAAGGCCGGGAACGATTTCAACGGGGATACTCTAAGCGAATCCTTTAGCGACGCCTCGAAGAAGAACATAACCGCCCAACTTTGATCCTGAGTACATTTTCAATGGCCCTAGTAAATATCTGCTTAGGCGGCACGAACATGACCCGGAGGACATCTCTCCTGATTACGAATATATCCGGGCTACGGATAACAACGTCGATCTTGGATGGATTTGGTGTTCCGCTACTTCCTAGACCAACACCGCTGTCTAAACCTGCTGCTGAAACATTTGATTTTACGTCTGACGCCCTAAGTCGAGCGGACTGAACGCGGCGACAAAAAACGAAAAGAGAGAATGTCCTCTCCAATGATCAGAACGGCCAGGTGTTAAGCGTGCTACGACAACTCCGGCTACTGTAATGAAAGTCAAGTGCTCATTCTATGAGAATTGGAAACATGTGTGCACACCGGCTACCAGAAAATCCCGACGCATCTCTGCCGTCTATAAAACATTCGAAAGCGCTCTCGAATTTCAAGTTCAGGTGCGTGCCCTTAGAGAACCGTTGCACATGCTGTGCACGATTGTCCAACCCATGTGATCTTAGTACTACGATCTCAAGCTTCAGATCGTAATGCTATAATCTCACGGGCCCTACGTGATCTCGGTGCTACGATCTCAAAGCTTCAGATCGTGATTCTACGATCTCAAAGGCCATAAATGCGATCTCAAGGGCTATGCGTAATAACGGTGCTGCGATCTGAAGGCCTCAGATCGTGATCCTAGGGTCTGAAAGGTCCCGGGTGATCCAGGTGCTGCGATCTCCAGCTCCAGATCGAATAATGCCAACCAATCTGTAGGGGGACAACACTCAGAGTCAGGCGTTACAAGAGAAGTCACAGACGCAGCCTTTTCCTAAGCATATGCTCAAAAAGAAGAAATTGAAACAGGAAGTGTCGTTGAAGATGGAGACGGTTGTGGAGAATCTTCGAGACTAGGAGAAAAGCGAAGGAGCCGCCGCCAAAGGAGCCACAGCGAAGGCGAAGGCAAAAGCGCAAACGAAGAAGGTTCAGGCCCCAAACCCAAAGAAGGGCAAAGAGTCAACTACCGCCTCCTGTCCGGCACCCAAAAAGGTCAAGTGTACAAAGGAGTCAGCCAAAGCCGACGCTGAAAAAACCACGACCAAAGACGGCAGCCGCCAAATCATCCGAGGCTAAAAAGAGTGTCAGCTTGGGGACAACGTCATTCCGAGAGTTGTTCCATAGGGAAATGCTTTTGGAAAAAGCGGGCGTTGTAGCATCCTGCCCACGTCGATTCAAATGGACGACAGTGCTTCCCACGGCAGTGGAGCTCTGCCCTATCTCCCCGAGCCGCAGTCTTGTCTTTGGCTTTAGCAGCTTCCTTGCGGCCTTCGTCGCAGGCTTCCTGCAGTTCTTTCTGCGTCTCAACAGGCTCCTCTTCTTCATTTGCAGCATTGACAGGAACAGGCTCCTCTCCATAGCCTTCAGCATTCACAAGAACAGGCTCCTGACCCTCGGGAGCAAGCCCTTCTTCTTCATTCACAATTTCCATTTCATCCTGATTCCAGTCCTCCAATGTCTTCTCGAGTCGCTTTGAGGCCAGAAAGACTCGAGGTGCCTTCGTAGTCCAGCTGGCAGTATCGAGATGAAAGCGGATGCTCGCATTGCGGCGCGTGTCCCGAGGATGGCATTCCTCTTATCTGTGGACCTAGCCGGATCCGTCTCAAGCACGCGTGCCGTGCGCAAAGATGTAGAAAGTTGGATTGCAGTGACGATGTGGGATGGTTCCAGAGGCTCGGAGGGCCTGCGCCTTTGGATTCGTGAACCGCGGTGGGCCACGAAGCAGTGCTGGCATTTTGTGTCAGATCGGGATTCTACGATCTGAAGAGCCATCTCAAGCTTCAGATCGTGATCTAACGATCCGAAGGGTACGGCGTAATGTTTTGAACTCCTCGTCCTCAACTGGGGCCGCCGTGGCTGAGCTAGAAGGTTCGTAGGAATTTCTTGCTCCGTAGCCCGATTGCTGATCACAGCTTCGTAGCCCGCTAGCATTTGGTCTGCTAGCACTGTGTTTGACCAGTAGCAGTTCGTTGATTTCGACAGTTCGACTTACTGCGGCCCCAAATTCCGTATGTATTCCGCTTTCGAAATCTCGAGGGTCTGCTCTGAGAGCTGTTGTTGCTGGGGAAGTTGTTGCGTTCATTTTGATTTAGGTAGAATGCGCTGTTACAGGTAATCAACTTGGTAGAAGCAATCTCGAGATCGTTGAATTCATCCTTGAATTTGCAAAGCCTATGCTACGTGAAGTAAAGCATGTAATCTATGCCCCACTCTCACGCGAGGTCGGGACATGTCTATGGTAGGAGATCTTTCCTTTTGTGTTTTGCTATTACGATTGGCCCACCCACGCAGGACTTGGGCCGAGCTCGTTACTTTTGTTTTAGTGCTCTTGTGCTAACACTTGATGGGCGTGCTGCAAGGTCTGACGATATGCTGCATGATGTCGCGACTGTCCAACTGGGTCCTTTGAATCATTGCAGGCTAATGAACTTGAGGAGTTCACACATGTCCATCCGAGCATTTGTGCTGAGTTAGTATGGCCCTGCTGCCACAAGTAAGAGGGCTAGAGGCCGGTAGGAAGCAAACTGTAGAGTGCTGAGGTAGCCTTGTCGAGCTCTACGCTATTCTTGTCTTTAGCAAGATTGTCTGTGTGGATGTTACGTTGAGCTTGCGTGGGTTGCACACCAGTAGAGGGAATGAGGCAAGGATTCAACAACGAGGTCGTTGCAGTCGGCTCACGGTGCTACGGGAGATGACATGATTGAGCTGCTAAGATCAAATGTTAGTGCAGATTGCGTGGACAAGTACATAGCCACGATCTCCCGCTCTCCGGCTGCAGTGTATAGGGAAATTATGTGGAGGCATACCATCAATAGAGAAGCTTCGGCGCACTGCGAAGTTCCAGCTCCGAGGGATCCAAAACGATATTTTCTTGCCAGAGCCACCGGACGGCCGAAAGAGCTACGGCAAATCAGCTGGATGGGTCATAAAAGTACCTTACTCACTTATCCGAGCGCAAACCCTATCGTCACCTCGTAGAAGAAGCGTACATAGGTTCCTCGCAAGGCCTTATTGTACTCAGCTTAGCCTTTCATGACTTCGCCCGGCTGATTATGCGCGAGCACCTCTTGCTCCGAAGACGCGATCTCACCTTCATCGAGAGAAGACAGGTCGCTCTTTTGATTCTCACAGGTCGGAAAGTACCAACCGCACTTCTGTCCGACACCTCGTGCAACGTACATCACCTTCTCAAGAGGTTTGCCTATCTTCCAAGACCTGTAGTCGAGTTCATGCTGAATCAAGACCTTCTGTGAGATGTCTAGAAAACGAAGCTAGAAATCAGCTGTCTCGGGCTGCATCCTCACGAAGTCTAGTCTTATACGCGCGGGAGGATCGTTTCTGGTTTACCGCGGGGTAAGTAGAATGTTGAGCATGCGCTTCATCTGGCTCGGTGCATTTGATTGATGTCGTAGTACTAGGTCTCCAATCGGGGAAAGCAACGCCGCGGTCGCTGGGTGGATGTAGACTTCGCCGTGCTGAATTCTTCTACTCACTCCCTCGACATTCTGACAGGCATCCTGTATGGCATGGATGTATTATTAAAGTGGCAGTAAGCGCTAGGTGGCAGGAGGGTTTAGGGTAACGTTCATTGCGATCTTAGCTCTTTCGTCGCTGGCTGGTATCGGCTCTTCCAAAAGACCTGACGAGCTTCCCCCTGTGTCTCTACAAGAAATGCGAGACTCGGCATCCACGGGCTGAAAAGTTGCAACCAAGCGAGACCTCCATCGATTGGCCTACTCGGATCAAGGACTGGAGGCAAGCTCAGCAAATGTGAAGAGGGCCATGGATGCAGAAGAATACCGCTTTGCCTTGTCGATAACTGGATCGCGAGCGAAGAGGGAGCAATCGTCAGGATTCACGAGCAGAGCAAGTCAATTTCGCCGATGATGAGCAGGTTTCTTGATTCATACCTAGGGTGTAAGGCCTGGCAAGAGGATCTACTTGTACCTCACAATTCGGAGATGCTCCAGTACCGAGAAAGAAATCGTATCTCAAGTGTGAACCTCGGATGAGACTCGTGATCAGCCGACGGCGTGTGTGGCCTGTGGAAAGGTAATCCCAGGGAGCACAAAATCTTCATCTTGGGATGCTAACGTACGTACCTCTGATGAAGTTGCGCCTGCTCTTGCTAGAAGGTGGGAGAATAACGGGTTGAATCGCTTCGTAGCCCGGGAAATTGAGCATTAGGAATTCTCGACTGCTATGCTAATCATCCAAAAAGCCTCGATGACCATCTGCTGGCGGGAAGATTTCGGTCTTATATCACCGCTGCCAACCGACGGGCATAAAAGAATCATTTGGACCTCAGGACGTGCTTTGCAGGGACGATGAGGGCCTCAGCTGTGTGTGGTGCTTCGACAACGACTCTAGACAGTTTATGGAATTGGGTCGTGTTTATGAGGCGCAAGGCTCATGCGTGCAAGGCTCGTGTATGCAAGACTGACTCGTACAGAGACTGGAAGATGAAATCGAAGAGGCCGAAGGGCACAGCGGAGGCGGTGTGCTGACATTTAAGCGCGTATTTGAGTCTCACGCTCTGTATCCTCTTCGTGTTGATCGCCGTAACGAAGCAGCACCCCAGCACGATGCATTTCGGCATCAAGAATACGTCTCTTCTCCGCGCCTTCACCGCGTCCTCGCTGTCCGTCTGCCCAACCGCAGCCTCATCCGCAAATGCTCGTCTCTTCTCCGCCCTGTCCACCGCGTCCTCGAAGTCCGCCTGCCCAACCGCAGCCTTATCCGTGAACGATCGTCTCTTCTTCTCGATGCTTTCGGGCACCGTTTGCCGATTGATATAATCGCTCGTCGCGCGTGTCTGGGAGCGTGCTTATAGTCGCGGGAGCCTGAGTCCGCAATCACAAGTCGAGCGAGAGCAAATCTTGTGTGACCCTTCAGAGCTGCGATGAGGAGTGGAAGATGTCGGTGGCTACAGAGTTTTCTGTCAAGTGCTGCCGGCCGAAACGGCGAGTACTCCACCATCGAGAACGCTTATCGATAGAATGTTGGTGTAGGCCGTATTTGCATCGAGCAGCGTGCGAGGGAATGCAAGGGTATTCTCTTTGGTTGCTACAGGCTTTGTCGCCTCGAACAGAATGAAGTTCAGAGGAGAATGTGCATGAATGATCTGGCGTCGGATCAACGGATGCGGCTAGCCGTAGATCCCAGATCTTTTGTGTTTGAGGACGGAGCTCCATATATACCAGATTGTCAATGGAGGTTTGGCTTTACTTTAGTCCATTGTCGCTTCCTATTGTTGCGCCTTCCTTACTAACCTTACTATGCCTATTGTCGCGACAAACCTTACTTAGACTCGCTATACTTTCGCGCCTTGCCTCGCAATGTTCTTCTTCTATCGACACCGATAGCGATAGCGATAGCGACACCGATACCGATACCGATAGTAGCAGCCGCTATAACTAGTATTCCGCGAGACCTTATTCTTAGCGCAGCTTTAGCAGCTTTAGCTTCTTTACTAGTAGCGTACTTACTAGTAGGAGGAGGAGAATATTTATCGTAAGTCGCGAGGCGTATCGCTATAAACTCGCTACTAACTCGCTCTAGACTTCGACGCCCTACGACTATAAATACCTACGATTTCTAGTATTGCAGCGCGTAGATATAGTAAGAGCTACTCGATTAAATAGCGATACCGGATAAGAAGAAGGCGGCATTAAATAGACTACGGAAATATAAGGCTACTAGACTTATTATAGAAACGGACTCTAGTAAGCTTGCACTAGCGCTATACTACTACTATATACGCTCTAATAACTTTGAGTGTCGTATACTTAATACTAAGGGCGAGCGTGTCTACGCTTATTATAAGTATAAGGGTAAGTCTAGCTATATAGCTAGTATAGAAGAGGTTAAAGAAGACGATAGAAATAGCGAGCTAGCCGCGATATAGGCGCGAGTCGAGGCCGTAGAGGCAAAGAATACTAAACTAGAGGCAAAGATTAAGGTATTAGAAGCTAGGTTCGATAAGTTAGAAGGATATTGCCTCTCGTAGTTCAAATAGCTTAAGAATAAGGCTATTATTAAGTCTAAGGATGTATATACGATATAGAAGGAGCTATAGCTAAATAGCGATCGCGAGCTACTAGTAGATAATGTTTAAGGAGCGAGTCTATAGCGAGTCTACTACGAGTCTGCTATTCTATCTCTTCTTCTTTAGTCGTTAACTGCGCTTTGTCTTCTTAGCCTCTCCGCCGCTATTAGCCTCTCCGCCGCTATTAGCCTCTCCGCCGCTATTAGCCTCTCCGCCGCTATTAGCCTGTCTACCGCTATTAGCCTGTCCACCGCTATTAGCCTGTCTATTAGTAGGTTACTAATCGCTCGACCCTTTCGGAGTAGACGTACCTCGCGATATACTCGCGGTAGTATCGCCGCTTAAGTTAATTATCTCGGGCGGCTAATTCGTATCGATAACCTTCTTAGTCTATAGCTTTTCTTTCTTAATCTTAATACTGTTAACTACCTTTTACTAACTCGCTATATTACTCGTACTAGTACTCGTAGTAATAGTACTTAACCGATGTTTCCGCTTTTGTTATTACTACTTCTCCTACTTTGTCTAGATATAGAGCTTAATCTCGTAGACTAATAATAACTTTATTGCTAGTTTGTAGACCGTTAAAGCCTATCTAAGTGATCGAAGCGCCTTACTTGCTAGCTTCTCTAGTTGATTAGTTGTTTTACTAAAGTCTATATAGAGGAAGTGGTTAAAATAGTCCTAGGTCCGATCGATACTACTATCTAGTAGCTCGTAGGCGTTAATCCGGTCGACAATCTAGTCTGTAAATGTTATCTCGGCTTCGAGGAATTCTTAGTTAGTCTAGGCATCCGTAATAGCAGTATATAGGGTAGGTTCACTATAGAACTGTGTCCTAGTTATACTCGTAAGCTTAACTTCTATATACTAAGTATAGATTAAATAGCGGCAATAGTATCCCTATACTTTTAGGTCTAATAAAGCTAAAGCTAAAGCAGGTATTAGTAGACGTTGCGAGAGGCTCCGAGATCTAGCATTTAGTATTCGAGTTACTAGCTTGTACTAACTAGTAGCATTGCGTATAGCATTAGCCGCCTTAGGTATAGAGGGGAACGTATTAAAGCCTCGTACTATACTCGCGGAGCTACTCGTAGTAGTAGCGGCTACTAATTGCTCGCGAACAAATTGCTCGCTTAGTAGATCGGGATTAAGAAGGCCGTATTATAAACAGAATCGGTATTTACTATATATCTTTGCATAGTCGACGCCTAATTTAGTATAATAGGTGCCCTAATTAGTAGCTATTATTAGATTGGTAGGTATTGTTAGATAAATGGAGGTAGAAATAGTAGAGGTTTAAGAAGGTTATAGATAAAATCGAACTAGAAAAAGCGACTCGCTATATACTCGCGGCCGGCTCGTAGATCGCCGATTAGTATAAATCATTTACAAACTCAATTATCCTAGCTTCCTAATTCCGCGCCGCCGCTAACTAACTACGTGCTGCTAATAGCTTATCTAACTCTATTAGTTCCGGCTCTAACCCTATAGCTATATACTCCCTAGCTAGCCGTCGAAGAAGTAAGTAGGCAGAGCGGTAAAGGCGCTCTATATTATCGCTATTCTCGCTACTACTTACTAGATACGAGAAGCTATGAATCTATAATGCTGTTTAACACTAAGAAAGCGTAGCCTCGGGCAGGTAGGCTTTAAGATCTAGGAAGTAGCGAGTCTATTAGCGAGTCTATAGCGAGTCTATAGCGAGTACTATAGAATCTAATATATACCGAATCCTTAAAGGTCTTCCTCTATATTATTAAGTACGCCGTTAGGCATAGGAATACCTTAATAAGAATGCCCGCTCAGCTCTAGATAATAGTATAGAATATGCGGAATACCTAGTACGACGTATAGTCGATTAGCCTGCTTCCTAATCCGATAGCTATTCTAGAGGTAAACAAATTCGAGGACTTTATAGCGTATAATTAGTATGTAGACTATAAGGAAGGTAATCCGATCGGCTAGCAATTCAGTATCGTATAGTAACTCGCGTAGCAACTCGTAAAAATAGCCCCTCTAGCTATTTAATACGGGTGCTTGCTAGCGCTACTATACCTCGATCCGCTAGTTTATCTTACTCGTACCGTATTTAAAGCAGTCTTCGAAAGCTAGTGGTTCTAGTTCTAGTTCTAGTTCTAGTTCTAGTTCCGGATCCGGGTTACTGCGAGTCGTAAGGCGAGTCGCAAGGCGAGTCGTATAGTAAGCGTCCGCGGCTAGAATCGTTTCCGCCCTACGGTCTAATCGGATAATCTATAGCATTATACTACTATTCTTAATCGTTGCAATATATTAAGCGAGTACGGATATAGCTATCCGGCTAGTGATGCCTATATAGATCTAGACAATATAACGCGAGTAAATATTAATCGCTACGTAGATCTATATCCCCTAATGCTCGAATTTATAGTAAGTATCTATTAATATTGCGTAACTAGGGCCGGGTATAATAATCGCTCTATAGTGCTCTCGCGCCCGCTCGCGGCGGACTCGTAACCCTTTAGGATTTAGTAAGGAAGCTATACGATACAGCCGATCTCTGCTAATAATGTTATATTTAGACCTAATATAGGTATATAGGTACCGTCGGCCGAAGGACTCTACCGTAGACTTCTCGAGCTCTTCCTATAAGACCTCTACTATCTCCTCTTCCGCTTCTATCTATCTATCTCGCGATAATGCCTTCTTCAATCTAAGCTCTTAACGTATCCGTTAATATCTCCGCTAGCTAATATCAAATCTATCTATCTTTAGTACTTTAACCGCTTCTTTATTAGTTAAGCGTAAAGCGGAGAAGGTATATACGACTCGGATCTTTAGTACCTCGACATTATTAACTCGGTTATAGTAAGCGTAATAGCTATAATTAACCCCCTATTCCTTAAGCCTCCGACAAAGCGTAGAAAGAGCTATCTAGTAACTAGTCTCTTATATAAGGTGCTATAGGATTTCGCCTTATATAATACCGCTATTGACTTGTAAGGTTATCTAAGCCCTCTATAGCGAGAGATCGATACGTAGAGGCATTTTGCGAGTTAATAGCGAGTATAGTGCGAGGGCAAATATAGAAAGTTAGTCGTAGAGGTAGGCTAGTAGAGGAGGCGGTAAGAACCTCTATTAACAATCTAGTATGTATAGGCCTCCCTATTTAAGTCTCGTCCTTATTAGAAGTAGCGCGGCACGTCGAGCTCGATAGCGCTAAACGCCGAGCACTAATGCCGCGATATCTTCCAATCTCTAACACTTATTTCTAGAATCCGAGGGACTACGACGCACACTATAAACTTCCTATAGTAGGCGATTAACTTCTCGACTATTCTAGACGGCTAGTCGCGGAAAACGTTGAAATTGTCCTAGAGTTAAATAAGGTATCTTTAGCCCGAAGAAGACGCTTTTTCTATCGTAGAAGAGTTTCCCTAAATTCAACTATCTTCCCCTTCTACCTACGCTCTTATATACGGACTATAACTAGAACGATATAGAAACCGCGCGATTCGAAGCCGAGTCTTACCGATCTCGTTACCTCTAGTCTAACGGTTATAACAATCCGTCTCTATCCTATACATCCCTCTATACTATATAGTATACCTAATTTAAGACTTGCCCGATATACGTTACGCTATTTAGCTCTTTCTTCCTCTATACTTAATATATCGATTACTACTTTATACTACTCGCTCTACTTAAGGATATAGTTAGTAGAAACAAGAAAGAGCTAGGAAAGCTATATACGATTCTGTTTATCTAGGACGATTTTACTCGAGGTAGAAAGATTAATAGATAATCTAATATAAGCGGTAGGGTTAACCCTATATAAGAAGTACTAGCCTAGCAAATTTTTATTCGGTCGTCGTTCGGTTATATCTAATATAGTATAGCCCTTCTATAGGAATAGTAAGGTAACTTCTTCTTCGCCCTAGTCTATACCGAGCTCGAAGCGTTAGAAAACTACCTAGAGAGAGTACTTAAGTAGACCTTCCTAAGAGACGGGGTCTAAGCCGAAATAGGACCTTAGTAGAGCGAGAATAGGAGTAGAGAAAATAGGAAACTAAAATTAGAAGCCTAAATAAGCATTTGTATTACGGTACCGATTATTTTAATAGTACGTTAGACTTTATTAGGGTGCTATATACCGCTTAGCGAGCTTACCCTAGGTATGTTTCTAGTTTCGAGCGTTATTTAATATACGATGCTCGGCTTCCCTACTACCCTACAATCGCTTAGACGCTAGATAGGTAACGATGCCCTACGTTTTCTTACTAGTCTGTTCGGGCCTAATTGCGCTAAGGACTGCACCTCCTCGCCTCGTATTTCTTCGCTCGATCGGACGCCCTTAAGACTTAGCTAATAACTTCCGTACTTATCTAATTTATAAATTAACTAAGGGCCTCCCCTTCCGATTAACGCTTTGCTAAGAGGTACTTGTAGCTAATTATATAGGTATAGAATCGCTAAATAGGAGAATATCTAATCCTTTACTTAATTACTAGCCGTCGTTAGTTCTTCTAAATTAGTAACAATATCTAGCTAGAACTAGGCAGCGATTCGTTAAGTTAAGTTGTATAAGAGCATAGCCGTAACGGAGGTCCTAACTAGGAAGGCGGACGTCTACTAATCTGCTATTTTCTATAGAGAAGTAGCACCGGCCGTAAAATAATGCGAAGCCTAGCTTAATTATTCCGGCTCCGCGCTCGGACTCTAAAAGTATCTAGAATGTTGTAATACAGCTAGTAATCTTCGAGACGCGATCTATTCTATCGAAGCTTTATAGCAGCCGCTATACTTTTTAATATTAAGATAAGGAGTGTAATAGGCAATATACGTAGTATTACCTTAGTACTTTGTATAGGCCTACGACAAATGTAAAGGAGGCGTGTTCTGCTCTCGAGTAGTATAGAAGATAGCCGCTAGCTAGATTAGCTTATATCTTTGTCGATTAGACTTCGAACTTAGATACGAAGACTAGGACGTCTCGCATTATTACGCCTCCGAATCGCTACACTTCAAATTCAGCTACTAGGCATACCTTCGTATAGAGCCGAGACAAATATAATGTTCGAGAAAGTATACGGCCTAGAATAATGCGACTAGATCTTTTGTAGCATAGTCTATAATAATAATATATACTCTAGCTTTAAACTAGACGAAAGTTAATAGTGCTTTCTACTATTGCACTATACTATATATACTACTCGCAGTGTCGACTATAGGGACGCCTATACTCGTATATCGGTACTAGATACGAGCCGTCGAGATAAAAATCTACAAGGCTCAAATTATCCTTCGTAGTACTATTACGCTCCGGGACGGTAGTAATAGAACTACAAATCCTAAGTACTAGAACCTCGATTATAACATCCTTAAGTACTAGGCCTCTAGCATTAAATGTCTATCCTCGTATAGCACGTCGGAGTAGTATAGCACGAACGGCAGATTATGCTCTATATAACTCTCTAAGTCGCGATTATTATCTAGTACTTACCTTAAGAGCACCGAAGTAAGCTCCTATAAATCTAGATATACGTAGCTTTTCGCCTACATTTTACCTAACGTAAGGAGGGTTCCGAGAGGCTTCTAGCAAGGTTAAGTTAGGAACTTAAACTTATAGGTCTTAAGCTTGAATTATACAACCGGCTAAAAGACCTAGCGATCTCCTATAAAATCTAGATATAGCCGTCTTCCCGACTAATATACGAAGACTACGAGTTGCGTTTTGCTACAATACAAATATACGCTTTCCGTATTGTTCCTCGCTAGGCTATATATATACGGGCTTGCGCGGCTGATACGATACATTATCTACTCGGGTAAATACTCAAATAGGACACATTAGTATAGTAATTACACAAATAGGAAAACCCTTACTCGGATAGGATACATTAGCAGTAGAATTACTCGGATAGTAAATTATTAGTACAGTATTTACTACTATAGGAATCCGCTCTGCTCTACTACTATATTAATTTCTATATTTATAGGATAAGCGTATATAAATAGAAACATACTACGTAAAGGCAAACAGTATTAGGATTAGTAGTAGTAATTATAGGCGGCCTGTTTAGCGTCTTCTATAACCTTCTACTTATTTATCTTAGGTATAGTAGCGGTCGTTGCTATTTAAAGCTATATATCTATCTATACTATATCGAGTCGCATTTCTATATCCGTAGTAAGCGCCTACGAATATAGAAATGTAACTAATTCTATATCGTTAAACCCTATACCTACCTTTACTATTATATTATAGTAAAACTCAATCGACTTGCTGCCCTATAATCTTTTATTCTACTATTGTTAGTCGGTTAGTCGGTAAGGATAACTTTAGTTATATCTAGGCAGAATTCATATCGAATTATTGTCTATAGGGTAACTTAGCTCGCCTAAGTAGAGCAACAATTTCTATATTCGTAGTAGCTGCTAGTAGATATAGAAATTCTAAAAACACTTTACTTAAGTAGCCTTACTTCGGTATAGCCCGGAGCTAATTACGAGTACCTAATCTAAGCGTAAGCCCTACCCTAACTCTTACTCTTACTTAAATAATAGAATAATAGCTAGAAGGCTTTTACTACTATATATCTTTCTCTCGTTTCTATCTTCGTCCTCTTCTTCCTTCCTTCTACTAGACATCGCACCTACTCTCTTACCCTCGTCTATAATACTACCTTAAATACAAGAATTACGTTAATAGTATAGAAAGCAATAATAGGCGGCCCCTTCTTCTCCCCGACTAGTACTAGTTACCCTTTCTTTAGCTAAGTATAATTAATTCCCTATTATTGCAAGTAGGAAAGCAATATACTAATATACCTTTAGAGCTCCGACGCCTATCGCCGCCGCACTAGCCGCCGCGCCGTCCTATAAGTTTACTAGTAGCAACATTAGCGAGTCTAGAAGGTATCCTAATTGCTCTATTCTAGTCGTCGCGCTACCGCGTATTTAGCTACCGCCGCTACCGCTCGCCGCTCCGCTAATTCTACTTAGTTCCGTACTGCGCTCCTACTCCTACGTTAGCGCCGATAGTAGCAGTAGTAGTAGTAGCAGCAAGAAGAGTATAGTCTAAGTAGATTATTTATAGAGCTTAGGTATACTAATAGTTTACGTAGCGACTAAATAATAGTTAACGCTAGTAGTAACGACGAACTAGTCCTATAAGTTTATTATTCCTTATATCGATTGTCTAGCTTAGAGTTTAGTATTCTAACCTCGATCTATAGGTAGAACGACGACTATATCGTACCGCCTCCTAGTAGCGAGGACGCTCCTACGTATGTTTAATTAATTAACTATCTAAGCATTATTATAAATATAGAGCTAATATCTATATATAGTATCGACGACGACGACGACGACGATAATAATAAGGCTGCGCCTATTATCTCTACTACTCCTCCGCCCGCTACTACTCCTCCGCCTACTACTACCCCTCCGCCTACTACTACCGCTCTAACTTCCGCCCTATTTGTACCGATTATCGCGCCTCGCGAGGTACTAATTTTCCCGGGCAAGACCCTAGCCGACCGCGCTAGCGCTAGCGCTAGTACTAGTACTAGTAAGAAACGCGGCCGTCTAGCGAAAGCTAGTAAGAATGTCGTAGTACTTCGCTACCTAACGGCGGTCGATTAATAGTAGTCGGTACCGGAGGGTAAGTAGCTTTATATATTAAAATTAGTATATATATTATGCTCGTGCTAACAACGTCTTAGTAATAAAAGGCCGCTAGAAGATCTAGTCGCATATCGGCCGTATTATAGAGATCGCCGGCCGTGCTCGCCGCCGGCTATATCTTAAGTGTATTCGGTCGGGCGTTAAGTGCCGCGAGTACGCTACCGATGCCTTCGGTAAGCATCGCAAGTATGCCTATTGCATTTAGGCAAATAACCCTTATATAGATCCGCCTTGTTTATCGTCGGATAGCGAGGATAATAATAATAAGGATAATAATAATAATAATAATTAAGCGCTAGGTTCTTTGTTTGTTTCTTTGCTCTTTAGTCTTAGGCTTAGGCTTAGGTAGCTAGCGTTCGGTTCTTTGCTTGTTTCTTACTATCTTAGTCTAGCTAGTTATAGGTTCTCGAGGCTGCCTCGTCGAAAGACGAGGTCGTAAGACCTTATAGTATATTATAGTAGCGCTGCTACGCTGTTTTAAATAAAAGTTTATTTGTTTACTGTTTAGCGCTAGCCGCCGTTACTGCCGATCCTCGTAACTCTATTCCTTTTATAATGCAATAGTATTTACGTCTTTTGCTACGGTTAGTTATTATACGCGGTATTGTTATATGTCTAAGCTAGGCCTATTCGTTTGAATTTCTATATTTAGTAAGCTATATACCCGCTAGTGCCCGCATCTCTTAACTAATAGCGAATTTCTATATCTATAGGACGGTAACGCTCGGCTTATATTCCTAGACCCGTAGCTATTAATTCGATGCCGCTACCGCTTAGACTAGCAGTTGTTGTACTAGGTAGTTGTCTTAATCTCGGCGAACGGCTACCCGTAATCTAGCTACTCGCTATCCGAGGTCAATGCCGACGATATACGTAGGTATTTCTATATTTATAGTATACTTACTACGGATATAGAAATTCCGTATACGTCGTTACTATTGCCTAAGCGATACTACGCTAGTAGCCCTTTAACTATTCCCTCCTCGAACTCCTATACCTACGCTAGCTGTCTTCGCGATAGTCCGAATATCGGTTCGCTAAAACCGCTCTTCTAGATATGCCTTGTCGCTAAAGAGGGCAGTACCGCGGTATTCGTCGTTAGCAAGGAAGATATTTATCTCGGTAGTAAGCGCGAGTTATATAGCCTACCCTTCCTGTTCCTTATATAGGAAGCTATAGGCGTCCTTTGCAATATATCGTCGCCGCTTAGTACGTATAGTTTAGGTATCGGTCGAGGGTAGCTATATAGGATATTGCTTATATGCGCTAGTTATCCTAACACTAAGACGACCTACAAACTTATAGATATTGCTATATACCTCCTCGATATTGCCTACCTTCGAGTGTATATCCTATTCGTCTAGCTCGTATAATTTATATATATCGTCGGAGTTCGCGCGAAGAGGCCCTACTATTATATCGGTAAATGCTCTTTAAAATAATAATACTTCCTCGTCCTCGGTCGGCTCGATAGATTAGTAACTAGATTCTACCTTATATTAGATATTCCGTGCCTATATAACCGTACGGCCTACGTTAGGAAAACAACCGAGGACCGTAAGCTAGCTTAATACTATACTACTATTTAGGTTAACTTAGATCGAGATTAACCCTCTCCGGATCCTCTCTATATAGACTAGTAGAGCGACGTCTTTACGTATTATATCGTTATATAGATACGAGAACTCTTCTATCGTAGTCTTCTTAACGATACGCGTACCGTATTTCTATCCTTATACCGACTTTGCCTTCCCGGATATATAGGCTATAATAAAGTGCTCTAGCTATAATCTAATGCTTACGCTCGGTAAGTCGAGTTGCCGCTATACTAAGTTCGCTACCTAGTCTGCTATCGTTTAATTATAGATTCGCTCTTCTTCCTCTTCCTTTTCTTAAGCCCGGCGTTCTTCTACGGAGGTTCGTTCTCCTACGGATGTTCGTTCTTTAGCGAGGCGGGCTTCTTTACGGGCTTATATTCTAGCCTCCGACTCAGCTATCCTTATATCTGTATTAGTATCTTCTTATAGCCTCTTAGCTAGTTCCTTTTTAATTAGTAGTTTATTAGCTTCGGCCTTCTATTACTACGTAACGCCTACTTTCTTCTCTACTTACGTTAGCCTAGTAAACTTATCCTCTATAGTAAAGCCGAGTCTCCGCTTATTGTCCGTAATTGCCTTACTAGTATCCTCGACTATATAATAACATCTCCGACTTCGAGGGGCTGCTTAGATAGTAGTATTCTTTTATTATTGCTGTACTATTACTACGCGAGTCGTAGTAGATGTCTTTATCCGTTTAGCTAGACTTCTACTAGATATATATACCTTTCGCTTCTTCGTAGTATTCTACTAGCGGACCGTTAAGTATCTAGTTAGCTTCTTCCTAGTAGTAGTATAGAACTTGTCTATTATAGCGACCGACCTCTACTAGGTAGTAGCTATCTAGCTAATACCCGATCGTACTATACTAGACTCTACTATCTCCTATACTAACGTAGTCGCCGCTTGTTCGCTCTACCGACGGACTTTGTCGAATTGCTTACTAGTAGACTTGCGGGCCTTCGTAGCGGCCGCTTAGTTAAGCCTTTTCTAGCGTTTATTCGCTTTAGCCGTTGCTCTATCTATATCGGCCTATATCGGAGGTATACCTTTACTAATAGAGACACTAGATTCGGCTTACTAGAGGGCTTTAGCTATAAAGCGATCGCGGTACGCCTCTATCTCCCGAGCGGTTATAGCCTTAAACTGCTTTAGTATACGTCTCGTAAATATTGTATCGTCGTCTAAGAAGTACTCTTTATTTGCGCTAGTATCTTATCTAAGTTCCCTACGCGCCTAGCGGTTAGTATTACTTGTATCAACTTCCTTTCGGTGCCGCTATACGTAGAATCCTACTCTGTTATATATAATAGATTACTCGAAACTAGATAGCCGCGATATTTTATATCGGATACTATCCCTATCGCTCTTATTACTACTCGATAGTTTACCTACGCGATCGGTATCGTCGTCTTCTTCTTCTTTATCGCTACTATCGCTGCTCTAGTCCGATTCGATAATATATAGCCTACCTTCGTAGTTAGTCTACCGACGTTTAGGTTGTTTGCCTTTCTACTTCTATTTACGTTTATCGACGATAGGATACTCGTCGGTCCTTCGTCGTACGTAGGTCTTCTTTATATAGCCTATACTATTAAGCCTATGCTCTTTATAGATAGAACATATCTTTAGAGCTCCGGCTTTCCTACTTTTAGACCTTAGCTTACGCTTCTTACACTTACGAGCCTTCTTAGGTCGACCCTTAGTCTTTACGAGTAGTAGTAGTTTAGTAATGCCGTCGACTAAGATCTAGTCGTATATTATCGGATACAAGGTACCTAAGTAGCTTTCAATATACGACGCCTAACTATACGCTTTATTAATATAATCCTCTAGGTCGTTTAAGATTAAAGGCTCGTTCTTAAAGTAGCGGATAGCGATATACGTATATTCGTACGGCATCCGTATATCCTAGAATGCCCTATAGCTATATATTCGTAAGTTAAGATCTATAATATAAGACTCCTTCGATGCGCTACTCTTAATTACTACCTTGCTAGCTAATGTTAGTAAACAATTCTACCTAGCCCGCGATTTGTATAGGTATCGCTACTGTTCTTCTTTATAGTAGTCTAACTAGCGAATAGACCGGAAGACACGCCGCCGCCTTTCGTAATTTTCAACTATTAGTCTCTCCTACATTATTTAATAACACTAGAATATAGGCAGTTCGCGTTCTACTAGGAATTTATTGTTTATAGACTTAGAATTGTTCGAGGTTAAGTAGCTAAACCGAGGGTATTCGTCTAGTAGGGCGTAATATATTGTCTATCGAGAGGTATTAATGCTTTCGAAGTATAGCTCTAGTTCTATACCCTCCCTAGCCCTACCCTTACGCTTCTCCTATAGTATTTCGTATAGTATTGCTAACTTCTTAGCCTTAAAAGGAATCTCCGTTGCAATAGTAGCGAGACCGCGGATAGTATTTACAATCGCAGGGCCGAAATACTCTTCGAAATTCTTAGCGAGATATTGTATATAGTAGTAGTAATATATACGACGCCTACTATATACCTTAGTTACTATAGGAACTAAGCCTTTCTACCGATCGCTAACTAGAGCCCGGTGTTCTATAGCAGATATTTCGCCTATTAGTAGTAGCTATTCCTTAAGATGCTTAAGAAACTAGGACTAGGATTCCTCTAACTCTAAACGTGCATAGTACTATACTATAATATATACTTAATTCTTAGTATTAATACTAGCGATAATAAGGATAACGCTACTATATATACCGGATATATAGCTACTATCGAGAGTAAGCAACCTACGTAGATATCGAAAACTACGTAGACGCGCGTATAGGAATATAGCAGATACCTAATGCCGATCCTCGTAGTTAGTATGCAATACGCAGAAAGCACTAGTATATATATTGTCTAACCCTTGTGTTTTGTCTAATGCGTTAAATAGTAGACTAATCTTCTACTACGACTCTTTCTCCGAGCTAATAAGTTTATCTAAACACCGTCTCTTTACCCGGTATACTTGTATATAGGTAATCTTATTTAGATACTAGTTCTGTTCGGCACGCCGGAGTTGATTTAGTACGAGTCGCTAGTCGGTAGCGACGGCGTCGATATAGTATTCGAAGAGTATACCTACTCTATAGCCTCTCGGGTTGTAGTAGTGTATTACTAGAGAGTATTTGTATTCCTTAAGGACGAATACCTAGACCTCCTTTCTATCGTTACTATTCCTATTACGGTAGAGTAGGACTTTAAATATATATTAACTTTGCCTATCTATACCGATCGTTTAGTATTAGCGATTGCTTAGATAGATATACTCTTTGCGGTTTGGCTTAGATAATCTCGCAAATGAAGTCTAACCTTTCTCTATTATATACCGGTCGAATGCCTTAACTATAGTCTATATATCTAGATAGCATTAGCCTTAGACAAGTTTAGGAGGAGCCGAGCCTACGAGTATCGATAGTATAGGCATAGTCGGCTATATTATAGTATGTAAATAAAGTCGTCTAGCCGTATAGTTAATAGCTATCGTATTTGTTGCGTTGTCGTAATAGTAACGAAGCGTATAGAGGACGCGACGCGGTTATTTAATACGTTTAACGTAGAATTAGGTAAGAATTAACCTAGGTCTTAGCGAGCCCGCTACTCTATCTCCTCCCTCGTATTCGAAGCTACTATACAACGACCCTAGTAATAATATAACTAACGACGCGTCGAAGGTTATATCGGCGGTATCTAGGTATACGATTACAACGCCGGAGCTACTACTATAGGCCGAGCTTAGCGACTTCTATCTAGCACTACTATTAGCACTATTCTACCTTAACGCGGTATTTCCGGACTAGATACATACTATAGACGCACTCTACCGAGACGTAATTAGCGTATAGGAATATAGGGAGGCATTTATTGCGCTATACTAGACAGTTCTTATCCGGAGATTTGTATATAAATTAGACTCCGACTATACGATAAATATTATCCTCGTAAAGCAAGAAGACGGCGTCCGGGTCGTCTATTTTATAGATTACTCTTATACGGCGGTAGTAGCGAGTCCTTAATGCCTTTAATTCGACCTAGTGCGGTATACGCTAATATAATTTAGGCATATAATGCCTTTATTTATTAGGTTATACTTCCGAAGGGGTAGGCGAACACGACGTCGACTTACGATATAGCACCGCGGAGTATTCTATTATATCTAAAGCTTAAATATAGCCGATCGAAGGACTATATATTTCGTGTTATTATCCGGTATTAATACGAACACGAAGGGGGAGGTACGAAAGTCCGATAGTTTATAGAGTATATATATAGAGTCTAAGGGTTATATAAGTAGGCGAGGCGTATTCGAATTTCTGTATTCTTAGAGAGTCGCTAAGAATATAGAAATTTAAAGCTCGACGTAATGCTTAGTATAGCCTTATACTTAGTATCGTTACGTTATATCCTATTATCGAAGTACTACGATACCGAGATACGACTATCGTACGGAGCGATACCGATACCCTCCCTCCTATCTTCGAATACGAACTAACGCCGGCGGTCGTTCTCGTATTAATTACTTTTGCTAGCGCCGCTTTAATATTATACGCTTAATCGTATAATCTCCGCTATTACGACGAGAGCGTAGACGACACAACCGATTATTATAGTAGCAAAGTAATATACGTCTAGGCGATCTAAGAGGGAGAGAGAGAGCATCGTATATTCGGTAGTACCTATAAAGAGTAGTATATGTTTCGGCAAGAGTAGTATATATTTAGCAGTAAACTACGACCTGCAATCTATACTAGTAGACCTACGCGGTATAGAAAGCTAGGATATAGGATACTAGTAGCGAAGATAGTATATACTATAAATATAGAAAATTACAATTAGTCGAAGAACGCGGGAACTAGCGGGTATTACGCTTATAGAATATAGAAATTTAATCGACTAACCCTTAACCTTAACGACTAAGTATAGTACCGACCGGCGAACGATATAACTTCTCGATAGGCTCGCAATGTCGCTATTAAACACGGAATTTGTATATTAATAGAGCCGGACTACGGATATAGAAATTTAGCTTTCGATAGCCCTACTTTGTCGATAGGTAGGGGTTTAATATAGCATTCCTTCTAGTAGTCGGTACGATACGAACTCTTATTAAATAGCCTATATAAGGTATAGAAGGGCGCACGCCCCGAGTAGAGCCGGTTACTAGGGAGTAATTATTATTATATACGGAGGTAAAGTCTATACTAATTAAGTACTACTGTTATTAGCTAGGCGGACACAATCACTTCGGTACAACCCTAGTAATATATAGATCTAATAAACTATAGGATACCTAACGAAGCTGCCGAAGTGCAAATTCGTACCTACTCTTCTACCCGATCGTCTTCTAGTACGACCTTGCTTAGTAGTAGCATCTACTCTTCTACCTAAATGTCTACCGGTACGGCCTTGCTTAGTAGTAGCATCTACTCTTCTACCTAAACGTCTACTCTTCCGGTACGGCCTAGCTAAGTAGTAGTATCTACCCTTCTACCTAAACGTCTACTCTTCCGGTACGGCCTAGCTAAGTAGTAGCATCTACCCTTCTACCTAAACGTCTACTCTTCCGGTATAGCCTAGCTAAGCAGTAGTATCTACCCTTCTACCTACTTCTCCTTAGTTTAATCCTTATAATACCTTTACTCTTAACTTTTAGACTTAACTAAGCAGCGTAAACCCTCGCTCGCTACTAATACTTATCTATATATCGAAGACACTATATTCTTTTATAGCAATAGAAGCTACTATAACCGCTACCCGACCTCGTATATACCGATAATAGAGATTATCGACCTTACTTCTAATATAGAAGACGAATTACTATCGAAAGTTCTTAATGCCTTTAATAGTAATAGCTCGGAAGTGCGTAGATATACGTTAACTATAGACGGCGCAGCTTTAGCTTTAGCTTAACTCTATAGACGGGTTAGGTCTATGTTCTACCGCCGCGGCAACGATAAGCAAACAAATATATATACGTACAAATAAACAAGTAGCAAATAAACAAAGGAACAAGCGCCGCCCTACGTAACTTAAGAACCTAGAATATAGCGTATAAGCATACCGCCTATCGACCGTCGCTACTACTATAATATACTACTTCTACCTTTTTAATACTTAATAATACTACGGTAGCGTCGAGTGCTAGCAACGAGATGTCTTCGAATATAGCGCGTTTAACGAAGTCGGAGAAGATAGAGCTAGCGGAGCGAAGGAGATTAGTAATAACGATGTTGTTATTAACCGTAATAGCGCGCCGAAGGACCTGTCGGCGCTACACTAAGTTGAGATAGTTAATAATAATAAAGGAGTTAAGATCTACGTAAAGGAAGTAAAGTTAGCGCTAAGACGGCTAAACCTCGCCGCTACCGACAGCTACTAATATTACTTGTTATTGTTACGATACGCGCAATCTTATATACCTATATACATACCCTCTAGCATTCCGTAATAGTACGTCGCTACTTCCTAGTTTTCGTACCGTACCTACCGACAATGCCGCCGCCTAGCAAAAAGATATAGCCGGCGTATATAGTACCGACTAAAGCAAAAAATGGTTGTAAAGGACATTACTAAAGCAAAACTATAGAGCGAAGCTACGCGGGGCCTATACTACGGACAAACATGTTACTCCTAAGCATTAACCCTAAAAGACATATAATATCCTCTCGACTTATAATCGCCTTAACCTATAGAAACTAGCATTACCTGCGTTTTTTTAGACAATTAATAGCTACTAAACCTAGTCTATTATAGTAACGAAACTACAACAATTGAAGGCTGCTAAACCTAGTTATTTTAGGCTAACGGGACCTTGAGACTTTAATAAGCCTTATACCGAATAGACCCGCTTATTCTAGTTCTCGGGTAGAACAAGCAACAACCTCTAGTTAATTACTTAAAGCTAAGGAAGAGCTACAAATACCCCGTACGTTCGCCTATTATAGTAGATAAGAACGCGCTTATATTGTAACGACTTCTTATTAGTTACTAGTTACTAGTTTTTATAACAATATATCACTTAACTACTGTATATAGTAATAGCGTAGTAGGGATATTATATGCCCGGCCCCGGATATTATCGTACGGTCGTTAGAGATAAAGTTTAGATATATAATATTATTAGGTAGTTACGAGTTTAATTTAGCGCGGATTAGTAAACTTATTAGATACGCTAAGTTAGTAGCGATTAGTAATAAATAAGATCGAGGGACATAGTAATAGGCTACGAGGGCGCGGCCTTTAGAAGGGAAGCCTATATAAGCTATATATAACTAGTATATACTCGAGTAAAGCTAGGGTCTTAGTACCTTACTTAGGTAGGGACATTACTTGCTAAAGCTCATTTCCGATTTTCTATATTATATAGACATTATATAGAATATAGAAAATGCTAAATAGTAGTATAACTAAACCTATCGTATAGTATATATAATCGGCTCGAGTAACGCTAGGGTCTTAGTGCCTTATTTAGGTAGGGACTTTACTTGCTAAAGCTTATTTCCGTATTTCTGTATTATATAGACATTGTATAGAATATAGAAAATGCTAAATAATAGTCTACTAAACTTGTCCTAATCGATTTCCTACGGTTTCTAAACAGAAATAGCATATTCCTATCTAAGTAATTACTATGCTAATGTTTACTATCTAAGTAATTTCTATGCCAATGTGTGTACTAATGTCCCGAAATTTTCCTATTTGCGAAATGCTAGCCAATGTTGCCAATCCAGTCCTATCCGAGTAATTACCATGCCAATGTGTCCCATTTGAGTATTTACCCGATTATCCACTCCTTCTCCGATCTATGCAGCAGGCCTACCGTTAGCCAAAAGCCACTAGCAACGGTCTAAAAGCCTTTTGCTTGTACGCGGCTGGGTTCTGGACCAGAAAAACATCAAGGAACGCCTATGCTTCCCATTTCAGCCCACATGGAATCCGAAAGAAGTGCCGCTGATTACGCCGGTCCAGCATCGTCCTTCTTGATCTGGCATTCTTACCCGCATCTTACCTATCAAATGTCGCCGTTCCTACTCCCGGTCCATCTTAGAGTGATCGACGCTTACCATTATCTTTACCAATGCGACGGATTCCTCTTACATCGAGTCGTCTTACTCCAATGATGTGTGGAATGCCTGCTATGTTATAGACGTAGGCATATTGGGTTCCCTTCAGCACCCCAATCAACGCAAGATACTGCGTAGTACACAGGTGGGCGGCTTTTCTGTCGAACTTGTCATATAGGTCGGAGGTTTTAGTCTTGATCATTGAGAATCTTAGCGGGAGGGATAGGTTTCTGTCGGAGGCGAGGGAGAGGAGAGCTTGAGGATCTGCCGTTTTCCCCTGTCGTAGGGCTACAACCTTGCACGAGTTCGAGACAGCAACTTGCCGCTCATCACATCGTCCTGGCTAGGCGTTATAGTGACGGGGAAACTGGAGCAGATGACTTGTGGTTTCGGAAATTGTTGCGAAATGGAGTTTGTACTTGATTTCGAACGCGAAATGTGTGCACCCGCGTCGTTCAAATCTGATTACGTACTTAATTGCACATATCGATTCGTCGGCCTGGCCGAGACATCCCTGAAGCGGCTGTCCTTATAATGAGGCAGAACCCAAGCCTCCGCACTGCTACAGCGGGTCACCTACGGCAATGTCCGAGCGATGCGCCGCACCACTAGCCGCTATACTAATTTGTTAGCAAAGCGTGGAATTCAACATTCTGCATTCATTTCCATCGATGCACTATATTGTCGTCGCATTTTGAAGCCAAAGTTAACGTGTAGAAGTGCTATACTATCAAATCTGAGGTGTTGTTAGTTGTTGCGGCCTAAGGCAGCTGCTGCCGGGCGCAATTCGCTCAATACACTGAATTTGCTGAGTTTCGCTATGTCCGCCGGGCGCAATTTGCCTCTCCTGCTACTATACCGCTGTTAGTGTCTTGCCCGCTTATTTGGACTATTAGAAGGTGACTGAGGTATACGAGCTAGAGTATCTTGCTAAGCGTGTCGCATAACCTCGAATTCCTCTTTTGCTAGTCTACCTCCTGCCTGTATCGCTATAGGTGCTGGCGCCTGCCTCGGAGCCACTAATTGCGACAGTTTGATACCCTGCTCAGCATAATAACTACTGGCAACGTACCCTTCCGTTAGTGGACCTTGGCCGAGTCGTACCTAAGGGATAGTGACATTGCGACCGCGTTCCTTAGCATCCTCAATTAGCTGAGAAACAGCGTAATTTAGGTGAGGATTTAACGCCTTCGAGATGCGCTCAAACTATAGGTTTATAACGGTATCCTTAACCTACGGCTCTTCCTCGTTTAGCGCCTCGTTATCTTCTAGGTTGTAATACTACTCGCGTAGGTAGAATAGCCGCTCCTTTATTGTCGCCGTACGCTTGTGCATACCACTAGCTGCTAGCTCTTGCTCTTCCGCGGCGGAAGACTTATTAGCAATAAGGACCTTTTCTATACTGTAGTATAGCTCGAAGCCATTGTCGCGCTAAAGCGACGTCTAGGCGTCAAAATCGTCGTCGGTAAGGTCGTCGATAAGCAGGTAGCGCGCCTACAGGTATCGGCATAGAATATGCCATTTACGGTAGAACTGGCAGTCGCATTCATTATTAGCAATCGCTTTAGCGGTCTCGCTGCGCTGTCGAAGGTTACCGTTGAACGCGTCGTTAGTACTAGCATTAATCTCGGGCGCAATTAAGTCGCAGGCGGCGTACGGAAGTGAGGCCATCTAGCGATAAGTTGTCGCATATAGATAAAGCGAATGCGCGTGTTTCTGTGCTACAACGGCGGCGCGTCGATCGAGTGCGTTAACGACCGAGTCTAAGTAGATAATACTGCCCTTCAAAGAATAGTAATTCATCTGTTGTTTAACGCCGCTACGCTTTAGCAAACTATAGAAGTTCTCGAGGTTGCTAGTCGTCCGGATTTAAAGAAGAACAGGCGAGTAACTACGAGGAAAATGAGCCTATAATCGCCTATCGTTATACATCGTAACTTCGATGTATTTAAGCCGTTTATCCTTCTCCTTCTTCGACAAGTTATCTATCGCTTCGAGAAGGTCTGTAGCGCGCTTAAGACTGTCGATACAACTACCCTCGGTATGTCGATATTTGAGCGCTTTAAGTAGGTGCTTAAGCACCCTCGTAAACTTCCTGCCTTTCTAGTACTCATTAAGTGACTTCTCGTAGTGGAATTGGTATAGGAAATAGTCTACCTCTTGCTTACCGGCTTCTAACCCTCGGAATTCTAGCTGTACTACTAGCTGTTCCGCACCGCTATCGTCGGTTACAAAGTATCTTAGTTCCTACTTTTTTCGCCGATTTCTATACTATTCCTTTATTTGCTTGAAGGCCGCCGCTATTATTATTCTATCTTCTCTTAGCGAATAAAAATAGGCGCAAACTCGGTACGTATTCGAAGAATCTCGGACTATAATCGAGAAGAGCTTCTACTCGAGGGAATTCGTTTTGTACGTAGAATCGACGATTGAAACCTACCTAAACCGACTTAGGAGGTCTAGACCCGATTCTTTAGCAAATACGAGGCAGCGAGAAGGATTGCCGTCGGCGGCTTGCTTAATATCGATATGTTGGTGATAATAATAGTCTATAAACAAAGAAATTAGTTATTTTGAAAATAAGGTGTCGCGCTAAGTATAGGTCGCAGCCTAATTAGAAGCCGTAAATTGCGGAGATCGGAGGTGCGCTAGGGTTTCGAGTGCTTGCTAAGCTTGTAGGGATAACATGTAATTAGCGACGCTACCTACCGGATTAGGCAAGTTGCGGGGCTATACCATTAATTAAGTTTGCCAAGCAAGGTGTTAGAGGTAGGCGCGCGGACTTCGAGAAATTCGACTTACTTCTTTCTAACTACTCTCTCGCCTCTTTAACCTGCAAACTCCTACTTAAATCGTTGCTACGATATCGTAGATTTAGATATGCTTTCAACTAACTACGCGCTGCGTTATATACGGTCTAGATGTTGAATTTAGCACCGCTAGCAGTAAGAAGCCGCCTACTTCCACCTTCGAGATTATCGCTAGTAATTAGCTGTCGAATAGCAGCCGTTAAGTGCCCTCTCTAAACCTCGGCTCCTACTAACTTTAGAAGGAATGTAGGTGTCTTCCGCTAGTTAGCAACCTCAATAGTATAGTTGTGTAGCAATGGATTCTTCTTATCTTTAAACACCTTATAACGCAGAGGCCGTACGCGGTATAGTCTTCCCTTGTAATCACTCATTACTTGCGCACTAGGCTAACCTTCTTCCGCCTCCTCGTAATAGGTATAAACGTTGAGCACAGCCGGATAGCGCAAAGTCGCTGTTATATTGCGCTTCCGCCTCTTTAATGGATCATTAGTCGTCTTGTTCATTATAAGATCGCGCCGACGACTACACCGACAGATAAACCTGTATTTACGCCGCTTCTTCTGAGGCGTGTAATACCTATAGCCGTTACTAACCTATACATTGTCGATAAAGGGCTAATAAGTCGCCTTCTCTTCCGGCGTTATAACAAAGGCTTCTGCTAACGGCTAGAATAGCTTCTGTCGCTATTCTTCTAGGTTTGGCGGCAACTTGAGTAATACAGACTCGCCATTGAAATGGAGTCCACTCTAATTAGTCTTAAACTCATTGAATCCACCTTTGCCCTTTCCGCGCGCCGGCGGTCTATCATCCTCACTATTAGTCTCACTAGGCGCGTCTTTATCACCCTCTTCACCACCGAGCGCTTCACCACCGAGCGCTTCACTACCGAGCGCTTCACTACCGAGCGCTTTACTACCGAGCGCTTTACCACCTTCTTCATTACCGAGCGCTTCACCACCTTCTTCATCACCGAGCGCTTTACCGCTAAATCCAGCATTACTAAGCAACTGATCATCATCAAAGTTAAGGTTATATTGGTTGTCTGGCAACTAGGTATCAATCGAGGTCTCGTCGACCGGTACAGGCACTGTATCACTAGCAATCTCCGCCTGTAGAGCGGCTATTTGGGCGGCGGTGAGGAGGCCCTCGGCGGCGTCTATTGTCGCGATGCGAAGGTCGAGAAAGAGCACGAATTTGGTGGGTTTCGAGGGATATTGCGACGACTAAATCGACCGAGCGGACGAGCGAGAGGGCGGCGGCGAGTTGGCGACAGCGAGTTAGCGACAGCGAGTTGGCGACAGCGAGGTCTACAAGAGAAGGAATCTACAACACCTACTGGCGGGACAACAATGGCTAACTGCATCTAATTAGGTGTGGAAATAGGTGGGTGGCTATGCACCTTGGCAAGCCTGTCCCCACCCGGTGTGGCTTGGGTTCTGCCTCATTATAAGGACAGCCCCTGAAGCTCTCGCAACTTTGCTGGCCCTTCTCTTCCAAGTTCCTCGACGACTGTTCTGCTTGCCATCCACAAATAACCAACTGCCGCTGCTTTGCGACGATGAAAGACCTTCAGATGCCGAATTATGCCCCAGTGGACGATCCGTCGATGCCTCCATCCGTTGTGACTGTCCTGCGATCGCCTCTGCTCTCGAAGCAGCTCCCACGTCTGCCGCCGCAGAGCTCACTGTCACGTCTGAAGAACTCATGCCAGGGAACATTGAAGATTGCATTTTGGCTGCAGAGCTGTCAGCCAGAACAGGATAGCATGATGAATCTACACAGAGCAACGGCGTGGTTCAGTGCCAAATGCTCGTAGATAAGCTGATTCTGGAGGTCTGAAGCAGATGTCTGCTGAATCACATCCCCGCGGCCTCTGATCTGCCGCTTCATCTCGATCAGTTTGACCATCCTAAGCAACTCGGACGAAGCATTGCCAAACAGCTCGTCTGAAATGCTCAGGGACTTTAAGCTTGCATTCTCAGCCTGAGTACCATTACTTTGGTCCGCGAGTACATGATGAAGGGAAAGGCCAACCACGATCCATGGCGCCACGCCCCATGCAGCAACACCGCTACGGAACGAAGCCTCGGGAGTATGCATTGCTGGCCCAGATCCACCATAGGCGTTGTGGAAACCCCGGTACTTCTTGTCCCGTCGTGCGACAGCTGTCACTATGTTCACGGTCCTCGCTTGAGCACAAGCCGTCTGACCCTGGACACGCCGACTTTCGTTTCTTGCAGAACATAGCTGTGCCTGAGATCGGGATACCAGCACAACATCCGGACTTAGTCGGCCACGCAGCATTGCCAACAACTCTCTCAGTCATCACCCTTGCCTGAAGGCTCGGCTTTGAAACGGCTTCGATGACGATGTCTCGATCGTCTTTTGTTCTTCGCAGGATGCGATGCCTACCATAGCTTGTTCGAGCTGGCTTTTTTGATGTCTGGGTAATAGATTGAAGGAAACCATGAAACGCTGGTTCGTCTAGAACAGGCGCATGCTGCACCACGTAAGATTGTCTTCATGACCACGGCACGAACACCAGAAATCGGACGCCTGTCTTGCCACAATCCAGTGCAATGCCGCGAGCAGAGCCATCAAGGTCGGTACGCCTCAACATCAACAAGCACTTCTGGAGAGGCATTCGTGCAGCAAGAGATGCCGAGATCACCCGTTCGAGGATCTCAGAGCCTGCCTGGGCGAAGAGAGTATTGCGGCGGATCATGTTGACCCAACGTACTTCCAATGGCTGTTCACCAATCACACATCGTCAACAGATGAGCTCGGCGTTCAAGGCCAATTCAAGACCGTGCCGCTCACTACCACCAACGAACGGCCCTGTAAAATCATCCGATTACGAATTTCGACTCTCCAGTCAGCCAGGCTGAACGGACATCACTTCTGCGTACGATTATGGCAACATCAGGCGGATGAGTATGGAAAACCTTTCAATTACATGTCTCTCAAAGCCTAGAGTGTTAGGCAGCCGCATTGAGCGACTGTCTAGAGCAAGGACTGTTCACTACTGGCTACGTCGGCAAGATCATGTTCCCGTAGGGAGCTGTTGATCGGCCGAACTTCTATACGCAGAATTCCCGAGAAATTGCACACACAAATTTCAGACGTTCGTAGGCGAACGTTTTCTTCAACATCTGACTGTTACCTGGCCGACCATGGCGGCAGTGGTAAGTCGTCGCCGTACAAATGCGATTGAACTTCTAGTCTGGCTGCAGTTCCCAACACGATGTCCAGGATCGACAAATCCAGGTAGATTTCGTGCAAGATTGCGGAGGAAAGGCCGAGAGCAGATGGGATTTTGCACTAGCTATGTGGACCTTCAGCCTGGCTTGATTGATCTTGTGCTCTCAGCTTGCGATGTCAAGTCGGGTATGCGGCTGTTCCTTGGTTCAAGTGCTGCACTCTCAACCAGTCAGTGTCTGGGAATCTGTCGTATCACGATCCCGGGCTTCTTGTGCTAATGCTTGACAGCTGAGATCATTTTCGAGTTCAGGTAGCGTGATTTGGCGTGATGGCAATACTACGCTTCCCAACTGACGAACGACATCCTGATATAGGACTCTCGGTGCCTTGTCCGTTAGCTGCAGGCGGTGCCGAAAATAGTGAACGTTGCGCGGATTCGTCCGCACAGGCTCAGTTGGTGCGATGACCTCCTTGTCAGGCAGATGCTTCGTGGGCCTCTTACCGGGTGCTACTGAGTCCCAAAATGGTTCCACCGTAGTGGATGCCTAGGTACTCGGTGGTATTGAGATGCGCGATGCTGGACGAGTATCTCTAGGTCAAAGAACCGTATGGACTGCGTATGTGGTGGCTTCCATGTCGTTGAGATAGTTCGTGAGAGCGTCTGTGAGCTTCTCTTGATATGTGAGCACTTCCGATAGCAGCTTGGCCATGCTGACGACAGTATCCTTGTGCGATGCAAAGTATGTTAAGTGAACAAGTTGGAGCTCAGCTGGTGGGAGTGAGCTGGTCCACTCAGTCGAGAACGGGCTCCGTTGCTGAAGATGCCGCCCAGCCACTGTAAGCGAGATGGTGCGTTCCGTTGACGAATTTGAACTCTTCTGGCAGCTGTCTCGTCTTGGCGGTGATCCTTCCTTTCTTTGGTCATCTTTTTGCATGCTAAGACTTCGGTAGCCAACTTCTTGGGATGTTCGGAAATGGAAAACAGCAGCCTCATTTAGAAGATTGCCACTCGCAAAGCTCGCTATAGAAGCGTGTCCTTCTCTCGGCATGGAAAGTTTTGCACGCGCAGCGTTTGAAGTCACAGTATCTTCTCGACGCCATTACAGCCTCCAACTTCTGCGGTAAGAGGCTACCTCGAAAGAGTCTGTGTCCCTGCTCCGTGTCCTGTCGTCTTGAGCAGCATGATCATTTCACGAAAATCCTATTGCAAGCATATGAACTCTATGAGCTTCGCGAGGCTCCGCGCAGGTTGCAGCATTTGGTAAACGCAGATGGAAGACCTCACGCCGTTTTCGAGGCAGGTGCCTGCCGGATTTCGAGCTCGATCCTTTTTGTTACCCTGCAATTGCCTTACAGGGGCTTCCGACAACTCACGGTAGCCGATTCCATGATCTTGAAAACAATGTTGGAAGTCCACTGCACATCCTATCTATGATTGCAAGGGAGGAGAAAGGGCACAGATCCTTCATTCCGTACATCGGCGCGTGCTACGCTTGGAATCTTCAGCCTCTTCGCGAAAATCGGGCCCAGACAATGCTGCTGCTCAATGCCCATCCTTCAACGATGGTGACCTCGACCTTATCTCGAACTTCGGGCGAAGAGGAAACCCCCATGCCCAACACTCATCTTTCGTCGATTGCAAACTGGATCTGGTTCCAGGATTGGGCGCGATGCACGACTGTGGATCAACACCAACGGCCGACACATCTGCGTCTACGATCCTCAACCGAGAGATCCTCCTGGCAGCTTTATGCAGCGTCGAGACCCTCCAACTGGTTACACATTCACCATGGCTCTTGTTGTTCGAGGTATGCGGAGGCCGGGAAGCCTCGACCTCGCGATCCCGCCCGGCCGTCGCTGCTACCGTGTTGCTCAAGGTCCCAAAAGGTTCCAGCCGAGAGAACCTTCTGGTGGCTTCATGTTCGCCCACACTCCACAGCGTCGCGACACTCTGACTGGTTATACATTCACGATCAGGAAAGGCTCAACCTCGCGATCCTTCGACAGGCGCGCTGCCACCATGTCGCCCGAGGCCCAAAGAAGTCCAGTCAGGAGATCGTCCTAGCCTCTCTATGCTCGCTCAGGCACTACGGCGTCGAGACCTGGAACTGGTTCCACATTCATCATGGCTCCTCTCGTGCCAAGAAAGCTTCATTCTCGGGATATTTCTCATAGCTACCGTGGTGCCCAAGACCCCGAGAACCCCCGGCCGAGAGAGGCTCCAAATGGCCGTTATTGGGCTGGCATCGACAATGGGAAGGGGGGCTGATGCACTGGGGACGATGAGTGCCCGCCTTCCTCTGCTCTATATGCTAGGGCAAGACCTAACGCATAGCATGTCGCCGGCAACCCTTCCAGATCTGCGTTTCTTGTTCCCGGGAAGGCAAGTCGTTCTAGTGTCTTGTTGTTGATCGCCTCGCAGCCCGAGCAGAAGCTTATGCTCGTTAGAAAAGGCTATAGCGTCTGGTTAAAGATAGCCGTATACAAGATATGTAGGTGAAATCGCTGGGTGAAGCTGGTGAACCTCGCGTGAAGTTTCTTGGTTGAAAATTTGGTCTCCTAACTCTGGAACTGGTCTCTGGACCGCCACGAGTCATCCAAACACTGGCAGTGCCTCGTATGGCATCCATCTGTTTATGCCGCACCCGAGAATTGTGTTTCACCTTCCTGCGCGGATTTTGAGAGCTTGTGGGTGGCTCCTCGGCATGCTGTAAATCCAGTCGATTCTACCGTTTACCAACCCTGCCTGGCGAGCGATTGCGGCCATTTTCTATACTGCCATTTGATAGGTCTGCTGCACCTTCGATCCGAAGGGCTGCGACTCGTGCCGGTGGAGTTGTGCCTAGGAGTTCCTAGTCTCGCTTCCCCCTCGATCGCGTGGGATCTTCTTCTCGACAGCGCCTGGCTGGGCTTGCCTCATTCTGAAACTGAGCACGAATTGCTTCTCTGTCAGCGAACACACCAGACTTTTGCAGGCAGACTCCAAGGTTGGTGCCAGTGCATTAGGGAAGAACTGAAGCTGAAGCAGGAGCATAAGACAGGACTGCTTGAATCACAAGGCCACGGCGCATGTGCAATGAAAAGCAGTAGAGGGCAGAATGCGAAAGTGTGAAAGAAAGAAAAGAAAATCGAGATCGGTCTCCTCAGGATGCAGGTTCAGGCTGCAGCACCTTCGCCATTACGGCAGCACACCCTTCCAATACAATCCCCATCGCTAGGCATAAGCCATGAAGCCTACCGAAACCCACCGAGAAACTCGCAGATCCCGAAGAGAAAATCAAAGTCCTAAGGCCCATTATGCCTCGAGTGCGGACAACCCATTGACGAAGAAGAAAGCCAGAGTAGCGAAGTCAACCATGTACTAGTCTTGCAGGCCAACCCAGAACAAACCAACCCTCATCGCAGCATGGATTTTAGCTGAAAGAAGTAGCTGCGTCCCAATCATCAAGCAATCATAAAGAAAGCCGACGCGTCCACACAAAAGTCCAATCCGGACGAAGGGACAGCTTCACATTGAGATCCGTAGAAGGATCTCAGCCGAGCCATGAGAATTCGGTCCATCTCCGGAGAGCGCGCGGGTGATATCGCTCATATACCTCGTTGCAGAATGCGTTGGCGTACTGTCCATGATCGCTGCGTTCCTTGAGCATGAGGTCGCGAATGGCTACGTCGTGATAATGGAAGGAAGAAATGGTTGCTGTCCAAATCACATAGCAGGAAAGTACCGCAAACGGAGGTTTGTGCGGCAATGCCAGAACGTCCGGGACAGCCATTCTATTCTCACTTTGGGTTCCTGGACGCAATGCGGCCAAAGTTCGATTTGCAATGTGACTATGGCGCGAGGCATCAGACGGCTTCTCTCGCCTTTCATACCAGGTGCCAGGGCCATGAGCTGCCTGAAGGCACCATGAGCACGCAAAAGCTGCCGCTCCCAAAATGTGACCAGGCGCACAGCGTGAGGAGGCTGCAACATGCCGTGCAAAGTTTTCAAGGACATCACTTCGACCAAATGACACGCCACCTCGCAGTCAATTGTCCTGGAGAGCGTGATCAGCCTTGTGTGTGTCCTGACAGCGTGGGTGGTGACCGTTGTCAATACATTGGATGCGTCTCCTGCCAACAGGCAAATTCATCTGAGGCGAGCTTGTCCATCTCCAGGCGCAGCTCCGCAGGCAGGCAGGAGAAGCCAGGTCCAGGCGTGCTTCGTGGGCGTCGTAGTGCGTTTATGGCGACAACAGTTGGAGTGTTGCTGGCCATATCTCTGGCGATTGGCGCTGCTGTTTGTGTTGTCGGCATCATGATGAATTTGCGATGCCTGCCGGTGTAAACTTTGGCATGCAGCCGTCGCCCAGTTGCACGACATCCCTGTCAGTGCCGCTCACAGGCACGTCGCCGAACGTGTCAGCGCCCGTGGAAGGTGCGGGTGAACTGCAAAGTCACACGCAGGACTATCGTATCACCGTCAATTGATAGAATCGATCCATAGAGAACATCATCGTCCGCTGTCTGAGATGGTACCATCATTCAGCCTATCTCCGTTTCAGGCCCTTGCTGTTTGGGAGCATGGGGTGGAGAAGGCCCGAGAGCCGATCGAAAGATAGAAGTCACACGTCGGAAGGTAGAAGGTAGATCGAAGTCTCGGCGCGCCTGCCCTCGTCGCTCCTCACCATTTTTCAGCAGCAGCATTACGCCCCCATTGTCCCAGTCACTCGTGCGAACATATCAGAATGCATGTCGCCTGCACGCAAGAATGCATGATCACTTATACGCGGCGCATTGGGACTGCTTTCACGACTCGTCATCCGCGTAATCTTTGGAATGTGTCTCTTGCGTGTAAGATCGCATAGAGAGGCAGCCGGCGGACAACTCTCCTTTCCCCGGAGCGGCGTCTGCGTCTGCTTCCGTGCATGTGATAGACGTATGTGGATGGATGCGTTGCGTTTGGGATGGAAAAGAATGAGGAGTTGGAATGGCCAAGATCTGGTAGCTGCTTCTCCGTCATAGCATTCCGGCCATGCATTTTCGACCGCCAATGTTCCATGTACATCATCGCTGCACCGTCGTTCCTTGAGGGTGCATTCTGTGCGTCTGTTATGCCAGGACGTCGAGCGGCAGGCGATGGTAGAAGCACAAGGCAATGTAGGCGGGTACGGGATCCATGGACCGTGCAACGATGCACACACCCCTCCAGGAAAAGAACCGGCAATGGAACAAGTCTCAATGGCGACTTGGAACTAAATGTCTGGGCACGACAAGACAGGAGAAGGGCATTGACGGGAGCCACAGCAACGACTGAGATGGCGAATCTCAGCCATCTGAGCTGGCTACCTGGAGAGCCTTCTGGCAGACCGACATTGACGCATGGTTGATAACAGACGCCGAAGATGTGTCTTGATGTATGGGGTCAATGAGTTCTAATCTTCTTGTGGCAATGGGATTGTTCGACGAGCGGCAGATACTGTGGGACGCATGGTTGATGACAGACGACAAAGATGTGTTTTGATATAGCTCCTTGTAGTACGTGACATGCGAAGAGCGATACGAAGTCACACCGACAGGCCTGCGAAGCTGCCAAAGCTGTTTGGGCAACTGGTGAGCTGCCGCGGAGTTGAACACATAAAGCAACGAGGCTTATGGAAGGGTGGACGTCATACCTCAACGAACTCCGCCTCCAACTGTCTTTGCTTGGTCTTGAACATCTCCTTGTGCTGGTTGAACTCACCCATGCCCTAGGGGTTGAAAGTCGACGCGCCAATACAGGAATCATACCGCGTTCTCCGCCTTCTCGTTCCTATGCTCAATTCCAAAGAACTCCGATCAACGATCATCAACACTAGCTTGATGTCAAGTACACGACAGACTGGTACAACTCTGATAATAGCGTAGCCAAACACGGTAGGCTATGCCGTGCTTTCAGTCATACAAATATGCATGTCCAGGTCTTTTATATGCGCTTTGCTGTAAAGATTGTGTCTTGAGGAAGGCGCCGCAGACACTTGCTCGCTGGTCGACATTTCTGTGCTCGTTGCGCGCGTTTCGCGGAATCTGTGCCTTGAGCGTAACGTGGAGATGGTCCAGAAAGACACTTTGCAGCTTTTCATTTTGCAAGCAGTTAAAGCTCCCAGCGTCTGCGAAAATGCACCGGTTGGGTGTTGATCCTGGACCAGCGTTGTTGGCGAGCAGCTATCAATAAGGAAATGATTTGTGTGTCCTCTTCTCGGCAACATTTCTAAAGAAGATAGAATGTCTTGCACGAAAGACAAACTCGAAACCAGTTGTGATCGTTATACGAGGTCTCAGTGTCGCAGATCCTGAACTCATTCCAATCATCGAGGTCCGACCTGAACATATAAAGTTCCCTTAGGTTCTTGAGCTGCTCGACAATCTGCACGAGGAGGACGAAGACGGTGGCTCTTTGATCTTGGTTGAGAGACAAGTGACATTAAATCGTGACACCTGCTTCAACAGTTTATGATCCCGGCAACGTGTACGAATATCACGTTGTCTGGACCCCTATGGGCCTATCCAAACAAGTCGACTTCAACCCCTTCTTAGATGCGACTCGCAGCGAATGTCAAGCCTTCTAGCTATCTATCAATCCAATCTCTTATCGTATAGCAGGCGTGAGTCGGAAACGTATGTAGGGTGTATCATAGGACCGACATAATCGAAGGGCGGAAAGTAAGTGCACTTCAAGCTCAAACCTTGCCCTTCTTTTCCTCGATCGTCCCTATGATATGCATCGTGTGCAACGTGGTTATTGATGGCAATGCTACTCAGCTGTCGAGAACATCCAAGTCACCGGTGCGCTTCGTACACTTCTCGAGGTGATTACGATGTTTTATTCCACGCGTTGTCCTTCCATCCAGTGAATGGATAATGAACGAGTGCTCTTAGTCAGGTGCTGGCTTATCAATGCGGAGGAGTCCTGTCTATAGTAGCTGTTGGCTCTTCTGCCTTGTGTGCTGGGTCTTTGGTAGCACAATATCACCGGGGTTGAGCTTCTGGCGCGACAAGCGTTTGTAGAACCACTCTTGATGTGCCTTGCTTGGGCGTGGTCATGCTGCTTGAGCCGCTGCATGCACTGCCTTGTGTGTGGCGAGGTGTTCAATCACCCTCCAGATTTTCTCAGGATCAAGAGGTTTCCCGTCGGATAGCCGATTTTTTTTCGTCTTCGACTGCGTTCCACATTGCGTTCAGCAGCCGTGACGACTTATCGTTTCTTCCATATCGCCCCTATCTTCTAAACGGTCTGAGGTGAAGCCTGACTCGATGTCTCCTAGTGAAAATCCTCGAATGATGTCGATGTGCATCGTACACGATTTCCATCGCCTCCTGATCCTAGTTGCTGAAAAATTCAGTCGGATGCCCTTGCTTATGGGCTTGAGTTGTGCCAGTCGCCCTTTTCTCGAAGCACCGCCGGATGGCTCTTATAGTGGCCGCTGCAGTGCCAGTCATTCGCTTCGAGCCTGTAGATGCCAGTTGGCAGGTACATGTTGCGCTGTATCAGGCACAGTGCCTGGCATTGATTGACGCTACGATGACAACCCGACTTTGATGAGCTCTCAGAACCCCGCATTCTTCATGCACGACTGTACCTTTATCGCATGCTAGAGTGCTTGCGAGAAGCCACTCAAGTCGGCACAGATGATGTTTATGTAGGGAGACTGAAATTTTGCGCCAAATGGCTGTCACCAGTGCCTTAATTGGTGCTTACATTCCTAAAGAATGGAGCTGCATTCGTCCACGAGCTTTCGGATGAGCCTGATGATGCGATTAGACTCGCGCATCCGGTCATGATAAGCATTCCCTTTCCCCCAGTAGCGATTCCGTCATTCCCATATCGGTGCCTGGGTCGGGGTCGTAGAAGATCAATTATTTCGGGTCTCCACTTGAACATGCGATACATAGAAGTGGTCACAGTTTCAGCTTCTTCATTTCGCAACGGCTAGACCTGTACAAACTGTGAGAAGCAGTCGGCCATGACCAGTAAGTATCGATACATTCCTGGTCCACGGGGCTCAAATGGCTCCATCTGGGCGATCTCCATTACCTCGCCGGGGTGCAGTAGTGCGGGCCTGCTGAAGGACTCGGTGTGGATCGCCGAGACCTACAAGGCGCAGAAAAAGCAGCTCTGTACATAATCGTGCGGGTCTTCGAGCATTGTTGGCCGCCAAAACTGGCTGAGCAGCTTGCTGATATACTGCTTTGCTGTTGAAGCGTCCGCACTCATGACGCTTCTTCGCCAGGATACTCGCAACCTTCTGTGATTGTACACACGAAAGTCACTCGTTGGAGACTGCCGCCTTTTTCCTTCTCATCGTCCAGCCCCAGCAGGTAGATGTCCTCGGCCATGCCAGCGGAGCATAGAGATGCCAGGCCCTCTGGCACACTGTGGGCGTTCTGGGTGGTAGTTGAACGGTATCTGTGTAGCTCAGGGCGCGACAAATCACGGCGGCTATTGGTGGCGTCCGTCAGGAATTGGACAGCTTGCCGCATGATAAGACGTCCTTTGCCGATGACTGCGGTGGCGACTTCAAGCTGCGCGATCTCGTTGATGTCTCTCTTGCTGGTGCGGAGCAGTGATCCTCGAGGGGCAGCGTTCTGCAAGAACTTCAGAATGCTGGCCTCAGCCACGAATGTACTCATTTCATCTTTCCACATCTTGTTGACGTGGTTGTAGCGCCGATCATCTGGAAACGTATCCAGTACGCATTGTCTACATCGAACTTGGTGAAGATTCTATGCTCTAGGTAGCTGGCGTATCGATAGACTTCCTGCATAAGCTGCATTTGAAAACCTGCGTTATCCACCTACACGTAGTGGTAGTTGAGCATCAATCATAGTCTGTCCTTGCGTGACTTCTTCATCAGCACTATGCCCCATTATAAAAGTTGGTCGTTTGCTGGTAGGTGCTCTAGTACATAGCATTCTTGCAATCCTCGAGTCCTTCTGCAGCAAATCTCTGGTCGACGTTCAGCCTCTGTAGCCTCCTCTCAGTCGAGAATTTGCGGGCGTGGGTAGCAGCTTCTAGATAGCTGACTGCAACGATGAGATCGACATCAATGACCTTTGCGCGTTGAAGATGGGTATGTAGTGAATCGGATCGGCAGATGGCATTTGAAAAGCTGTGTTCGCTGTGAATGGGTTCGACTTCTGGGATGACGCGGCCTTGCGCGGGTGATAATTCTGGTGTGGCTATTGGTGTGTCTTCTCTGTATGGAAACGGCTGCGCGATGCCTGCATCGCGGAAGGCTTGGTTTCGATCTTCGCGTGGAGGGCTTCCTATAACAGATGTTGCCTGCGTGATGGACGTTTGCCTCTGAAGTCTCATTTGCTCCAAATTGTTCACTTCTTCGAGCAGGGCCATTGTGTTGGTCAGGATGTAATCTTGACCCTGATCCTGATCGCGGGTCGCTTTCGAGGCCTGCTGAGGCTGGTTCGAGTGCATGTAATAACTTTGCACTGCTGCTGGCAGTGTCTGTCTTGATCCTGAGCCTTTTCATGTCGTGACGAGGCCGCCTTACAAATCCTTGTCGGAGTCAGAGTTGGAGTTATCATCCTCACTGTCGGAGATCTCATTGTTGCTACTGTCGTCTCTCATCGCAGCAGCCAGGATGCGATAACTGAAGTCCTCTATGAATTGCCGAACTTCGGCAGTCTCTGATTGCTGATTATCCATTGCCGTTGCCGTCTTTGGAACTGCTCTTACTCGCTTGCTCTTTCGCAGCGGTGTAGTAATTGCTGCTGTATTCTCGCCGATCTGCAGATCGCTAAGATAAATTTGTTCCTTTGCGAATGTCGATGCGGGCATTTACCTCGTGGAGAAACTACAACGAGAGGTTGCCCCTCTCTGAAGGGCATATGAATACTCATGTCTCTCGCATGACGCCCCCGACCTTGATCCAGAGCGTGAGAAAGAAGTCCAATGCCACAATTTCTCTATAAGGAACGCTGATTCATATCCCAGGAAAGCCATACTTATTTAAGTTATGAAGCCTCGATTCTAGCGCCTGGCGGAGGTGCGGATAGATGAGCTTGATGTCGGAACCGTTGGTCTGCGGCTACGGCCTGTCAAGAATCGCTGCGGCGTGCTCGTCTTCCCTTTGGTGCCTGAGCCAAATGGATGCCGGAACGCAGACGCGTTGTCCTTGCACAGTCTGTTCTGAAAGCGGGTCATGAACGAGTGCACTGCACTGCTGATTTTATTGGCGCCAGCTGCGAAACGAGTGCTGTCCGGTTTTCTAAGCTTCTTCTTCGGTGCCCCTTGCGACTGCGGTCTGCACAGCAGAGAGGAGGTTCTGGCTGCTGTCCGCGTTGTTCGTTGGATCCTGCTTCTTCGTCTCAGTGGCATTGACGTGGGCTTGCAGTATCCGCTCGTGTGGTGCAAGATATCCAGTGCTCACAGACTGAGCTTGTGGCGCTTGGACAGCAAACACATAATTAGGATCGTATCGCTGCCCGGCCGGCTCTTCTGGTGCGGCTGGGGGTCCCCATCCAGTGCCCTCAGTGATGACTTCCAAGGACTTCTCCTTTGTTTTGGCCCACGAAAGCGCGGCTGCGAGGACAAGCGCCTGGTCTCGTCGCTCAACCGCTCGTCGCTCAACCACGGTGCCCTCTACACAAGCCAAGTCAATGGTAGCTTGACCTCGACCTGCTCTGGGAGGTTGGCTGCATCTGGAGGCGCTGAATGGAACATGGCTTTGATCGGCTTCATTGGATCTTTACGCTTGTTGACTATGCGCACGATTTCGCCTGAGTTCCTTGATCGGGCGTTGCTCTACGCCTCGCGCTGCATCTGATATCTCTTCATCAATCCTTCCTCGCGTTGTTCCTGCATCATTGGCATAGACTTACGTTGACATTATGGCTGGTGATGCAGGTGTCTCGTCTGGTGACTCTGCCATAAGGAGCGACTGCGTTGATCTTGGTATGCCGGCCGGCAAACCGCATTGTGACTTTTGTTCTGCATTCTCGCGGAGTCTGGCTGCATGCCAGGTGCCCGTGGCGTCTGCGGAGGCTGCTGGTCATTCATGGGTGGCCGATTGATTGAGTTGTTCTGATGATAGGCATTGTTCCGCTCCCTCGCCAAGGATACAGAAAACGTGTCTGGTCCCCAGGCAATCCAATGCATGTTCACTCGGTACCCGAACGGCCTCGATTCCTGCATATCGCGCTCAAAGGATTTCCCAGCTATGCCGGTACAAGGGCGCTCCATTGACAATCTTATAGCCAGAGTGCGTTGGATCGAAGTTCGGGCATCTCTCGCGAGTACATCTCAGCGCCTCTTGGCAGTACTGTGGAAATCCAAATTGGCTCCCTGGTTGGCGTGCTGGCCGGAAGGTGTCCTGCGAAGTCGTGTACTGTCATGGTAATCGTTGCGGGGGTGGCCGATGCCGCTGCTGCTGCTGATGTGACTGCTGTGTGGAGCTATATTGCTGTCGCGGCGGAAAGTGCTGCTACTGCGGGGGTGTCATGCTAGGCGGAGGCGAGAAGACCTGCTGATATTGACAAGTCTGCAGGTTACACACATGGTGCCTGTTTGGCTGAAATGTCGATGGCTGCGGCTGGAAGTAGACTGGAGCTTCTACATGACGCCTCACTGTCCGGTGGTGGTTGTTGCTCGCGAAGCTGAACAGACAGTGACTGTGGATTGTCGTGCTATGGTGAGCCTGGCGCATTCAGCGGAAGCTTTCTCTCGTTTCTTGCACCCCTCGTGTTCCGCAATCTCATTGCCGAGCCCGATGGCACTCTTCAGCGTTCTGCATGACTTCTGTGGGCGTGTTTGGTTGCGGTGACCAGTTCAGCAGCTTTCTCTTGTCCATCAGGCCTTGGAAGGGAGGATCAATCGCCCTTACAAGCACCGAGTTTGTGGCACCCGTGGTGCGGGAGCTGCGCAACAACCCAAGCACACGGACATGGTGTTCTTCGACAGCTTCGTTTTCACCTCATTCGATGGTTGCCAATTCGCGCATGGCGGTGCCATTGTTCTTCGGTGCTCGCGATTTGCCAGGGTACTAGGTCATAAACGCCTTCGTCACTGTAGCTTGGGCACAGACGTCTTCTTCAATCGGACCGGACATCGCAGTACCAGTGTCCATTGCCAAGTACTCTGACATCTCTTCACCTGCTTATGAAGGAGCATGACAGCATCATGTGGAAGTCCTCAAGCCAGCTCTTCGTCGTTGAAGATACGATCTTTTGTTGCCTACTGAACCTGCTGATCCATCGTCTGCAATTATTCGAAAGCTGTAATGCCGAGAGGTCGGTGGCTGTTGGTCCGCCATCCCCATGGTGCTTGTGCTTGTGCGGGATGATCGTGTTGTTACTGAGGACTCCGAAGACGCTGGTGCAGGTCTTGGTGGTCTCTGCGGAGTAGCGATCGGTGTGCCTGTCGAGTTCTTTCATGGGCGGATGGGGAGCTGGAGCCTGCAATTTCGGTGTAGCTGGCCAACACCGTGGAACGACGGTCGCCCTCCAGGTGATAGAGGACTCGAGGGGAAGCGCTTTGTAGGGCTGTCATCCAGCTGTCCAGTCCGTGATTCTTCCTCTGGCGACCGACCACTGTCACTTTCCGACGCGGTGGCCGCAAGGCTCGTGGGAGCTTCTTCTTCGCCTTGCCCGAGAGCGGTGTATGAGGTAACCAGATCTTCTGTGTCGCTCAGATGTTTTTCGCGTCTATGCGCGTGTGCGTATGCGGTGCCACGAAGCTGAACTTCTGTGCATCCAGCGCAGCCTGCAACCACACGAGGCGAGCCTCCCGCTGCCCGGGTTTTCCCTCGTGCTCTTTCTATGCCTTGCGAAGGTCTTGAATGTGTTGCCCAAGTGCGAGAATGCACTCTAGGGACGTGCTGGGCGTGTCGGATCGAACGCGCTTGTATCGGAAGTCGTTGGGTTCGTGTGGTCGGCCACCGTGGGCAATGCTAGATCTCTGTGCTGACTGAGTACTGTTATGCTGTAGACTGCTGATTCTGCTGGGGATCTGATGATCACGAATAACTGAGATGTGCTGGGTAACTGAGAGTGCTCTATTCTTCGTCTGGCCTATGGTTCTGCTGAACGCCCACAAATGCTGCAAAACTCGTACGCTCTCAAATGCACCTATGACTCCCTTTTCCTGAGCGACAACACCACCTACCTCTCTATGAGCCAAAAAACCATAGATGTTGTGACCAAGCATTCGAGGAAGATCGAATAATCTGAAGACCGTGGTATCAGATTCTAGCGTTGGCGTTGAGGGCGCAGCGCCGATTATGCAGGTGTCCTTCAGTGACATGATCGTGCGCCAAAGCCATCCAGGACTGCACCGGTTCTAGTTGCGTTGTTGGCGGCGACGGCGCCGGCGTCGGTGGAGGCGCGCGAGGGAGGGCGAGGCTCGCTCATCTTGAGACTTCGCTGTTGTGTAGAGGCGGGCTTTCAGATTGCGCGACGACCGCAGTTACGTGTCAAGCTTCAGATCGCGAGCTCGGGCTTTGAGATCGCGACAAGTGCGGGCTGTGGGCTTTCAGATCGCGACTCTGGTCACGTGCACCGTTGATGTTTGGAAGCTTGCTGAGCCTTGCTCGGCTTCGAGTGCCGAACTTCCCCGCGGCTCTCGAGCTCGAGCAGGCCCTTTGCCAACCAACGATCCCGTGGCTGACACTGCAGCACGGCTCTTTACCTCTCACCAACACATCTGCGAACAAGACGGACGGCCTGATCTACGATGCCCACTACCGAGCTGTCCAACCAGACGCTGATGACAATGGCAGCAAAGAGAAGACGGTGCCTGCACGCTGTACGTACTACTCCCCCGACATGATCGCCAAAGTCGAGCCGCTGGAATCACGAATAGGCCATTGCGCGCTACAATACGACGTCTGCCGATGCTCGTAGCGATGCCGCTCCTCCTCTACCACTGCATACGCCTTTTCGGATCCAACTTTGGATGTATAAGAAAGAGAAGGAGGTCGTCAGAGCAGGTGTCAAGAACGAGGTGGTCAGAGCATGTGTCAGTGGAACATCGCAGCAGATTCCTCTTTGGCTGAACAGAAAAGGCCCAGATAGCGTGAATGAAAGACACACAGATCCTGCAAATCGTCTCACGTTGCACCAATTTCAGACACAACCATGTCCGCTGTTCTCGACGTGGTGAAACAAGCCCTACTCCCTCGGCCGCTCTGTTGTCCTCGAAGACTTCAGTCGGCAGAAAGGCCTGCATGGAAGCCGAAATGGTATGGAAACCTGACCAGTGGTCGCCGGCCTTTGGCAGGAATGGCACTCCGCTCATGGCACTGCGACAATAGCTCCGCTGCTCCTGCTCGCGAATTCCAGAGATGCGTGCAGCAGATGCTCATGCGCTTTCCGTGTAGAACGTCTCAGTACTCCTTCATAAAGGTCAAAGAGAGAAAGGATAATCCGAGCAAAGCCCACAGCCGCGATGTTGATACAGAATGCGCAAGTGCGTCAAACCATTACATTGTCATCTGCCTCAAAGTCACTGCCATCTCGCGCGATACGAGCGAGTAATCAGATTTCCCAGAAGCACTGCGTGCGTGTGTTGCAGGGCATGGAGTCAATAACAAGTGTCGCCTTGGGTCTATACAGCTTGTGCGCAGGCAGCCATTACGGCGATGGTGACTGTCCTGACTACGTTGCAGCAGGCGACACACGACACAGAGGCAACGAATCGAGATTTGAAATGCTGATTTCTCAAGAACTGGGGTGAATGGGAAGTTGTTCATTTCATTGGAGATGGACGACTGTGCCGATACATTCCTCGATGCGTTGCTGTGGATGCTGAGCCTTGTGCTTCTTTGCTGCCTGCCAATGCGTTCCATGCGAGAACAACATCCTGCTTGATGTTCCTATGCGTCTGGCCACCTTTGGATCGCACCCTCGCGATCCCAACGGAAAGAGCGTAGCTTCAGATCGCATGGGTGACTTCGGATCGCATTTTCGCGATCCCAAACGGAAAATTCCAGAATAGGCGATTTCGAGCGTGGAACTCAAGCGTCAAGCATTCATCGCCTTCCCCGATTTGCAGGCAGCTGAACTTGGATGCATCTCGAACATACGCCTGAAAGCGAGGTCTGCAGGTCCCGGCCGACCTTGCCTTGCTCATCGGATTTTGGGTGATATTGGAGTATCGCGCGTTGCCTGTGGTCATGAAAATTATGCGAATATGCACCAAACGGTGAGCTTTGCAGTGTTCGTAAGCTATCTATAGCATCCTTGATCCAATGGTGATGCACGCTCTCAAAGTCGGGTCAAGCTTCTTGGCCTTGCCTACAAGCTTGGAGATGATTGAGATGAGGTATCCCGCCGTCTTACCGCTGCCTGCTGCACGCGTGACTCTGAGTGGAAACATGGTGTAGGTAGAGACGACTTGCCAGTCTGGGCGATCTCAACGACGTCGTGACCGCTGTGGAGTGCGGAGATCGTGCATGCTTGAATGGGCGTAGACATAATCGGCGAGTTCGATGTTCTGTAGCACAACTCGGTGCAGGCCAGCATCGGTAAGCGCATCGGAAGCCTGTGACACACTCGAAGCACTCGCCGGTCAGGCCGCCAGCATCCTTGCGTGTCTCTGGGCAGTCACGCGCGAAATGACACTCGTCTGTACAGCCAAGAGCAGTGAGCCAATGTGCTTGGTAATGGAAGGATGACTTACTTGCGACAGCCGCTATCGTGAGGGGTGTCGGCGTGCTTAGACACGCTGTCGGCGGGAAAACCACGGTCAATGTTGTCGTCGCGAGTGTCACTATCGGCCTGCCAGCCATCAGCGCGCCGCCAGCACCTGGCAAATGTCAGTAAGTTGGACAGCGATTGGAGGAGGTAAACTTACGCTCTCAATAGGAGCGATTCTTGCAGGTCCCTCGACAATGACCTTGACGTCGTCGATGATGGTGCGGTGTATGCCCTTCCAGGCCTTCCAGGGCTTGAATTCAGAGCCAAAGAGAACGTTCTCTCGTTCTGGGAGTCGTGCCTCAATGGTGTCGATGACGGTGCGGTATGTGCCTTCGCGAAACTTGAACTCAGAGCCAGAGAGAATGTACTCCAGTTCCGGGACTCGCGCCTCAATGTCGTCGACGATGGCGCAGTGTGTGCCCTCGCGGAGATTGAATTCGGAACCAAAGAGAATGTTCTGGGACCCGTGCCTGAATGTCATCGATGCCGGTGCGGTTTGCGTCCTCGCGAAGATTGAATTCCGAACCAAGGCGAATTTTCTTTCTTGAACTCGCAGCGCGACGTCTCCGTTTTCTCCTGGCCACTCGTAGACAGCGCCCTGGCCGAACCAGTTGCCGCCGTTTCCTCTAAAGTGCCAGAGAGCATCGCAGTCGAACGAGAATGTCTCTGGCCAATCCAGACCACTGGTAGTAAAAATGAGCAAACTGGCGCCATGAGCCGACTGCAAGACACATTACTGCAACTAGTGCTTCGAGAGAAGAAGTGTAAAACGCTTGTGGGATGGATTAGGTAGGACCGAACACCACTATCACCCATGTCAGGTTCGTGTTCGTGAAGAGCATGCCCAAAGCTTGACCGATGGGGTGAGAGAAAGCACTAGATCGCTCGCAGCGCAGTTATGCGCGTTTGCTGATGGCGTTGGGAAACGAGTGACTTGACAAGTTGTCGCAGTTACTGAAGCGTTTATGTGGAGTACCACGAGGTGTTCGGCTGACTTCGAGGTGCTTGTCGTAATATTGTATGACTGGCAGTGTAATGAACGCGATCTGTGTGGATGTAAACGGCAGAAGGTGCGGGTTCCCAGCAGTTTGCTAGATTTTGACATCCCTGCAGGCTCTGGAGCTGCCTGAAGTCGCAGTTACACCTGCACCCACGGCCACTATACCCGTCTGCTCTCCCCAAGTCGGGTTCGTGTAGTTTACATAGCGCAGAGTTGCAGCGATTGCGCCCTTGCCTGTGACACCATTACCCGCAGGCAGCCTGAAACCCAGTTGTCCTTCACCTAGAGCGTTCAAGTCTCACATGGCAGTGGGCATAGATTTGGCCTTTGTGATCGCAAAATCTGGATCTGAAGTAACTCTCCCTCCTTTGGGATCGCAAGAATACGATCTCAAAGGTTTAGGATAACGAAATCACGCTCCGAAGTAACTCGCTCTTCTTTGGGATCGCGAAGCCACGATCCGAAGTGTTTGGGATCGCGAAAACATGATCTGAAGTAACTCTCCTTCCTTTGGGGTGGTAAAGACACAATCTGAAGTTCCTCTCTTTCCCTTGGGGTGGTAAAGATACAATCTGGAGTTCCTCTCTTACGTTCAAGCTGATTACACCCTGCCCATCTCTCTTTCCATTGGGACCGCGCAAAGCGAATCCGAGAGCAGCGCCGGGCACTGCCTACCCAGGGGAGCTCTCGTGGATGACTCGCCGCAGAAGAAGGATCCGGAGCCACTGGGTCTCAGCATCAGGAACTCGAAGTAAATGTAGACAGGACATGAATGCGCGATGTGGAAAATCAGACAATGAGCAGCAGATGAGTAGCATTCATCTGACACACCGTCTTGATCCAACAATTCAATTCATCCAACGCTTCATCTAACACTTCACCTAACACAATTTCATCTACCACACTTCATCCAACGAATTTTCATTCAACACACTCCATCCAAATCAGACATCATCCGCCACGCCTTTATCCGATGCATGCTCAAGATTGGAACCTAATGAAGATGATGGCATGGTGCTGTAGTAATGCTGCCGGCCTTGGTCCGAATGGCACGCGTTGTCGTTGTCTTCATCATCGTCGACCCGCACCAGCGGCGGAGGCTGATTTCGCGATACCGCGCTCGCGATGCTCGTGGTGGTCGCGGCGCTGCATGTTGGAAGAATATTGCCCTCACTCTTCGGGCCTTCCTTTTGCTCTTCTTGACGCTCCGATATTCGTGCAACAGCTCAGCTACGTCTTCAAAGACCTTTTCAGCCCCCTACGAGCCCAATTCAGGCGCATGGTCCTTCCACAGCACTAGGCATTCCTGTTCAACGTTCCTTGTCCTGTGCCTCAGTATGCTTCTTCATGTTCCGAGGTGCTTCGTCGCCTTCGCAGAGGTGGTACGGCTTGAGGAGTGATACATGGAGGGTGTCGTGGATCGCTCACTGCGGTAGAAGCCATAACTCGCTGGCCTGCGAGTTGTCTTTGAATTCTCGTAAGCTGAAGATGCCAATGTAGCGCGGTGCGGGCTTTGGACGCGTTTTGCCATTGGGTGATGGGTTCTTGCGTATGCGGAGGTTCTTGGTATTCAGTAGTACGGTTATGGCACCTTGTTTGAAGGTCATTGGTGTGTGATGCTTGTCATGATAGGCCTTCCGATACGCCTGAGCGTCTTCGTTCTCGCGGCAGGAGGTTTGCAACCGGCTTGGGCCGGGCAGCGTCGCGATGAATGGACCCAGTACTCCCTTTTGGCGAAACTGCATCTGGTAAGAAGCGAAGATGTCACCGTGCGGAAGATGTATCAGCGTGAACACCCAAACGCAAATCCAAGGATGCACCGAGAAGCTTGTGCTTACGATGGTACTTCTTCGGGACAAGACCGATGCCAAGAGAGCCGAGAAGCCAAAGTATGAGAAACTTGCCCGCGCAAGATGGCCGTCCTTGACCACCAGATCGATGCGAAGAAAGCCACCGGGTCATGCGTCTGTGCGAACACATTGTGCCAAAGAGATCGCACGTCCGGGTACTTGACGTTGGTGAGCCGGTCCGGTCCGACGACTCTGCTCTCCCATATACAGATCTGTACCAAATCGACGCTCTGCACCCTGACGCCCGCCAAGCCAACATCATCGACATGCGCCGCTTCTTCCGCGGGACATACGCAATGGAGAGCAGCCCTCGACCGCCCTGTTCACCGCTCGCTGGTGGTGCGAGTGCGTGCAGACGCAGAAGAGGAAGAAGACGGATGCCGCCACAAGGCACGGGAACACCACCAATATGCGAGTTCTCCGTAGACCGGCGACTTCGGCCGCGATAGCGTTTGGATGACGAATTTCCTCTTCCAAGATCATGTCCCGCATTGGACAACTGCATTGCCGAGCTTCGAGGGCCCATGAGGTAAAAAAGGCGCTCCCGATCCCCACCTAGGCGATTAACCCTTTGCCTTTGGACAGGCGACCAGCCTTGAATACCAGGAGGGAGAATCACATGGAAGCAGTCATCAAAAGGAGGTTGAATGAAATCTTTGAGTAGGACATCAAGGATAGAAGTGCTCAATTCAACCCGACCTACACCACTACGGCCAGGGAGACTCCGGCGCAGCTGGTCAAACAGTCCGTTTTACGTCCACATCCTTTCATGAAACTGGAGACACCCTCATCTAGAGAGAATGTTCGTTCCACGGTGCTTTATTGATGTTGATGTCTTAGCTTCTCGGGTTCCCATGCGATTCATTCTCGTCGACGGAAGGTTGTCTTCTGGGATCGCTGCTGTCAGGCAGATGTGAACCGGTATCGTGCATTCGTCGACAACTTTCGTGTCAGCTCATGCGCATAGCCTGACCGCAAGGTGTTCCTCATGACTTCGTCATCCATCCGTTGATGGAGACAGCTCGAAGCAGTCAGACTGTCCCAAGCATCGCGAGGTGAGCAGATAGGCAGGACGAGCAGATGAAATCTACCTTACAGAACTCGGCTTCTAGCTTTGAGCCGTCCGTGGCATCTTGATCAGGAGGAAGCTAGGCCAGAGGCGCTCCAACAACCACCAGTCCAACCACTCTCCTCCTTTATCTTCGCATCAAGCTTGCGGCTGTCGAACCACCCCCACCTGCACTAGCAGCTCTGGCGACCCGGAGGCTTTCTCAAGCGTTGCTCAGATATGAGACCTCAGCTCAAGATCACTTCGTCCGTGGGATCCGTCATCGATGTACCGCGCAGCACTGAGTGGACCAAGTTGTTCGAGGTCGACCTATACAGTTCCATCTGAGACACATCCGGAGTTTCGGGCAAGTATTGAAGATGCCACCGTTCGGGATTATTGAAGATTCATTTTCAAGAAGAATTCCCTAGTGAGGCCAAATCAGCTGGGCTTGCTTCTTCACCGATGAAGGGCGAGATTCTGTGCGTAAGATATCAGTGGATACATCATCATCCGGCCCGATCAAGATCCAGATCTCATGCATGGACTGCTCTGAGCAGACGGATGAGAACAAGAACATGGATATGGACGCAATTACCCTGCTGATGCTCGATTTGTTTGAGCTTTGAGAGCTCGATATTGGTGTCGTTTGTGGAAGCGTACCTGTGAAGATGGAAATCCAAAGTTCGATTCCACATCCTAGCGCGACTGGGCAGTGACACGCAAGCCCCAAGGGCCTGAAGCTTTTTGTGCAAGAGATCGGGTACGTAATTACAGGAACCGACGAGGCCACGATGTGGACCATCAGCAGAGATCTGTTCGAGGTTCTGATCATGGCCCATTTGCCTGATATGGTTCATGGATGTCATCGCTCATATGGAGCAGGCCTGGAGTACGACCACGTTGATGTACGCGTTCTGGAGCGACACTAAGATTAGAGCCGATACCACTGCCTGCGTGAGTTCAAGACTTCGATCGCTTTCCTGTTCTCGTGGCCTTTGCATACTCGACCGACGCACGATGATTGTTGTAGACGTGAACTTGATCGTGATGAGCCACGAGCGGCGGGAGAGGATTATGGGATGATGTGCTCTGTGTGTAAGACCACCAGCTTTGCCACGACGAGGCAGTGGTACAGCAGCCCGAAAAGGTACTGGTTGAAGGTTTGTTGTCTCGTTCTTCGCCAGACACGAGAGCACGTACAAGATCTCAGAGGGGGTTGTGACCGAGATCAGGGTGCTGAACTGGCGAATTTTCGGGTACAGCTCTTTGATACTATCCAGCATTACGTCTGCGTACCTGGCGAAGAACGAGATCCCGATCAGAATCATAAGCCCGGAGAAAACCAACGAGCTGTGTACAAACCTGGACAGGATCCTCATCATCTTCATGAACGGGACCATTGATGTGCTGCCTCACAGCCACATAGTCGATACTCTGCATCATCACTGGCCATGATCATCGCCGACGAAGTCGGAACACGATACTGTGCGCGAAGGAGAACATGATCGTAACCTTGACCTCAATGCGAAGTTGAACCAGCACGACCTCGCGTACCCGAGCAGGCACTGGACGACGATGTGCGCCGCGTATTTGATAGGGAGCATCATCGTCCAGAGCATGGGAATCATGACTATCATTCGAAAGACCACCGAGTCTGTAACCGTTCTCGCGGAGCTGGCCTGGAACGCGTGCGACAAGACAGGCGCTGAGATGATCATATGCGACACTATCTGCGAGGCTGGAAGAAACCCCAACTCCTCCAAGGCTTTCTAGGTCCTCGCTTCCCAAGCTCGGAATAAGCTCTCCGGCGTTCTGCTGAACGTGAAGCATCTGGCCATGAGTTTGCATTAGATGACTTTTTGTCGCCGAGAAGCCTATGGGGTCGTTGGTCTCAACGCTCAAGCTTGAGAGGCCTCGTTCATAAGACAACAGATGTGGATATGGCTGTCTGGAAGTGGCCCAGATTGGCTGCTGTGGTAGCGACTAGGTTTGCTGCGAGACTGAGTCTGACGATCAAGGCGGTTGCTGGATCTGCCTATCAAGATCTTGCTGAGAAGTGTGATTGGGCTTCATCTGCTGACCGAGGGTCCGAGAAGCTGGCTACACTCCGGCTTTGCCTTCGCCATGGTAGCTGGATGGCGATGCTAATACTGATAAGGCTGAAGCTGGTATTGGACTTGGAGCTGGAGGTGGAGAAGCTGACGTCTGATTTCCAGCTGACGCTTGGCCTGTGTGGCAGAGCAGTAGCTGCGCAAAACTTTCCCCAAAAGTTCCAGACCACGTCTCTCTTGCCCGTCATGACTGGATCCTCATCAGTAGTGGCTATTGCACAGGGTCTTAGTCTCTACTTCAACAAGTGCATGGTCCTGGGAATGTGACTGTGATCAAACCGATAATTTCTCTGGGCGGAGGCGGGATATGGTATTTCACGCTTCGAGCTGCTCGACATGAGCAATCGTGAAAAGAAAGTCTGAAGACATACACCAGAAACCAGCGTATTGTTTCCGCGAGCCTCAGGGATGGGTTAAAGCGACAGTACCGCGATCAGCAAAGGGCTGATGTGTGGTGTTGACGCCGCAGTCTCAGATATTTTCCACATTGACCATCAGCTCCATTTCCAAGTTTCATTAGCGACCAGGTGTCCAATCGTAGGAAGGACGATTGTCCAGATACCGCAGCAATGTCGGCAGACCCGTACTTCGCAATGGATGAACAGGCCTTGGTGTAGAGAAGAATTGCACCGAACGGAGGAAGCCTAGGTCTCACACGTTTAGGACACTTCGCGCTATGTCCTCGATCAATGCCCTCTTATCTAGCACTGGCGTACCGGTCCGCACCACCTCAGCAGATCATCAACCACTACTGTGCTCCACCTAATACTTCCCAGCCTGCACCGTCTGCCATTCACGAGACTGTTGTGCTGTCACCACGCGCAGGGCTCGCAAACCGCCTGATAAATATTACCTAGTAGCTTGATGAGATGGAGGATGGTGAAGCCGGGCTTCGTGACATTCTTCGGGTTTTGCAGAGAAACTCCGCACATCGCGCGAGCGTAGAGAGCCAAGTTGCGAGAATCCGTTTCATGCTTGCAGTAGGAAAAAGCACAATCACTGGGTAGGTTCAGACGGAGAAAGCTCCAGGAAGACCGAGGCTACCACAATGGGCCAAACCACGGGCAGAGTGCGCAATTTCCGATGAATCGGCGTCAACGGAGTCTGCTCTGTCCCAGCAAGGAGCGAAGCAGAGGACAGGGACAGGACCACATGAGCGGAGTGCTGCAAATGCCCAAGACAATTGTGACGACGAGTACACATCGCACAGTCAATGAGCAGGGCCAGCCGGTTCAAGTAGCATTGGAGCTGCTCAAGTCAAAGCCTGACTGAAAAGCTGAGAGAACAGCGTCCAACTCGGCTGGATGCAGCAGGGAAGAAGATTCGCAAGAGCTAAAAGCCATGGGCGAGGATCCAGACAACGCTGACCATTGTGTCCTGCCGCTTCGAGAGGCTCCGCCGACGCTGGTAGTGACTTCTCCGGCAACACCTCCTACATCAACACCATTCGCCCATCGCGAGAGTATGGGCAGGAGAGCAGAGTCTGGTATAGAAGAGATTTCGGGTTGGGCTCCAAGGCCATAGGTACTCTCCTTCCAGGAACAGTGGAAGACGCAGCAGATAGGATTAGCCTCCAACCAGCCTCCTCAGATCAGCATCCACAGGGTCTGGGGCTGTCAATGCTCGACTCCAACTGTAGCAAGGCAGAGGATAGATACCGTCAGACAAAGAAAGCGGATGACGTCGAGGGAGGCGAGGATGACAGCCGTAGTACCTGCCAGGGCACCATACGCCACGAGCACAAGGAGGAGCAGGTGTATCGATTCCAGCCGACGAATTGCGCGCATATGATTTGGAGGAGTAGATCTGGAGAATATTTCAATTCACGGTTGCGTCAGGCCCGAGGAAAGCTCAAACGTGTCTCGCGAAAAGTGCTTTCAACATGTATGTAGGTATCCGATCGCGCAAAGCTCTTGACGCCTGGCTTTTTCTCTGTCCCATTGTCCGTGGTCCATCGCCGCAAATTTGTCAAGATGGCGCAGAGACCAAGAGATCGAGCTACAACGACGACATCGCCTCCGCACCATGGCCCATGAGGCCACACGCGACTTGGAATTGAAGCTGGTATCGCGTGACGCCGAAATTGACGCGATCAATCACGACCTCGATCAGCGCAAGCGTAAGAAGACCATACCTGGCCTTATCAGGCAGTGAGAGGCAGACGACAGGCTCACTGAGGAGTTCAAGGGGCTGCGAACCGGCGCAAAGCAGGAGGCTCCAGCAGTGGAGGTGAAAGAGACGTCAAGGCTGATAGGTGTCGCGGGAGAAGAGCTGAAGCGATTGATTCGGAAGGGCAAGTCGCCGGTCGGTCTGGCGGAGAACCAGTGTCGAGAACGGCTATGCGGTGGTCTTGTTGCACGCTCTCGGGCAAGTCAGGATAGGCGATGGGAAGACGTCGGACTCGATGCGAGCCGTTAGGGGCGGTGTTCGTGGTAATGTTGTTGCAGGAAGGATGACTTTGGAGGTGGAAAACGTTGTGAAACTCCGAAACTGGTGGCTGCTGAGTTTTCTTGGCGGTTGTCCGCGACCCCACTTGAAACTTTTTTTCGCGCCGGTGCAGAAGCTTCACAACCTCACCTCTCTGGTAATCTCAATGGCGCAACTGACGGACATCCATCACAATGAGCTGTTACATTCACCTTGCGACAAATGCAATTTCCAGGCTTTCCAGGGCCTTGCAGATGACATGGTATACAACAGCTCGATCGAGGTCAAGACGAGAGTCGCAAGATATTCGAAACTTCACAAAAAATTCCCGGGCTCCACAGCGACCTTGAAATAGTGAGGAGACCAGTTCATCGCGGCTCCCACTCCCACTGTGGGTGATTCGCAGGTGGAATAGAATGATCATTATGAGCACGAAGCTACAGCATTGCCATTGGGACTACAGATGGGCAATGCATCGAGCGAAGGTTTGGCAGCCATGATTGACTAGCGCCGAGAAACGCAGAAGTTACCTTCTAATCGCTAGATCTCGCCATGGAACTTTCGTGAAGTCCGAGCCTTGTGCAATTCGCAGCATCGTGGTGGGTGCGGCTGTGCCACTGCAGAATTTGGCCTCTGGATGAGCTTCTCTACCATCTGTGTAGTTGCGAAACGAGAGACATGACATAAAAGCAACACAAATGATAATGGCTCGACTAACTCGCATCATCCCCTTTATTGGAACAAGCGTTCTTCACTGGATCGAGATAAGACCCTCCTTGCACGCAAGGACTCTGAGGGCCGTTGTCACTTGGATCGGTCGAACACACCATCTGCAAAGCTATTGTACCTCCAAAAGCAGCCGCGCCAGCACCATTTCCCGCGCAAGCATGCCCTAGCATCTGTCATTCAAAAGCTTAACATTCCCAATAATCAGAAGGCAAGTCCTGAAGTCCAGTGAGTACCAAGATCAACAAAGCCTGTGAGACCTGGCAATCACGAATGACTCCCGTGCTTCACTGATTCCTGACGAGCCGGAAGAGACTCTACAGCTCGAAGACCGTACACCCTCTAGCAAGAAAGAGCATATCAAATACTGAACCACAAGTGCATCGTGATACATTCAGAGCATCGAGCTGGAATCTGATACACTCGTGCTCTCAACGCACTGCCTAGCGCTGTATCACTCGACAGAGAAATGCCTTCAGACCTTGAAGCGAACGCAGAAGAACTCGGCACGAATGTCCATTTCACTGTCATGTGGTCCGTTGTCGGGTCCTCGATTTCAGCAAGTGTGGCTTTTCTCGCATTGCCAATGCACAGTCTCATGTGTTCTAGCAAGATGAGAACGTACAACGGCCCAACCTCCCGCAATCGATGCAGCCCAGTCGGTGCCAGAAACCCTGGATGCCACTGCAAAGGCAGGTGTGTCGTACTTCCTGGCCTCTTTCTTGGGCAATGGAGCTGCAGCTAGGAAAATAAATAACTTCAAAGACTCGAAAGCGCCAGGCAAAGCGCCAGTATAGACCACCTATGTGCGTATCAGGCTCCCGGACAACGCTGAGATACCATTGCTTATTGTATTCGATCTCATTTCAACTTGCCCATTAGCCCGATTGGTATGTCGGGAACCGTTTCCTAGCATTTTACCTTGTTGGCCCGGACTTTCACTTGGTGGATCCACGACATTGCATACCAACATAAAAAAGATTGGCAAACGAACACTACCCTGGGTAGTCAAATGCATGTTTCCCTTGACGATCTGCCGGGCAATCTCCCAGTCGCGAAGAGTGTCCGTAACGGAGCTGAAGCGCACTCTCGCATCCAGTCTAAAGACAATTGGAAACAGTTGGCCATCTACGCGCTAGGTCACAGTCACCATAATGAAAGATGCTTGCGCCTTGTGATGGGGTAGGCGATGATCTAAAGGCTCGACCGGAGGCTGGGCAAGGGCTTCACTGGTTGCTTCTTTTGCGGCGGACCGCCATGTTTTGATCAAATCTCAGGCTAGAATGCTGTCAGGTGTTCGACCGGCAGGCCAATAGCTCGAGATATGTGAGTCTATGTCCTCTTTGCCCAAGTAGGGCCGACGAGCTCACGTAGGCGTTGTTCCTGTTCTGGAGTCAGTGGCATATACATCCCATGTTTCTGCTCACGTTGCGGCATCTCCTTGTTTCTTTTGTGCATACTACGATTGCAGGGATTGTGAAGAACTCCTTGTCTCACACTGGGAAGGTAATTTTTCTGAAGTTGCCTTCTGCTACAGCGCTTTTTCCTCGAGTGAATACCTGGGTGAGAGTCTGTTTGCCTTCCGTACACCACCGTGGATGGTTGCCTAGTATTCACGAGAGTTCCAGCAGAGCTTCTGCGAGCCGCTGCTGCTGGAGGCCACAGCAGAGATGGCTCTGAAACAATCTCTGATCAGCACAGGAAGCGCCCCAAGCAGTCCTATATCGATCATGGCCCGTGGCTCCAAGAGCCGGGGAGCTGCTATTCTCCCGACGCGCGTGATGACGAATTGCGATCTCGACCTCAAACATTGTAGTGAGATTGATGTTGTAGAAGATCGAAAGCACTAGAGCTGAAAGCTTTGCTAGGGGTTGCAGAACATAGGTACAAACCTCCCACATTGGTAGACACTGGAATGCCGTGACGGAGTTTATGTCCAGGCCAGACCCAACATTCTCCAGGAGCCATCAAGGCAAGATTGAGACTTCGGACGCATTCGTAGGCATCTCTTGGGCGACTGAGAGTGAGTCATATCGCCCGAAAGGTTGCCTGCGCATAAGCACAATAACTGATCATGAAATGTTGCTCCTCGCGCAGGCGCTCGATCGTAACCAACTTCCTACGACCAACGATAGCTACCGAGGCGAATCTCAAGTTATACCTGCCTTGCAAAACTCCACACTTCGACTTGGACCCAAGCAGAAGCCGAAGCGTTGCATGTTGAGGGGCACGATTGAAAGGCCAAGGCCATTCTGGAAACCGCAGGTGCTGACATGAAGAAGATATCTACTTCCCCGATGAGAAAATCTCGGACTTTCAATTTTGGTTCTAGGTAAAGGATTACAGTAGCAATCTCCTCGTCCCACCCATTGATATCAAGTTTTGTCGCCGCCTTCTGAGACCCTTGGTGAACGGACGGCCATGGTTCTCTCGACAGGTAGCTCGAGGGCTTCAGCGGTAAACTGAAAATTCCATACGACGTCGTCGCCATATTTTTCAAGTGCATCCCGAACCATGCTCTTGAAGCGCGCCGTATCAGCACCAAACGGCTTTGTGGAAGGCGGCAGAGAATGGATCGCATAGTCTGATGTCTTCCTCGACCGGTCCACTTTGGCTTGCATTGTTTATAGTGCGCTTTGATGATGTGGAACAGGCGATTCGAAATTTGGCAGAAGCTGCGACCTGCGGTCGTGAGGCGCCAGCGTTGTATGTGAGCTGTACAAATGGGCTTCGCTTCGAGGGCTGGAGGCCAGAAACAGCCAACAGCCCACTAATCATCCTCTTGGTCCGGGTTGGCATGAAAGACCTTGCTCAATGGTTGGATGATGCCTAGGATACGTTGGAGAGACCTCCATTGTCAGCACACAGTGCTTTCAAATCGTAGGTACCGTTGGACCTTGGTGGTTGAGAACCTTCGGCGAATTTCCTGGCCGAGATCCCTGCCGCTGTGGCCAGCTGGGGTGCTCAAGGAGCTTGAGGAGCGTTGTAATGATGATCGCTGAGTGGAGGCTGAAAATTGCCTTGTCCGGGTCGATACCGAAGTAGGATGCGCAGACACTGGTGCGCTTTACCAGTGAGGTCCACGATTTCTGCCTCTGAAATTCAGGATCTGGCCTTGTCCGAATGGAGCACAAATACAGACGCGAGCGAACCAACCACTCACGGTCGCGATGGATGGCGCGAGATTCCGGACAGTATTCATTCGAGGCACTTCTTTATTGGTTGGGCTCGCGACGCCGTCGCTTGCATCAGTAGGAATTGGATGCAGAAGGTGATCTCAAATTTGAACCGAGCCAAGGTGGATGCATCGTTTCCAGAGTCGCGGACCAGATCAACCATGCCGCAGGTGATCGATTACATAAAGAATAACTTTCCTGCGCCCCAAGTGGCTATTGTCGGTGTTCTGGACCGCATTCGGCCAGAAGACATCAACGAAGGCCTTAGGGAGTGGTGGAAACAGATTGTAGGAGACCACATGAGCCGAGAGCCGAGAGATTTTGATCATGATAATACCCGTTGAGCTTTCGGAATGCCCTAGGTGGCAGAGGCTATCCAGTGCTGATGATGGCAGCCACGACCGGCTGGAGCAATGGCCCCGAAGAAGACCTGAAATGGGTTAACATATTTGGTATGCTGAAGAAAGGCCTCTCGCGCAAGAACTATGAGAACTCGGGTTGACGCCAGTTGCTGGTATGTCGACGAGAGTTCTGCAGAAGAGACGTAAGTGCCTTCATATCATGCGAGGGGAAAACTCAAGCGAGAGGACGGGCAGTGGGACCTTCTTCCAAGAAATGGAAATCCAGACAAGCCCAACAAGCGCTCCATGAAATAGTTTAATTGACTGAAGGACTGCGCCAGTTTCGAGTGACAGGATGCTCCACGACCGATGAGCGTAACCTGCCAAAATGACACTTTTTGGAAGCGATCGTCTCACACAGCGAAGCGCGCATAGCCTCGCGCATCTGTCGCTTGTCTATATCCATAATCAGAGCCTCTGCCCGCTACATTTCCGTAGATTCTGCACACTCCCGTCTCTTAACTCTTCGACTCTGAACGCAAACCCGGAGAGCTTGGTCAAGTCTTTACGCACCTGCCTTCTGTTTGCGCCTTGATTGATCTCGAGGAGGTGTTTCGGCGTCGCTGAACGATCACGATACCGTCGCACATTCGGAAGTCTGCGATGTGATCCTTTCGGCGGGCGGGAATAGCGAAGCGCCAAGTCGTGGCTACGTCTCTCGTTACTTCAGCAGCGGTCCAGCGGAAATGCTACAGATGCTACCGCCAGACCTTGTGCGGCAGAGTCGGCACACGAAAGCGCGCAAGTTGACGGCATAATCGTGCTGGGGGTGACATTGATCTTGTTGACGGAGATGAAAAATCTCGAGGGAACGATGTTCGGGGACGAAGTCACATCACCCAACTGATGAGTGAGTTCGTTACTACTCTCCAGCATGCCGGTGGTAAGAGGTGTGATGTGTCGGAAAGGTTTTCGATATGGCTGTGTTACGGAAATTCTGCGCGAGGCCCTGCAAGGCGATGTGACGACACAAGCGGCTGGCTGAAAGCGGAGTGCCGATCTTGCCAACATTGATCAGCCGGATGAAGGCGCGAAGAAGATGCGCATATACACGGAGACGGCACTGGGAGAAATTGGGGATGAAAGGCGGGATGCTGTTGAATCTGCGGCGCCTTTCTGCTGGGGTCTCTCGTAGAGCGTCAACAAAGCGACACCATGGCGCCCCAAGGGTCGCTGGCTGATAGCATCTTGAAAAAGCAAAAACGGGAACGGCGCTTGGTTGATGATGAAAGGTGGGATGCTGTGCGACGCCTCTCCTGGAGTGTCTGCTGGGGCCTCTCCTAGGCGATAGCATGTCGCTTCATGGGTCGCTGGCTGATGAAATCTCGGAACGGCATACACGGGAACGGCGCTTGGAGCAATTGATGATGAAAGGAGGGATGCTACTGGCTCTGCGACGCCTCTGCCGAAGTCTCTGGTGGAGCCTCTGCTAGGCGGTAGCATGTCGCTTCGTGGGTCGCTGGCTGATGATATCTCGGAACAAGATACAGAAGGCGGAGAGGACTGCAGAAGGTTCCAGTCAAGGACTGTCGCAGTCTGATTGTTGGTATTACAAGCCCTCAATGACCGTATCTTCATCTCTACCTTGCTGTATGACTTCCGTGCTCTCTGGTCGAGACTTCCTCTTGCTCGCTTCCTTTCATGCTCTTCCAGCTCCATCACATTGACATGAACCGCCATCCAACTGTTCGGATGGTCCAGTACAGCCCTTACGGCGTCGAGAAATGTGTAGATGTGCGTGACCAACTTGTTGGGCTTGCGTACAAAGCCTTTCGGGTCGCACCGAATGCACAGAAAGTTCTGCAAGGGATGCCTGCTTGCCCTGTCACCTGCTGACGGACGCCTGTCTGCATGCGTCGCCTGTTCCAGCGTCTCACGCCTGCGCTCATCATTTCGTACCTTCGTCGTTGATCTCGCTCATCACGGAGCGCCGGAAGCATTGCGGCAGTCGCACACTGATATCCCACGATTGACATCCAGTCGCAATGGTCTTCGCTTTTGAGCAGAGATATGTGATCGACTTGGGCGATGGAATTCGTTATGAGATTGGAGTTGGCTCGAGGAAGAGTACTCTGAGAATTGCATGGTGTCTTTCGAGGTGTAAGGAGCAAATGCTTCGGGAGGCACAACAAGGCACAGATTCTGGTGAGTTTATTTCTTGGAAAAAGCTGAAACTCCGCGCGAGTCCTGGAGACAGACCCTTGCCAAGGATATCGGCAAGTTGTCGGCAAGCCACGAAAACCAAGTGACTGTTATTCCACGTTTGCAGTCATCAGTCGCGCAGAAAGATGCCACTGACAAGCAGAGGAGCGACCTTATTGCAAAATCATAGAGACACTGCGCGCAAATTCAAACAAGCAACAGCCGACTATGAGACCACTATCCAGTGAATTCCGGAACTTGAAAAGAACGAGCCACTCAGGACCTACAACATAGACGGGACTGGAGCAAAAGAGCCATGCCAGAAAGGCTTTTTACTGAAGCAAAAAGCTATGGAGACAATGGGGGACTTGCTTCGAAAAAAGGAAGATCCCAAGCAGAGCATATTGGTCCCGGGACAGGCTATCACTGGAAAAGCTCAAATACTCAGGTGTGGACGAGATATCCCCGCGGTCTCGAAGACATTGCTCGCCCTCGCGACAAGAAGATCAAGGATCACGAGCGACCCATCAGGAGACATGAGCGGATCATTCGAGTGCCCGTCTATACTGGCCACCATCCTCTTTTGCGAGGTCCAACGCCGTGCACGTTGAGAAGTGATGCTGGAACTTAGGAAATGACCGGATACCGGATCGAGACCATCGATCCCTAGAGACGCTGCCAGAGCGCTGTTTGCGGAGGCCTCTCCGAACATCGTGACCAGAGGACTAGGCGAAAGCCGAGAAAGGCCAGGTGTTAGTAACGGCAGCGCGGGAGGTGACAGAGTCCGAGCTGCTGGTAGGCGGCACATGTGTCCGGGTGGAGAGTTAAGCCAGCATCCTGATCGAGGCTGTTGCTAGGGTGCAGCACGCTGTCATCCGCCATTTCTCAGGTGTCCTCCACGAACCGGCTACTCTTACGACCTTCTATCGGGTCGCCGAAAGCACGAATGAGGCCTGGGTGCCAACCACGACGGACGAGCGTGCCTTGTCCACCTTGTTCCACGCTATTACAATCCCTAAACGCTCCGCTAGGGACGCTACTGGCGTCGCTGATAAGGTCGGTCTGAGCTACTGACAGGGTGATCGGCGCGAGTTGCTTACCTCGAATGCAATGCCTGTGCTGGAAGTGGTCTCAGAGGGGTTTGAATTCGGTTTGCGAGCGCTCGCAGCGGGCAGGCTGGTGAGCTCGCTTGTATTGAGAGGCAGGGCGAACCTGAGAGCCAAAAGATTGGGAAAGCAGCAGAGGTGGTCTGTGGGACTGAGCTCAATGTTAAGCTCCTGTCGTCTCAAAGCAACTTCCTCGGCACAATGAATATCAATTTTCGCGAATTCCCATGCGGAAGGAAATCAAGACGCTCCTACGGGAGTGGACTGTCTCGATCGATGTTCTGTGTTCGGGTGACACTTCTCCGCCGATCCTTTGGAAGATACTGCAGGGAGAGCTCGCTCTGCTGAATTGTCTAGTGGGTTCTCAGCTGCCGCTTCCTCCTCGGCCTGGGAACCATTCACTGCATGAAAGTTACCTGACAGCTCAGTATTGGCGACATTGGCTTGCATCGAGACACCCTCAACTTCGCTGGGGATTGCTACGAAGCACCATCACCACCCAATTTCATCGAATCGTCGCTACAGACGTCAAAGTCTGGAGCAATGCCAGTATTGGCACCAAAGTTTGCCCACCAGCGATAGATAACTACCAGAAACAGATCGACAAGGCGGTGGTAAATCTGCTCGGGTTGAGGGCGAGGTGGGAAGAAAACAAGCGTACCGCCCATAGCAAGCGAAAGTTCGGCTTGACTGCGGGAATGCTGAACCAACGTTTGACCGGGAGAGTGGCTTTGGGATACACAAGACAAGAGTAGTGCACGGGGTACCTGTATAGGATTGGCTGTCATTGTTGTCACGCGTTTTTACAGCATTCTGTCGAAAGAATTGTTCGATCTCCGGGGCCACGCGGATATATCACACCCATATGTCATTGCGGGATCGCTCCAGTCCTCCTGGCACATGTACAAGCACCTTTCACGAATTACCCCGTGAGTCCCTTATCCTGCAGGTGCGTTGGCTGGAGGCTTTTACGGGACTCATTATGGTGTACTGAATCTTCACGTCCCCTCATGTGAGAACTTACTGCGAGCGCTTTTTCGTCCTGGAATGGATCACAAACACGTTAGAAGAGCGAGTCTCTTCTCCCAAGGGTCTGGGCCGTTGGCTATGGCCATATCATTTTCAATCTTCCTCTTGTCTGTTGTTGACTCTCCGACACTACAAGATCACACCTTGAAAACAAGGCGACATCGCGGAGAGCTTGGCATGACGACAACTCTGATATTTCCATCGTGATTGCTAGTACCAGGTATGGCGATTCACATACGATCTTCTCCCACACGAAATGTCGAACATGCAACAACGCCTCAACGACCTTCGACGGCAAGTAGCACTCTTCCTAGCCATCGAGCCTCCTTGCAGGAGCCATCACAATGCAAGCTCTACCAGGCAGTCAAAACGGTTATGATAAAGAACAAGGCTCTAGCAAGGACGATACGGACAGTGGGGATCTTGACGTTCCCAAGCGCAATCTACATCGACCACGGAGACCACAATCAAAAATCTAGTTTGACCCGAACATTTCAGACAATGACATTGACGATAGGGCTACAATTTGATCAAACGCAGCTCGCACGACAAGCATTCGCGTATCACGAAGCTGTCGAGGCAGCTGCGCCCGTTCACAACTCAGTCAGCAGGAATCAAGTACGACTGTCACTAGGACATAAGGTCAAGCAGATTCCTATCCCACTGGACACCATAGCTGTACCAATAATAGAAACAATGACCAAGATTCGCAGGCTGCATCGGGTAAGGTGTCACCGCTGCAGCTCAATGTGTCGACGAACTTGCAGCTGTCCAGTGAGGAGAAGCATGATCTCGAAGCACGACACTCAACAGGGACCCCAATCGTCAGTTTCAAGACCTTGCCGACTTCGACGAAAATGACATCTTTAAGGTGTCAAAAGCAACAAAGGATGAACATCAGCAGCCACGCTCCGGGGAACCATGCTGCGTCTCTGCCAGCTCTGCTCCCATCGATTCAGAGTCCGAATACGAATCCAATCACGCCGGCAGCACCAAAGAACTCGTCGGAGGATGACCAGACCGAAGTAAGCGGCAGAAGCTTGGAACATTTTAAGACAACTGGAGCGCCGCGCGAACACTTATTGTAACGAGCAGAACGCACTGGACGGAGAGCTTATGCGTGATCTTTCCCCGCCTACGCTCTAGCCGCTCGTAGAAATTCGGGCGAGGTACAGTAGAGAACGAGAGTAGATAAAGGCTATGGAGGTTTGTAGGAAGGTTATAGTCAGAGAGTGAAGGCCATAGAGGTTTCCGTAGAGATCATAGGCAGAGAGTCTATCTATTAGCGTAAAGGTAGGCGAAGGAACTCCCAACATCGACATCAATGGCGAACCCGTGCGCGACGGCGTTATTCCCAGTCTCAAGGCCATTCCCCGTAATACACTTTCTCATCATCACAGGTCCGCATGCGTGATGGAATGTGTGTAACACTCTTTTGCAAGAAATGTTTCAGTTGATGGCCAACGGACTCGTTTTCGAGCCTGCTGCCGTACCTGATCAGGCCACTTGTAATCTATCTTTCTTCGTAGCTACAATGCACTGGCATTTCGGTCCGTAAGACGACATCGCGCTGCGATACTCTAGTGCTCCGGATAGCTATCGTGTACGCAGTTTGCTGTCATCTCAAGTCTTTTAGGCGTATGCAGATCGCCTTAGTATCGGAACACTCCTCCTAAAATAAGCCGAGACTTGCACTTATATATGCCTTAATAATTCTTCTCCTACTACGCCCTAATACCCTTAGCTCTTTCCCTTTATCTTTTTTAAAATAACTTTATAGTCGTTCTTAATAATATTACTTATCTTAGTAGACCGTTTACGTATAGCACTACGGCTCTCCGGCTATTCCTTTAGCTTATAAGAAGGATATAATTGCCTTTCGACCTAGATAGAATATAATTTTGCCGTAAACCTCGTTAGAGAGGGATATACTCTAGCGTTAAGAAGCCGGTCTTAACCGTAAGGGACGTATACTACTAATATAAGAAGCTGTTAGGTAGTAGCTAAAACGTATACTTTCATACTTAATATATTTATCTATATATCGATTTTAATAAAGAAACTACCTAAGAGCCGTTAAAGAAAGAGTTCTATAGCTAGTCCTAGGTATTAATACGAGTTTAGTATTAGTCTAGTATTTAGAATAGAGTCGATACTAGTATTAGAGAAGACCTAGAGACTAAACTAGATATTAGCCGTAACAATATCTTAGGCAATTTATTGTTAACGTGATTTAAGGTACCTATAAAGTATCTAGCTTTAAAGAAGCTTTCGCTATTAATATACCTTTTGTTCTTAACGAAGCTTTTAGTCCTAATACCTCTTCGGCTTTAAGAAAGTTTTAGTTAGGGTTTAATAAGCCTTATAGCGCCGCTGAACTATTTCGCGTTAATAGGGTTTTAGTATTAATAACGCTTTTAGCGCTAAGAGAGTTTTCGGCGGTAATAAAGCGCCCTTAGCGCTAATAAAAGCTTAGGTATTAATATAGCCTTTTGCCTTTATAAAGGTTCTACGATAATAAAGTTTTTAGTACTAAATAAGGCGATAGTAATAGTAAATTTTAACGTTAAAAAAGAGAATTTAGCGTTGTATACGATTTAAGTAGTATAAATTTGTTTTAATAATACGCCTTTAGTAGGATTAATAGAGGGTAGCGAGCTAATACTTAAATATAGTTATTAAGATACTATAACTAACCTAGTATCCGTACGTATATTTATCCTTATACTATATCTATAGGATCGAAGAAGTTCGAAAGTAAAAGAGATTAATATAATAAACCGCTAGGGTTGTACCTTATTAATACCTATAGTAGAGTTAATATAGAAATTTAGATAATCTTTAATATTAGTATATAAGGACTTATCTAGACGTAAAGCTTTATCGCGATCCTTTAAACGAATCCGGGGGCGCCTAGATATACTCGTTTAAGCGCGAATCTATAGTAGTAATACTTGTAATCTACTATATTCGGTATTTGTCCTAGACGACCTATTATAGAAGAAATTATACTAGCGAGGTATCCTATATTAGAGTAGGAGTGCTACGAGATACTATAAGTTCGTACTACTTATTTTAAAAGTAACTATAAAGTTAGTTATAGTATCCTCGACCTCCTAATAGCTCGTAACTCTCTAATCTTATAAGTTATTACCTATCTCCTAGAATAAGGCCTTTCCTCTTATTATTCTACTTACCTATAAAGCCGATAATATACTAAGAGTAAAACCTTATAGGGTTCTTATTTAGACGTACGATAAGTATAATATATAGAAGTAGAAAGGGTCCTAGCGGAGAAAGGCAGTCCTTACGAAATTACCTCTCTCTATATTAGCGGGAAGTTATCTTACTACTAATAGGTAATAACTATAAAATATTTCGATAGAGAAATATAGCTAAGCCTAAAGAGTAAAGTTAGCCTAGGGAGTAAGGCTAGCCGTTAAGCTATTAGATAGCTAGTTTCTACGCTTAATAAATAGTAAAATATATATACTAATAGGTAAAAGTTCTTAATCCCTATCGAGAACTATATAATTTATTATCGTCCTCCTCTAAGTATTAGAATTCTCCTCCTCTTACCTTTCTATCCTCCTTTCTCGCCTTTTTACTATTATCTTAATAATTGTTCCCTACATTAATTATTATATAATAAAGTTATATAAGCTACTTCTAACGTAGGGTTAGAAGCGGCGTCGCTTTTTATAATATTTATACCTAAGGATATATATAGAGAACCGGTATTTATAGCTAAATTATCGAAGGGCTTACTAAGTAGTATCCTAGTTCTAACTCGCGAGATTAAGGAAGACTAATAAGCTATATCGAACGTAGATTAAAGTTTAGTACTAGAAGAATAGTAACGACTTAAGATAACGCTATAGACGCCTTCTATAGCCCTAGTAAAATACCTAGAAAGCTAGACGCTTAGTACGATTTATATTTATAACTTCCGTATTATAAGAAGGAGTAGAGTTACTATTATTTAATCCTAGAAAGCTAGGGAGTTTCTATACGAGGTCTGCTATAGGAACGTGTTCGGTCGCTATATCGCGAGATGGAAACGAAGAGAATAGTAGCGAACAATTAGAGACGAAGGGAAGACAGTTAAGAAGGAAGGGAGGACGAATAGAAAGCACTATATACTAGGGTAGAGGAGGTACTAAAGGCGGAAGATAGAAGAACCCCTAAGAGGGTATATAGGATAATAATCTTAGAACTCCTTAGAGGACTGAAAGCAATCTATAACTAGGCAAGCTACGTAATCACAAAGGTAGCTAATACAGTCGCAGCAAAGATTACGAAGAAACAATAGGAGACAAGCCTAAACTACCGCACCTAGGTAGCAGTAGCTAGTTAGGAGGCGCTAAAACCCCCGAGGACAGTAGTTAGAGTCTATATTACGGACCTATAGGAGCAAAAGGAAATTTAAGGACTTATAGGGAAAGAGATCGTAGAAAGAATTACAGTTAAAGAGGTAATTAGGGCTAGGAACGAAGGTAAAGGGGTAATCAAGCTATTTATAGTATAAGAGCAGGACAAAAAGAAGCTAGAAACACAAAAAGAATAGACAACTAAGATAGGGAAAACAGTAAAGGTCTCCTAACAGCAATTTATAATTATAGCCTATAGTATAATAAGAAGCTTTAAGGAAGAATAGGACATTAAGAGCCTATAGAGATAAAACTAAGCTATATACCTAGGCCTAAAGATTACAAAAGTAGTATAGATTAAAAGGAAAATCGAAGAGACTAAGAAGCAGTCTTCCCTAATTATCTAGGTAGGGAGTATAGAGCAAGCTAATATAGTGCTAGACTAGGGGTTATTCTAAGACTTTAAAAGATTAGAAACAGAGATATATAGAAGCAACTATAGAATAATATAGTGCTTCAAATGTCAATACTATAGACACTTAGTAGCTAAGTATATAAAGACAACTAATACCTACTCCTATTGTATAGGGGATTACTAGGTCAAAGAATACAAAGTATACAAGGGAGAAGCAAGATATATATACTATACTAAAAGACACCCCTCTTAGGCGAAGGAATGCCTAGTAAGAATATAGGCAGCTAGGAAGGCAAAGGAAGCTAGAATTAATATACTAAAAAGATATATAACAAGCTAGGGCAGCTAGGTATAGAAGCAACCTAGCTAAGTACTACAAAAGAGGTCTAGGCAAGATAATAGGTTTACATTCAGGGCCTCACTAGCACAAGAGAGTTACTAGCAACTAGGGAGACTAAGATACCTTAATATTGCAGGAAAGGAAGCAGGGCAGACAAAGCTTAGTCAAATATTAGTCTAAAGTAAGGGAAGACTAAAGGAAAACTTATAGGGAAATAATATAGATGAAACTTAATAAACATTGCAATATTACTAAACATTATATAGTACAATGTTAATAAGAGTAAAGACAAGGTACAGAGGAGCTTCCTTTAAGCACTAAACCTAAAAGAACATTACATTATTGCAATCTAAGAGCCCTAGCTTAACCTATATATAAAGAGACTAGCAACTGTTAAAGACCTAAGATACTATCCAATTATCTACAACTAGGGAGCCCTAAGGATATATATCTATATTAGCAAGGAGATAGATATAGAAACCTAGTAGGCTATACTATAGGAGGATAGGGACCTAATATTAGTTCAAGTAGAGACATCCTAAGGTACACTCTAAGTCCACTATATATACAACCCACTACTAGACTTAAGAAGCAGTACCTAACTAAAAACCCTAGAAAGACTACTTAGAGTTATCTAGGGGAATACCTACTAAATCCTACTTAGGGATTTTAACCTCTACTACCCCCTCTAGGGCTTAGACTTTACCCTAGCTTACTACTTCCTAGTAGGAAGACTAATTAACATATTAGAGAGGGAAGGAATAGAAATTGTTACCCTAAAGGGACTAATTACTTAGGAGGCAAGAGGAAGCAGTAGTACACTAGACCTATACTTTGTATTATATTAGATTAGGAATAGGATTATAAGATATAGGGTTAACTAGGAACTAGAAGAATTATTAGACTACTTCCCGGTATAGATTAAGCTAAATGTCTAAGCTAATTAGGAAAGGGAACTAGAGGAGAAGCTTAACTAGAAAGGTACCTAATAGGGCAGGATTAGGGAGGAACTAGAAAGGGACCTAAAACTAGAGGAACTCTTAACAAAGCACCTACTAAAGTTAGAGGATATTAATAAGGCAGTAGAAGAACTAATAGGAATCCTAAAACAGGTAGCTAGAAAGCATACCCTAGCAAAGAAACATTCACTATACTAGCAACTATACTAGACTAGTAAGTATACAAAGAAGGTTAAAGTAGTAAGGAAGGCTAGGAGGTAGTAGATACAAACCTATACCTAGGAAGTATAGGACAACTACAATAAAGCCTACTAGGAAAAGAAGATCTAGATTAAGAAAGACAAGATATAAGAATAGAGATCTATAATAGGAATAATTACAAAGAAACTAAAGGAGATATAGAGGATAGCTAAATAGGTAAGGAGACTTAAATAGGACAAGGATATACTACTACAATTCCCGGATATTATAGACTAATAAGGACAAATGCAGACTATAATAGAAGGGAAAGTAAGAGCCCTAGGCTAATACTTCTTCTATAGAAAAGTATAAGTAGACCTATTAGATATAAAGGAGAAAGAATAGGAGACTCTACTACTAGGTATACTAAGAGATACCTAGGTCAAACCCGAAACTATTAAAAGGATCCTAAAGAAAATTCTAGGCAATAAAGCACTAGGAGAAGACAAGATCTATAACAAACTTCTAAAAGTATATAGGAAGGGGCTAGCCCTAGCACTAGCTAATATCTTTTTACAAAGCCTAGTACTAGGACACTACCTAAGACTATTTAGGAAGTCCCTAATAGTAGTGCTAAGGAAGCCCTAGAAGGAAGACTATATACAGCTTAAGGCCTATAGACTAATAGCCCTACTTAATACAATAGGCAAGGTACTAGAAAAAATTGTCGCTAAAAGGCTAACAACCTTTACCGAGGAAAGGAACATCCTTCCTAAAGGCTAGATAGGAGGAAGAAAGAAGAGGTTAATACTAATAGCTATAGAACTAATTATAGAACAGATTAAGCATATCTAGTACTATAGTTAAAACTAGGTAGCAACCCTCCTCTCCCTTAATATCTTAGGAGCCTTTAATAATATCTCCTATAAAAGGCTCCTATATATACTTAAATAGAAAGCTACACTAAACTAGATAGTCCAATTTATCTAGTCCTTCCTATAGGAAAGATCAATATAGCTTATTCTAGGCAAATTCAAATTAGACCTAATACTAACTAAAAAAGGAATCCCCTAAGGATTAACACTTTCCCTAATCCTCTTCCTTATCTTTATAGCAGACCTACTCCTACTCCTAGAATTAAAAAACACATTAGCATTAGGGTTTATAGATAACACAAACATCCTAGCCTAGTCTAAGACAATAGAAACTAACTACAAGATCCTAGAAGAGAAGCACTAGGAGTATAAAAAATAGGCAAGGAGGTATAGAGCAAAATTCGCCCTAGAAAAGTACTAGCTTATCCACTTTAGTAAGGCTAAATTAACCTATAATATAAAGCAATCAATCACTATTTAAGGCTTTAAAACCCAACTATTAGCAGAGCTTAGGGTACTAGGGATCTAGCTAGATCCAAAACTGAATTAGGGACTATAAGTAAAGAAGGTAAAGTAGAGGGCAGATACTAATATACAATCTATTAATAGGCTTACAGCCTCTATATAGGGGGCTATATTCGAGAAAGCTAAAGTTATATACAAAGCAATTGTTAAGCTAGCAATGCTATATAGAGTACAGATATAGATAGCCTAGGAGAAAACACTAAAGAGGATTAAGCAACTAGTTAGCAGGTCCTAAACCTAAAGCCTAAAGAAAATCCTAGGAGTATATAAAACTATATTAATAAGGGTAGTAGAAATAGAATTAAGGATCCTACTAGTTAAACAATACTTTAAGGGACTAAGACACTAATATACAGTAAAGATAATAGAATACCTAGTCTAACAGACTATCTAAAAGGCACTAGATAAGATAAAAGCCTAGTGCATTAGGACTAGGAGGCGAGACAGACTATAAATAACTCCCTAGAAAGTTAAAGACCTAGAGTAATATAGAGTCTTAACAAGAGAAATGCTAGAGAAAGAGCTATAGGGACTAAATACAAAGCTAAAGGAAGATAAGCTAAAGGGAGAGAAATAAAGCCTAGTAGAATCAATTGCTAGATACCTATAGGAGTAGGAATAGAACAAAACACAAGCTAGACTAGGAACCCTAAAGGCACTAATCAAATTTAGTTAACACAACTACTAGCTCTATAAGGACCTAAATAGGGCCGAGGCAAGCCTAGCTATCTAAATTAGATCTAAACATATTAGACTTAGATCTTACCTATTTAGAAGAAACGTCCTAGGAATTAAAAGCAGAGCTTACTAATATAGCTACCAATCTTAGAACCCTAAGTATATACTACTAGTCTGCCCTTAATAGTTAGAAGGTAGAAGTAATTAGAGACTAAAAGCAATAGAAAGGGAATACGATAAGCTAATCTAGAGCAAAGAAGACCTAAAGAGGATAGTAAAGTAGATTATTAAACAGGGATTTATACAACAATTCGTACTAGTAAGGGAAACTAAGGAGTAGATAAGAAGGAGGGAAGAAGAGGGGGAAAGAAGGGCAGGGCAGTAGGTAAGGTAGTTAGAGGGTAACAACTATAATACTAGTATACCCTAGAGGAAGGAAAACAAGGAAACGAGGAAGATTAACACTTATAAATAGGATAGGAGGGAGGTTTTTACTAACTAAGTTGGTTTCCTACCTAAAACAATTTATAGAAACAGACCTATATAGGCCGGAAGGCACTATAATAGGCAAATGAAATATCTATCTATCTATTATTTAATCCTTTCTAGCTTTCCTTATTAGGATTTTAATTGCTATCTCGAAAATTGTCCTTAGATCTAGTAAGCCTACCTACTATATCTTTACTATAATAGTAGGTAATAGTAATAGAATCTTAAACGAAGGTCCGAATATATATATAGTACCGATATATTATAGACAATCGTAACGCCTAGCTTATACTTTTTTTAATAAATATTAACGCAAATTTAGTACGGGATTAAGGATATATCTACGATCTGAAGCTTCGGATCGTAGCACCGAGATTACGTTAGGCCCTTCGGATCGCGATTCTACGATCTGAAGCTTTAGATCGCAGCACCGAGATTACGTCAGGCTCTTCGGATCGCGATTCCACGATCTAAACGGTGTCAAGCTTAGTCACCTCCGGTAAAGCTCGCCTCGCCTCGCGCTGCCATGTGCCTTGAGAACAACCATGGATCGAGACGCCATCCTTCGTCAAATACAAGACGTCGCCGCCAAATCTCGATGCGAAGACCGTGCCGCCCAAAAACGAATCCTGCCTTTGTACAACCTCTACGCTACCAGCACGGTTTCGCTCTACCCCAGGAGGTCGTTCCAGACTTTTGTCAAGATGCTAATGTGCCTAGTGCTTCTGCATGCAGAATCCGAGTTCTCGGATGTACCAAGAACTACCGCACCAGATCGACGAGGACGAGGCAGATAATAAGACTGTTTCGACACCAAAGCACCCAAAGAGGAGGAAACAATCTTCCGAGAAGTGGACACATATCGCGCGCGTTTAGGCGGGTGAAGAGCGAGATATGAACGTCTGGCTGAACCAGTGTCTGGACTTTCTTCGCGGCAAGGCCGGGCGTGATTCAACGACGACACAGCCTCGAAGCCAAATCCGGGCAACGACAGTGTCAATCAAGCCCGCGCCCGGCCAGAACCTGACGACATGCTCACATTCGAGCTCCGAATTGGCAAGCAGTCGGTCTGCGAGCCTGGCGCCAAGATGTCAGCGATAAAGACCCTGGAGCTGCATCTCAGCGCAGAAGAAGAGGAGGCATTCCACGAGGCAGTCGAGGGCGTGAGTGCAGGGAAGGGTGAGCGGTATCGAGCTGCGAGGCCTCAGCGAGGGCTTTGTGACAATGTGATCTCGCCGAAGGACGTACGCGGGATGTAAATGCAACTGGCATGCTGCGACCCGAACTCACTATGCGCTTCTCCTGCCTGCCCGATTTTCCCATCTCTCACTTTTCGCTGTCTCTTCCTCGCGGATCAATCGGCGCGGCCACGGTTCCACTTCACTGTTCACTCTTGCGTCTTCATATCAACAAGCGCTCCAGTGGCACGAACACTTTGCAGCCGCACGACGACAAGCTTGCTGCTCACCACTCTGCGGTCGGAACCCTGTTCGACAAAGACTCCATTCTCCCACAGAACAATCCTCTTTTCGACAATGGCACAGCGTCATTTGCTACTGCCTTGCAATGGCAAGGCATCCAGCGCAGGGCCTCGCGTCGATCTGACGCGCAGATGCTGGAAGACGAAAGTCGCCGAAGCTCGCAATTCGTCGCGAACGGCCCAATGCTTCACGAGGGGAGAGAGCCGCCGCCAACAACGCACACTTTGGAATGAATGGCTGAGTAGCTTGCACGGAAGCTTTCTTTGGCCATAGCAAAAGATCAGAGCGAGGATGTCCCGGGAAAATTTGATGGGTTGAAGCGATGGAATCCCGAGCTAGGCGGAGTGACATCCAGCGCGAGCAACAAGTAGTGGACAAGTCTCGAGACGCGTGAAGCAGTGGTAACCTCTTTCATTGCGCCAAAGTGTCCCTCCCGAGCAATCTGCGAAAACACTGTCAACCCAAAAGGGTGCAAGTGACCAGCAGCTCCAGTCACCTACGACCCAAGGACAAAAACAGCAGCAGAACGCGCAAGCATTCAAGGCAAGAATGAGAACACACCATCGCAAAAGCAGGACGGAAAGACGTGTGTGCTGTAGTCAGACGAAAAGATCATTGGCATGCGGGGAGCTACCACGATCGGCCTGATGCCTCACGGAAAGATCTAGAAGCGGTCCATAATGCGCCATTCAAAACAGTCTCACAGCTGTCTCCTTTGCCCAAAACTTCCTCAACACGATGGGCAGCGGTCAGCGTTTGGAGAAGGCCATCAGTCGGGAGAATATGGACGAGCTGGAGCGGAAGCCCCCCTCGGGCAAAGGAAAAAAGGATTGCGGAGCCTCGCGCGCCTACCAAGAAGGTACCAGTGTACCCGCAAGCGTTCCACTTGGTCAGGATACCCGAAGCTTCAGGCGACGGCGACTCTCCACGCCCGGTCACGCTCACCACGCCCGGCCACGCCCATCACGCCTGGCCACGCCCGGTCACCACGCCCAGCCACGCCCACTACGCCCAGCCACGCCCACTACGCCCACCACGCCCAGCCACGCCCACCTACGCCCACCACAGAAACCAGATCCGAAATCTGCTGAAGACACAACAAAGATTTCGCCACCAAGTCTCGCAGGAGGTCGTGCGCTTTTCGCAAACCGCGGCAATAAGGAAGCCAAGGAGAAAATTGCTCACATCGACAAATTGATTACGCACAAACCGCTTGCAACTGCAGTGACCGTGAACCGATAGCGCGAGGCTCTAGAGTTTGGGCCTGTCAAAAACGGCTTCACGCCACTCCGCCACAACCACATTCCGCAACGCCGTACTGAAATCGCTCGCATGAAGATGGTCATCGGACCCGACAAGACCCTTGGAAGCAGCGATGCACCAGACCAATTTTGCCAGCGATTCTTCACCCTTATAGGCAAATACGTACAGCCGACTCACACGGCAATCACTGGCGTGATCGTAGAAATCGCCGATCTGGCTCATCAAGCAGAGCATTACGGAAGTCGCTCAGCGCGCACGCCAGCTGACAACATCCCTATGAAGCCACTCCGTCTTACCTATGCTGTTGTTGATGACGGAGACTCTATTCAAGACACTCCAACTCCAACACACGCCATTGCAGCGCAATAATGTGATGTTGGGGAAATTGCGAACAATGCCACATCTTCCAGACATGGCTCGTGCAAAAGGACAACGCATACGATTGCGAGGTTCTCCAGTTTCCAAGACAACGCTGACGATCCAGAGGATGCCCCGCTCATTGTTGTGATCGATAACAGCGATGAGAGTACCGACAGAGTGGATTCGGAGTCTCAACAACGACGACGAGTCTGTGGAGAGTAGGGAAGTTCATCGTTGGAATCTGGTAGCTGATTCGGTGGAAGTGGATGGCTTAAGTAAAGATAGCATTGAAGATGAATATATGGACCAGGAACGCCTCGATGGATGGAGCAGTTCGCCATCGATCTGGCTTGTGGTAATGGGCAAATACTTGGATGAGTATTGCATGTTTTTCGCTTGGGAAATGGATCTCCAAGGCAGGGACAAGACAAAATGCAGTTCGGACATCGAGAGCTGTGCCGACCCCAACCACGGATTTACCATCAGGAAGGCTAACATGTTTAAAGCTCACAGGACGAGCTTGCATGGAGATCACAGTGCACCTCATCGTTCAGTTCGAGCAGAGCCACCTTTGTTACTGCATGGCACTTGGCGGATTTAGCATTGACGGTCCATTTACCCATATGCCTTGACACTCACATCCCAGGCAACATGAAACAGGCCAGGCTGCGAACGGCAGCTTCATTGTGCAGCCTGTGGTTCCTCTCTGTGGATTCAAACATACTTCTTGAAATCTCCCGGAGCCTCATACACGTCTACGGCTAGCATATCAAGCCAACAGAATAGCGAGATGTTGTCAGAATCAATGCAACCCTGATCATTATTGAGACACATAGCAGTCGCTGTTCCAGCTTCCTCAAATACGTCGGCAGCATGTGGAACGACAAGAGCAGGCTCTATGTACAGCCCCAAGATAGAGCAAGCTGTGCCTTCGCCAACTTTGCTGGAAACGCCGGGGAGATGCGGAGCTGGGTCTCCAAGCTGCAACACGACATCAATACCACCACAGTCTCATATGATCGAGGGCGAGAAGACGTCGCCAAAAGCCACAGTTAGGCAGAGGCCGCGGTTGCCGAGGTTCCGCACAAGAACGCGAGAAAGTCTCGTTCACACATGCTTGGCGCATCAATGGTCGCTCAAGGTCCTGCAGTAATTCTACGGCCATCGCCTCATACTGCATGGCGAATGCGTGTCGATACCATTCTGGGGTCGGCACTTCGACTCAAGAAACATTGTCGTCCTTCTCCAGTCCCAGAACAGCAGAGGCAGGGCCACGGCGATGTGAGACACAAGTACATGCGGAGGCCAAGCAGCCCGGAGAGAGGCTTCGATGTTGGGTTATTCAAGCTTCACCGCCACCATCACCGAGGGAACAAGCTCCCAGCTCTTCTCATTTCTTTCGTCTCCTCTACCACCAACCCAATTTTGCTCTTGAAATCTGGAAACACTACTGACGATGGAGAATCGTAAGTAGTGGTCGACACCTAACCATTTCCGCCACCTCACTACCACAGACAGTCACTGGCCGCCATATGCGATATCCATCCCACCAAGAGATTGTCCGCCTCCCGGCAAGGGTGCACATGATGATGCTATATAACGCGATGCTGGAGCTCATCAAAGCCGACCTTCGTCAGCTCCTCCCTTGCTGCGGCATCGACCACCCGAAAGACGGATCGAAAGCTGTTGAGATGGAGAAGCCAACGTGCCAATGTGGTTCTTGACGTTCGCAGGTCTGTATGGCAGCAGCGCTCGTATCGAAATCTCGACATCCACTGCAGGGCCTTCACTCATCACCTGCCTCTCTTCAACATCGCAGTTGGGCATTTTCGCCATCCTGGCCTGTACCGTTGTAGCCTCCGACAGGTTCTGCAAGACCTCATGGATAGGCAAGTGCAGAAATTCATATTCGAAGAGAGCAGCGGAATGGGGAGGATTAGGATAAGGTTGAAGATGAAGATGGAGACGAGGATGAAGACGAGGATCAAGACGAGGATGAAGACGATAGATGGTAGTAATAGTGGCCGTGCCGAGTACACCGGGTAAGAAGCGCCATGAGGTCCCAGGTTAACATCAGCGTTGATCATTGCGTGGCATTTCTAGAAGTATCTCCGAGCTCTGCCATTTTCTGGCCGGGGTTATTCTCCCAGCTACGGGCTTCCCGACCTAGGAGCGGCCAATGCATAGCCAAACCTCCTCAGCCCGCCCGGAGCACACCTCTTGGTGAACTTCTTCGTCTTCGTCCTTTCTGATCTTCTTTCTACCACTCTTTCGTATTGCATGTTTGCGGCACGCTCGAAAGCGCCTGAGTTGGTATTGGCGCCGCCGTTGGTTCTTCTTTTGCGAGCTTGGGGGCTACCTTGTTGGTGATCATAGGTTTCGATAATTCGCTCTGGTGTTGGAAATCGTTAATCAGCCCGAGAGTGTGACTGTTTGGGCGTGGTAGTGAGCCCAAATGACCCAAATGAATCGAAAGTGTAGTGGACTCTATTGAAGTATTGGAAAGATGTCGTCCTCAGCTTCTGCGCCGCCGTTGCGCCTCGCTGCAGGCTCAAGAAGCATGAGAAATCACAGTTCGCGCTTGATGTCGCGATGCAGGAATCTCAATGGTTCTGACATGATTCCCAGCCGAGCGCGCTGGAGTGATGATTACTTGCGATGACTGTGGAGAGGTAGTCGAAGAACAATCAGCAATGGTTTGTTGCGAGGTTATCGATAAAGTGATGGGTCTACCCGCTTTCCTTGCTGGAACAGCTCGCCATTGCCACGTTAGACTGTCCCATCGCCCATACCTGCGCTCAAATCATCGAAAATTTGTCACTCGAGACACCGCCGTATGCCTGGATACCGGGCTCAAGAGAAGCCAGCGCTTCTGCAACACCACCCGTACTTTTTTATTCCAGCACTCGACACATGGCCCGAGAGCTCCTGTTCGTCAAAAGCCTCTTGTACCACGGCCTACCAAGATCATTTCGAGATGCATTCCGGCACTTCCATAGATGACAAGTACGCCGCACACGAGGCAAAGAAATCCATATACCTCGCCGAGATGAACGCCATGATCGCCAAATCCAAGGAAGAGTTTGACAAGTGTAACTTGAAGAATGTTGAGTCTCTCATCGGGTAATTTTAGATCGAAAGCCGCAGAAAAAGACGAAGGAGAACTATGCCATATTCAAGCGCGGCGCCGCTGCTTTGGTGAAACCGCGTGACGATGCAAAGGCAGATCCTGCGCGGAGAGACTTCTGGTACAATTTCTCCTTCCTATTGGAACTCAGTATGACAGATCTCGCGACACCGAACGACATTCCGTCCTGAAGTGCTCAAGGAGGCTTGGAAGCAGCGATGAGCAATCATACGTATGGATTAGCACCAATGAGACTTTGATACATCCATTGACTTCTTGCACAGATTCATCATCTTGTTTGTCGCGAGCACCCACATCAGAACAAGCACGAGGCCATCATCATGTCCCGAGACACGAGCAGGAGCATTTCCAAGATCCCGCATGAGGAGAGAGACAATTTCGACATCCCCGATCAAGACCGCCGTCTTGCCCACAATGCGGCAGCAATGCATGGGCGTGATCATGAACCTGGCGCAGAATCTGGAGTCCATGTCGTCCGGCGACACGTTCGAGAGTACGACGAGAGACTTGATGATAACCTCGCACGGCGGTCCATGAAGGTGCTGGGTGTGGGCTTGTACCCGAACGAGCAGAAAATTCTGCCTCCGATTCCCACCGCCCTCCAGCGTCCAAATCTCGGCCTAGGCTATACCTGCAGTTGGAATCCACGTCAAGGAGAAGGAGATGTGCAGGAAGAGGAACAAGGATCCGTTCCAGGAGCCGATCGAGGTTCACGAACATGGGAGGTGCTCGTACGTGTAAGGTGCTCGTACGTGTGAGGTGCTCGTACGTGTGCACGATTGTGGTCATAACCTTCGCCAACTGCGTGCCTATGCCGGTGGACACGATGGGGAAGAGGGAAGATTGGTATCCTTCATCTCGAAGTGGCTGGAGGAGATGATTTTGCCTCACAACTCGTCCGGGTTCAAGATAACCATCATGGTTAGGGCGCATTCGCTGCCGACACGATGGAGACTTCTTGCTTCAGATCGTACAGCGACATGGCCGAAATGTTGAGCTACATCGAGGCACGACCTCAGTGGGACAAAGAATTCGTAACGAAGAATACGCCTTCGCGAAGAATTTCAACGCCCTTACCCTCCTTCCTCGTCTTGCCTTTCCCACATAAGCTGCAACCTGACCCTCTTCTCTACATTTCCACAAACGCATTGTTCGTAATGCCAATCTCAGGTAGATTCTGTCCTCTCCGCACATCAATAGCCATAATCGTGAAATGGCAAGTATTTTTTGTATAGTCCTCTTCGTACTGTCACTGATGCTGAGCGTTGTGGGATAAGAAAGAAAGAACCCATCCGTGCCAGGCGGTACCAGCGCAGCAAAGCGTCAACCGTGACATGATGAAAGAATTGAATGATCTGACACTTCTCTGCTGAGTACACCAAGAAGTTGGTCGACCTCGACAACGTAGAGTAGTATACCGCCAGCTCCCCCACGCCGCACAGGATCTCGACTATAGACATATTCACGAACAAGGTTATAGAGTGGGAACCGACCACCACCAGTGATGTGTCCTAGGAGTAAGAGAGGTACCTGAGGACGTTTATGTTCCCGTTCATGAACGAGAAGCTGATTAGCATCGTGACTAGAGCCCTGGCTGACTACATCGTTGGAGAAGTATGGGACTACTTCCTGCATATAGCAAACAATTTCTCAGCAACGCGAGCATGGGCGTGAGCCCGAGTACGACTGCGAACAACTTGCCGCCTAGCGCTTTGGCCTCGAGTTTGGAGCGGTCATCGCGGACAAGAGCGCGAGGAGGACGCTTGGGCAGTGGAGCTAGGAGAGGGTAGCAATTGAGGGCGTGGCGCCGGACGTACTCGTGACCCAGAACAGCGTAGAACATGCAGTTTCATTCGATTCGATACGTAGAACAAGTTCGAAGTGTCTAGTCGTTGCTCCGACATCAAAACCGCGCCTGTTGGGCTCCTGCATGGGTTTCTTTCCTTGCTAACTCCTGCCTCCAATATCACTATGCTGTACCCCCACAAAGTGTAGCAAGTCTTCGAACATCATCCAGAGCATCACAGGACGCAAAAGCATCTTCCAAAGTCCAGCTCTTGCCGTTGACTCCATCCAAATCCATCAGCTCCAGTATCCAGTATCGTCATCAGCGGCATCGTTGATTCACCACCAGTACACAGCCTCCTTGAGGGATCTGGGAAGCATGCTGACCGTTGTGTATCACTGGTTGCCTGTTGCCTTGTCACCTCCTCGTCTCGCCTCGCCTCCACAAACGCATACGACACACATCGCCACGGGCCTTCCAACCACCAGCCAGAAGAAGGCCCGCAGGGAAAAGACGAATGCCGTCAAGGCTGACGCTGTTGGTATTGGTCCAGGTGCTGCCTCGAGTCGCAAGTATCCAATGCCGATGCCACACACCGACGAAGAGTGCACTGCATTCTTCTTGAACAGGATCGACAAGATCGCCGACATAGGCATGATGGATGTACAGCGTCTATTCCACGCCGCCGGTCGGTGCAAGTAAGCAGTGCCGCTCCATCGCCAGACATTCCACGGTGGTCTGCGCAAGGTCTTGAAGCCACTGCACAGCTAGGACATGGGCCCAAAGAACATCCAGATCGTCTTTGGTCAGTGCGATGTGCTAATGGTCGCGCTCAGTGAAGCTACGGTATTCTTTCGTTCCACGGAGATTTGTAGAAGATGGGGACTTCGCAATGTCGAGACAGCGACTCACGCAATGTCGCGGTCATAGACCTGAGATGTTACAGTCGAAGCCAGGACGTGTGCGCGCCTTGCCGCTGATCCCAATCCGAAGAGTCGTGTGCTCAAGACCAAGACCGAGGCTCGCGTTACGCTCGCGTTCAAGATCACGTCGCGTCACTTCCCAGCATTCAAAGCTCTTGCGTTCAGCACTGGTGGCTTGGCTATCGGCTTCGATTGTGGTATGGCGCAGATGACCACTTTTTCGGTGTTCGGAGGGTGTTGTTGTCTCAGAAGAAGTCTGCGTCTTGAATGAAGTCGCCTCCGAAGTGACGAAGTGACGAGACTCGCCGTCGCTGTGACAAGCGCTGGTTCACGTGGACCCTGCGTAAAATAAGATTCCGTTGGTGTGGGGAGAAGGTTCGCAGTCGCGCGCGAGTAACGAAGAGGGTGCCGTGGGTGAGTGCTGGATTCCATTCATTGTTCTCGCATTGTCGCAATCGTCCAGCCATCAGGCGACATGCGTCAACAACGGTCGAAAAGTCTCGCTATTCTGCGTTCGCAACCATTTCGTGCCAGCGCCGAGGTGCGTAACATCAACAACGGACGACATCCCAGCCTCCCCAACCTGGTTCAACACCTTTCTGAAGCCGGTTTCTGCATCGATCATGAGGGCAAGAGCATGGTTTACCAGGCCTTTACTCTGCTGGCTGGCCAGATTACTCTGCAGCGGGTTCTACTCCACCGAATCGGCGACCAGGAGGCGAAGAGTACCCAATGAGGAGGTGCCTGGGTTGGTGAAGCAAGCCACAGGTGATGAGATGTGATGCTGAGGCGTAATGCTGAGTTTGAGGTTGGGTATGCTTGATGCTTGATGTCGGAAGCGGATACCGACTCAGCGGTGACTGCTGAGCTCACTGTTGTCACTCGTTTGGTTGCTGCCGCAGTAGATAGCCGCTCAATGAACTGTGCTGATTTATGTCCTCACCTCAAAACCCTCTCCACCACTGCCGACATGTCGAAGAAGAATCGCACCGAGCGATATAGGAGATTGAGCAGATGGAATATCAGCACCTAATCATGAGTCCTGGGGAAGCCGCTGCGCCCGGATTCCGAGTCGTCTTTCTCAAGGAATACTTCCGCCATCTTCTTCCAGCTTAGGGCGAACACCTCGGCAATGGGTTCTCCCAGATCGACACCTTTCGCTATGCTTTCCGCCGGGATGCAGTGATGCTCGGTGCGTCTGCTACCATCACAAAAGAGACTGGCAAGCATCCCCTCGAGCATACTGAATTCCCAAGGTCACCTCCTGCATCTTCAAGACCTTGTAGGATAATGAGGTTGCCAATACAAAGCCACATACTTCATCCTCAAAGGCGCCGTCAACGAGCAATGCGAGGGTACCCCACAGGGCATGGAGAAGGTATGCTTCCTTGTCGATGTGCTTGGCGCGGCGCTCGATAATTGTGACATCCAGATGCTGATCTTCGGTCGCGAGCATGTCGCCACTGGGACCGACTAGGTTCGGAGTTGGTTGTTTGAGCTGACCAAGGACCAGCCAGATCCCAAGAAGCGGTCCACGTACGGCAAGGAAGGCGTCAATCTCTTCGACGCTTTCTGCTTCCACACTAGCAGTGTGTCGAGTATCGACCAAGATGCCCGATGTGCAGAATACAGCAAAGCGGATGCATTGATCCGCATCCTCGATGCACGACCGCATTCAGCATTGGTATCACTACCAAGGAAAGCCAGCTCTCATCCCAGATCAAGTTCCCCAGCGTGATGGATGTAGAGTTTGAGTCATGCACTGCCACTTTCTGTGCGATCCCTCGCGCTCCTGTTCTTGCCATACTGGGCCGACGTCAATGCGAAGGACTTGAAGTGAAGGAGAAGGAGATCAACAGCCATCTGATCATCGCTCCTAGGCGTCAGAAACCTTGTGGCAACCCAAACGCACCAATTCGTCCAAGCGGATTCAGCCAGGAAGCACTGCCTGCTGCCCGACAGCCTCATAAGCCCACACCACCTTACCGTCGGTGCAGTTGCATTGCCAATCGTTCAAGAGTGGTGCGGCACTCGTGGTGACAGCCTGTGCGACAAGAATCAATTGACTTTGACAGAGATTGGTGAAGACGACGTTCTTGAGCGAGCGCCGTTGATTCCACTATTGCTCGGGAAAGAGCAATACCTTCACTTCGAGATGGTCGGCATCGTCTTTGAGCTGAGGTAGCAGCCAACGTGTACCAGGCATACGCAGCGCGGAGTGTGTCGCACAAAGAAAAAGCCAAGGCCAGCCAGGAGGATGGAGGGAAAGTCGCTGAGCAGGCTGCTGATCCAACCCTGAGGTGCCATCGACCGAGACCGAAGCTGAACAAACCCAGCGTCGTTGAGAGCTGCAGGCCGCGATTATGAGCTCTGCTGGCAGTGATGTACTCTGGAGAAGGCCATGTTTGGTCGAAACGCACAAGCTCAGGCCCAGGGAGATGCAGATGCGCTTGCTGCTCAGCTCGAGGAGGGCGGAGTGCTAACTTCTGATGCTGCCGTCGGCGCTGACATTGGGATGTCTGATGTTCCCGCTCTTACTAGACAGATTCGTAAAGCAACTGGCGACGATGGTTCCTGCGGCAGGAAGGCTCGGCTGAACGCGGCGCCAGGTGCTGGCCAGGGAACAGCACAGGCTGCTGACGAGTCCGAGCTCGCTGCACAGGCAGGGCGGGAGCTGCACGTAGTTGGGCTCACGACTCAGCAAAGAAGACGTCGGCGTAGACTCTCGGCACGAGCAGCTCTTGCTGTCGCACAGGGTGTTGTTTGGGCAGGCCATGCCAGTGCCGCTGGGAGCAGTCGGCACGGAAGCAGTCGTCCAGCAAGCGGAGGAAATGTTTGGTGCCGCTCTGGGAAGTGCTCCATGCCGCTGAGGGTGACCTTCGAGCAGGCCAGGTCAGTGCAGTGGGAGCCGTCGTTATGGAAGCAGTCGTGCAGCAAGCAGAGGAGGCGCTTGATGCCGCTCCAGTAGATCCAAGATAGAGTAGACACTGGTGGAAAGCGCTGTGCCGACGATGCCATGCAAAGAGCCCAATCCAAGAAGATCCCGAATGCCTTCGGATAGCAAGTCGTCACAGCTTTTGCGTGAAGACCCCGTCGTCATCGTGTTGAACCTTTTGCCAGCGCGCTTTTGCCGGAAATGCGTGCTGCCGGGTCGGCTGACGCCGCGGGAGGGCCTGTGAATGTCGTGGTAGAATTGTCAAGCCTTTTGTCAAGGTTCAACATCCGTTGATTGTCTCCCCAGACCTCAGCCTGTCTGATTTTCTGTAGCAGCACTTCTTCGGAGGTGTGTCAGGTCGAAGCCCAGTAGGCATGTTGACATCGTTGATTTGTGACGTGTCTTGGAGGGGGCCCGCTGGTTTGATTACAGGTGCTGCTCGCCTACAGTTCTGATCCGGCATTGTGCTATCTTTTTGCTACAGCATTACCCTTCGCCATCTTTTTATCTCGAGTGCCTTTGACTTCCGACCTTCTTCCCTTCCTGCCTGCCCATTCTCACCACCGACACCTCTTTTGATCTGGCGCTGCGGCCACATTCCGAGCGTGTCCTTCTTCTTGAGCACATGCGTGATCACAGGAGTTGGCGCGTTGTTGCCGTTTGCAACCTTGGCCAATGCAGGTGCTTCTTCGCAGATGCCTGGGGCTGCCGTCGTTGTCGTGCTGGACATTTTTACCAGCCCACTTTTCTCGAGCTGTGTTCAATTGACGTATCTCGGTGTTGCGGTGTTGTGAAAGTCCTGAAGCCGGTGTCGTACTGTTATGCGCGGAAGGAAGAAGTCGCGAGGTCTCATCTCGCCAAAGTAAATCCGGGGTCTTGGTCTTGGCGGGATCTTCATCCTTGTCCAGTCCTCGAATCACGCATCCAAACTGCATCTCCTCTTCCAACATCATCAACACTCAAGACGACCAAGTCCACTCCTTGATTCGAGGCATTGTGGTACCACTCGCGTGTCAATACCATCGAGAAATCCAAATCCCGAAAATCTCGCTTTTCGAAACATCTAGGAATTCAGCATCTGAACTTTGCGAACGACAACACATGCATCCGCAAGGGCATCTGGCTTCCGGAGGTTCAGACGATGACCTTTCGGACATTTCATCTCCGGCGGAACTTGTGCTTGCTGTTGCTGTTGATGCCGAGCCAGTGCTGGAGGGCGCGGAGTCTCAGGATCTGGCAGACCGGCGAGACGAGCCGCGAGACGCGAAGAGGCGGAGGCATATGCTGGCAACACAGCTCTTGACGTCGATATCGATCTTGATGTTGATGGCGCGAAGGTGGGTGGTGTATCGGTGACACTGCAGCTTGTTCGCATACAACTTCTACCACGGACCAAGGACTACAAGACACCATACTCTTCAGGTGCCAGAGTGACCTCTTCATGTTCGAAGTTGGAAAGGATATTGGTCTGCTGCGGTTGTTTTGATAGTGGTCGCTTGGACTTCGATCACGTCTAGCGCGAAGTCGGCAATATCATCGAGCTCCTGATCTTCAAAAGGCATAGCGGCGGCGAGGAAGAGTGTATTGAAGGCAGGGGTAGTGTCGATCTTGCCACAGAAGAGAAGCAGAGCGACAGGAAGAAGATCTGGTGGAAAGTCCCACAAAAGCGCCATCACATGCAGGTATGCCAATTCCCTCTTCATTCAAGTGCGATCCGAGCTCAGGTCACTCGTCCCCAGTCAGATGCAGCTAATTGACCAAGATGCTGTCCTTGTCAGCTTCAATGTCGTACCATACCTCATCTTCGGCGCCTATGAGCTCTTCGCCACGTTTCGGAGTCCGTGTGTCGAGGCGCTCATCAGCACTACTGTCCCCGTTCAGCAAATCTTCGTCATCTCCCACGGCAGCGAAGCCTGACTTGTAACGACTGTTGATCGCATCAAGATCGTCAATCTTCTAGCGCAGAATATGCTCGTCTCATTGCATATTGCTTTCTGACCCAGCGACATCGTCTCTGCCAGGCAGATGCGCTGCCAGGCCCTCCGATACCAGCTTGTGGGCCATGCTGAACACAAAGTCCGCGGAATTCTTGGTGGTGTGTGTTGCAGTGCCGACGGTGCCAATGCCTTTCTCGAACATGTGACGCAGATTCCTTTCGGCCTGACGATTTTTGACGAACTCTCTCCCACGTCTTTGCGTGTGTGTGTCGAGTTGGCCTTGCTCTTGACGTCCAAGGAATCATCCATGCTGTACAGCTCAAGCAATTCATCAGCGGCGACAGTTTTCCCTGGCTTGCCTTCGGGATTCACGACAATCGTCGCAAGGATAGCGTCTTGCGATAGTGGATCGGACGGTCTAGGATGTGCTTCAGGTGTACCATCGCTCGCACATTAGTTGTGCTGCCCTGCGCCATGGAACGGGATGATCGGCTGGTTCTCGATGCGTCACAACTGTCCAATATCCATCTCTGGAATGACCTTGTGCAGCTTCAAGGTGTTCTCGCTCTCTGGCGGCATATGACACCGGATCATCCAGGTAGGGTCAGAACTCCGCACCGCGCATTGACCGTGAACGCCCTCTAGTAAATGGCGTCGACCAGCCCCAGGTGGTCTTCTGGCGTCGGGTGGTCAATCACTGACTGTACGACTTCCTTTAGGCTCTCCTCACAAACAGCGTCGAAATCGAGATGCCCATTGCATTTGAAGAGCTGGACAGCCACTGCAACAATGTGTGAGCGGAAACTGCGTAATGCTACATGGCCGACAAGCAGGTGCTCTGGATTCTTCTCTTCAGGGTTGTTACAAGTCCAGAACTTGGCATCACCATGCAGGGCACAGTCCAGATACTGGGAGGGAAGTGCATGCGTACGACGGTCTGCACGGCATTCATCTCGATGTGGAGGAATGCAGCACTGGAAAGATTCTGACCTCCGACAACAATGATTAGTCGCTTCTTGAACGCCGGTTTGCGAGGCATCTTCAGAAACTCGAGAAAGGTGTCTTCAAGTACGGCATACGTGCCTTCGATGGATACCTCCTCATGCTCGCAGATTGGCAAAGAGTACACAGTGTACTTCTTCTTGTTCTTGAACGTGCGCAAGGCGGAAACTCTAGCATCCTTGGGGCACTCGGGTCGTTCTTTTCGACACTTCTGAAGATCTCCTTGGTCTCTGCACCGAAGTCATACTGCAATGCCTCATGAATATGAAACTTGGAGATGGCCGGCATATGTGTGCCACGGATCATGTCGTGCACGACGTTGCCGATATTCATTGAGACGTCGAGGTGCAGCTTAGATTTGGTCAGCCCACCAAGAGGCATAGAGACGATGTGTGGGAATGTTGCGATGCAAGGGTGGTCATGTTGATCTACCCAGTCATATCACCACGACAGCATCCCGGCGCTTCTGCTGGCGATTGAAGTTGTCATACACGATGAACATGTTGAACTTCTTTGCCAACTTTCTGCAGCCGCAATACATGGACGATCAGCACGAGTCCTGTGTGACCAAGCAACAGCATACCCAACAAGCAGCATCTACATCGCATGGGATGAACAGCAAATGCCTATGTTGTTCAGTACCGCGATGATTCGAGCCGGCACGCCACTGGTGACCAGGAAGAAGCACATGGACACTGGACAGCACAGGAAATTTTGCCTAGTGCCATCGAGCTGACAATGATGGCGGTGATTATGGTCAGCCATCTACACCTCACCTCATACTTACCCTCGAAAGCTTCCTGGTTTTCTTTCCACCAAGCTCGCGTGTGAGGTACCATGTCGCGAATGGAGCTGTTCCATTTTGGTGCACGGAGTATGAGTATACACTCGATCTCCTTGACGTTCAGATCCCACACCCTGTTCTCGGATGAGTACCTGGTGACCAGTCAGGGTTGGAATAGATTGATGCCCTCGCCCTTGCTCATGCCCCATCAAGGCACTTGCTGCCGACAAGAGCCTTTGACTCATCTTGCATGACTCGAACGCTGACATGGCGCTGGTGAGGCACAACGTTTCTCCTGGCCTCCAGACGTCAACGATGGGTCCTCTTGCCTGGCTTGCCAAGGTGCTTCCTGATGAAGGACATCGGCTTCAATCTCTTGATTTTCATGAAGGCACGGAGATAGGGCCACCGCTCATGAGGTACACGCTGCTTGGACCGCGAAAGTCCGTCTTCTGGTGGCTCTTCTTTTTCCTCGGGCTCGTTCTTCTCATCTTGAATGTTCCCGCCAGCTGCCCCAGGCCGTCTCTCTTCTTCGCTCTGGAGCTTTTCTTCCTGGTCGATGGCTTCACCTGGATCCTCATTTTCCTCGTCAAGACCAGCACACCTTTTCCGCCTCGTCGTCCTCTTCAGCCTTTCTGGTAAGGCGACTTGGCAGCTCGACGGTGAGCTTGCTCATGCTGTCAAATGGAGTGGCTATAGTGAACGACTTCAGTGATGAGCGTGCGAGCGTGATTGTGTTGTCCAGAGAGATGGTTTTCTGGCTTTATGGCAATGATAATGGCAATGGCAAATGTCAGATGGAAGAGGGACTGGCCAGGGAGGACGATTGAGAGGTTCAGACTCAGGTCATTCCTATAGTCTTCGCGGTCAGTCGAAGACGTGGGGCCTGTTCGGAAGAGGGGTATCTCTCTGGCCGCAGTCCCGCGTGCCACGAGAGCACGAGGTGTCACAGACATGTCGTGCTATACAAGCGGTCCGAAAGCGCCCAATATCTTGCCCCAGGAGATTGTTCTTGACCATCATTGAGAACTGATATGTAGTCATTCGGCTTGGGCTTGCTTGACCTCTGCCGATTGGGGATACATCTGCACTGCACCGTCGCATGATGGTTGGATCCATACATTCTCGCATCTCAGTCGCACGCGCAATCGGCTCATCTTGTCAGAGTCGGTATCTCGTTGCATTCTCGCCCCCAGTGGGACTTTCGAAGATCAGCTGTCGTCTCAGACGCCGCATCTTTTCGTACAAGGACGCTGCTGTTTTTCGCACAATTTCGATAGGCCGCGTTTTCGAAGCACAGTTGCGCAGACGAGGCCTTTTCCAGCCAGCCTCCTGCCTTGATCAAGAGCGACGAGAACGTCAGCTACATGAACTGATTGAACTGTGTATAGTGATGAAGTTGGCAACGGTATTGGGCAAAATCCTGAAAACCCATATCCAAGAGTCGAGAAGACGGCCATAACCACGAACGGCCTCGAATATGGACGATACGCTCACCGTGGAGATGAACGTAGTCGTAGAGATAGGCATCATGCTGGAATCGAACCAGGCCATGGTCATAATCTGCCCATGTCCTTCGACGCGATCATGGGGCTTTCTTCGCACCTGTTGAAGACCCGAGACTTGACGAATGCATCAGATTCTTAAGTAGTGGATACATCAAGCAGCGCAAAGACGTCGTCGTGCCGTGCAGGGTGAGAAAGTGAATTGTGAGCGATGGGTTCAATAACAGCAGTGACTGGAACAGCAGCAAGACGGACGCTTGTTTGTACGGCAGAAGGGTTGCATACAGTGAAGATGATAATGTACTTTGCTCACAGCCTCGCCAACACCCAGTAGTTGACGAAAGAGCACCATTTGACGGCTTGAAGCTCCGAACAACTTCGGCGCCAGATCAGGCCTCTTCCTTCCAGCCTACGCACAACCCTTTCCTGCAATACAAGCCAAAGGCACAGCAACATCGAACTGTCTTCACGTAGCCACCACTGGCCCTCGTAGAACGAGAAAGAGCCGGCGATCTTGAATCGCAGAAGAGTCGCTGTTCGGCCGTCGCTCCAAGGCTGCAGGGTTGGTTCCCATCCACCGTTCGTTGTACGCAGAATCGTGTCGAAGGAGTATCGTCCGTTACCCCTACCATCATCATCGTCATCGTCGTCACCATTATCATACTCACGACCGAGGAAACGTTCTTCAAAAAGCACAATCCCATGGGATCATCTTCTGGAAGACGCTGCATCGCCGTTGGGAAACATGACGAGACCTCAGCTATGTGGCGCGGCATCACATTCGCCATCTGTGATTGCTGCTCGAGGCTCACAAAGCTTTCTCCCGGGAGTCATGCTAGGACACCACGTTGATTGGTGATCAGTACCCACTTCAATCTCCACTTCACTTGATGCCTGCTTCCAGACTATCCACGCACTATTCAGCACCCTCCTCCTCTGCGTTCTTGGTTAACTTCAGCAGTTTCGGAGATCCCCTCAAGGCAGGATCAAGTCGAAAAAACAATCTCGATCTCCACTTCACTTGATCTGAGCCGCGAGGATGGCATAAGGAGAGAACGAAGACATGATGACTGGCACGATGAGGGCTCTTGGTTACCTTCGGCAGTTCGGAGATGTCCTCAAGGCGCGACGGATGAAAAAGGAAGCCATCCTGAACCTGAATCTGACTTGATCTAAGCGGTGAGGATGGCATTAGAAGAGAACGAAGACACGATGACCGGCACGATGAGTGCCGTTCTGCATTTACAGGTTTGGTACTTTGGAATGAATACAGGAGCAGCATACGAAGGCGCGTCGTAAGCACATTCGTCTAAATTTCGTGGTGGCTTCCTCTCACGACACCTGCTTCCATACGCACTTTCTAACACTCTCATCTTCTGCGTCCCAGGGAAACCTAGGCAGTTTCAGTATTGATTGGGATGCTCATATTGCAGGCCTGGGAGGCCGGGGGGGCGACATATCCTGGCCGTCTCTTGATTGGTAGCACCTGCAAGAACGACAATGGAGCCAACATTTGCAGTCCAGATATGCAGTAAGGCGATTGCAAACGCGTGGAAAGCTGAGGACCCCGAAACTCCGAGGAAATCCACTATGCGTATCTTGGAGCTCAAGATGTGCCCAAGGCACTGACAGTGAAAGGCCAATGTACCCATGCAAGTCCATACTTATGTGAGTAGACTGGCGATCATGGTATTGGAGAACAGCAATTCTTCCCATGTTGTCGTTATGCCAATCTTCGACAAGTGTGCCTCTCGTGGCAGGGCAACATAGAAGAGAAGGTCAAATGCATGCGAGAATGCGTTGACTTCGATGAGCCAAGGTTGGAAGAGCAGTCGAGATGAGCAGGAGCGGGAGTGGGGAAGGTAGCGATAATGACGACTGGCCAAGGTTGCAAGAGAATGAGCGAGGAGCAGAAGAAAGTCCCGATGTCTCGCGACTGAGGGCGTACATGTAAGAGAGGGGGAGGAGCAGGAAGAGGTGCAGATGTCGGTGGACTAGGGTGGTCGAAAGAGAAGGACTATAGAGCAGGAGAATAGTGATGGGTACGAAGTTATATTATGAAGCGTTCAGAGTCGAGCTTGGCGGCCGGGCTGGAGTTTGCTCGATGTTTGCGCAGGATGTAGTTTAGTAGAGTTGGTTGAATTCCACGATCCTGGTTTTTGCCAGACGACAGAGTGGATCTCCCCGCGAGACGTCTGTGCCTTTAGGAGATGTTCGCACCAGAGAGAGCGGAGCAGACAAGTATCGACTTGCTGGCGTAGCTCATGCCGGGATCTGGAATGCCGTTACTGTCATCAGTATACGATCTCATTCAATCCGTCCAACTTCACACTCACCTTTGGAGCCTGGCGAGAATACATCTGACGTGTACGGCAACCTCTGCACCGTATTTCTTGGTCGATCTTGGGGAAGAAGCATAGAAGAAGACGAGCTCAGAATCCACATGAACCAGCTTACTGCAGCAGGAAGTGGAGTCCAGGTGCACGTTGGTGACGCTAGGAGGTACTGCATGGATGGACTCTACAATTTTTTTCGAGGTCCTTGCTCAGCCATGTTGGCAACATCAATGTCGAATCTATCAGTCTGTTGCACAATGCTTCGAAAACAACTCACGTCTCGCGCACAAACAGGTCGGGCCTACCAACTCCCACCGAGCGGCAGTGGCTCAACGATGGGACTGTCACGAAGGGGTCAGAGATATCATTCATAACAATGACGGCAGTGATACTCTTCATGGTCTGAACCCCTGGGCGGCTAAAGCTAGAGACTTTGTATTCTGAGATGTACATTTACATGCTGAGATGATTTCCATTCGTGTTTTCATTTCATAGACTCTCGATTGATGACGCTACTAAAGGCCGTTTCATTCATATCATGTGTTATATCCCAAGTCATCCGCAAGAGACACATTCTGAATGCCAAAGGGCGATGACTTGCCCTCTTCTCTCCTCGGATGTAATAGAATCGCGAACCCATCAGCGAGCCCACCCTTATCAGGCACGAAGATCTGAAGCCCTCGCATCAGACGATCCGTCCGAAGGCTTCACCTCACACAGAACCTCATTGAGCATTCTAACAAGATTCCTCAGCTCTCTTGCTGAAGGAATGACTAGGCCCTCTCTCAGTTTCTCTTTGATGCTGTCAAGCATAAGTTCAGCTGTTGCTGCTCGATTACCGCGGTCTCCATGCTTTAAAGCCCACAGATCTGCCACCTCTGTCTTGAACCGCTTGCGATCCGCATTGGTCGCATAGCCACTATGCAGGAATTGGACTCGGGCAGCGACATGATCTGGGATAAATGAGTCCGGCAGTTGGGATGCGGTCGGGGCCTGGCGTTGGATGTTCTCCTTCAGTTCGGCAATCTCTCCTCGAAGCTTGGGGATTAGGGCGAGAGTCTGATGCTTGTTGATACCCTTCTCCAGCTCGAGCTCGGACTGCAGTTGGGACTTTTCCCTCTCGAGATCGAACACTTGTGCTTCAATGCCCTCCATAGAGCTGACCTGAATCTCTAGCTCAGTGATTTCTTCCTTGAGCTTCTCAATCTCGGAATGATCGGGGGTGTTGTTGTTGGGAGTCTCCTTCGCAATATCGAGCTCCCGCTGCAGTTGAGAGATAGCAGCCTCTTTTGCAGCGATAACGCCCTCCAAATTGACATTCTCCTTGCGAAGAACGGCGACTTGTCGCTTCTGATCGCCGACGACCTTTGCTTGGGTCAGACGGGAAGCGCGGAGAGTTGATGCGGCGCCTTCGAGCTCATTGATTCTAGTGGTCAGCTTCGAGATTTCGTGCTTGTGTAGGCGGTTGGTGTTGGACTTTTCTTCTTCCAGCTCGCGAATCTTCGTATTCAGTTTGGCGATCTCAGTATTCCGAAGGTCGTTGCCCGCCTTAAGAATACGAGTCTCTGTAGTCAGCTTGAACAGTCCGTCGTTGTGGAGGTTGTTGTTCTCCTGCTTCTCCTGCTTCTCTCGCCCCAGTCGCTCGCTGGCCGCATTCCGTATCTCGACGCTGGCTACCTGGCCCTCCAAGTCTTTTTTCTCCTGCTCGGCCTGGTTCAAAGCTCGGCGAACGTTTCTTAGCTCGTCACTGAGCTGATTTGTAGCGAATGAGCTTTTACGACAACCCACCTCCTTCTTCTGGACCTCCATTTCTCTCTTCACTAGGTCCTTCTCCCTCCTCTCAACCTCCTTCACTTTCGTAGCTACATCCTTTTCTCTGCTCGCAACCTCCTTCTCTTTCTTGTAGATGTCCTTCTCTTTGTCTTTGACCTCCGTCATCGTCTTTTCAGCCTCTCGCCACTTCGTGTCGATCGTCCGGTCTTTCTCTCTTAGTGCGGCTTCAGTCTGGTTCAACCAGTCTGCATGTGCCTGGAGCTTATCACGCCACGTGGCAAGAGATTCGTAGTCGCTGTTCAAGTCTATGGCGTCCGCCTCCAGACTGCCAACACCTGCGACATTGTCCCAATCCTGAACACTCTCACCAGCCTCGCTGCCGTCCATTCCAGTATCGTCAACTCCAATACTTCCAAGAGATCCGGCATTGGCTTTGGATTGAGTCTCGGCCTTGAACATAGCGATATCATTTCCACTGTCGCTCTCGCTCTCGAGAAAAGTGTTGACTGCAAGATTCAAGAACTCTGTCCTAGATGCCAAGAGCCCGGCTGCCTTGTCCTCACTATTGAGTGCGAGCTTCAACTTCTTTCCTGTCCTTCTCTCCAAAAGTCCATACAGCAAATTGTGTCTGCGATACTGCTCTTTGCTGTCCCCCGTAGCCTCTTGAGTAGCAAGTGCGGCCGCATAGAGTTCGTTGAAAGAGTCTGGCGTGAAGATGTTGTCATTGTTTGCGGCGAGAGCTTTGTCGATGGCTTCGTAGTCATATGGGAGTTTCGGGGACTTCTTGCTGTACGGCATTGTGAGCTTATTGAGCAGCCACATGCATCGAACTGGTGCGGTGTTGTATGCTGTGATCCTATAGCGGTTTTCTTTTTGGGTAGTGTTGCCTGATGAGATATTGCTTGATGGAATGTCGTTGGATAATTGATTCCTGACGAGGTGTTGTGCTGTTCTCTGTTGTGATTCGTCTGACAGTAGATCCTGTGCGGTGTTGGTATAGCGTAGATGAGGAAGCAAGAATAATGCGAGAGATTTGGCCAAGATATACCCCAAGGCGAACACTTCTTGCTGTCCTGCTTTGCATGCTTTCAGCTTTTGTGATCCTGTATTAAGCTTGCTTTGCAAGTCAGCTTCCTTCAACTTCGTTCAAGAAGCGTGCTTCTTACCTGTCGAAAGCTTGCTTCCGCACTTGACAGCATGCTTGGACTTCTTCCAGTGCCTGTAGCAAGCGTGCTTTGGTTCTGAAAGCATGGTTCTTCGAGCTTTTGCTCCAGTGCTTCGCCGCATGCATGCTTTCCATTCATCCCTTCTACATAGAACTGTGCAATACGGGAACGCATCTGGACCTGAAGATGGGAGACCAGTACTCGAAGCCGTAGGACGCCGATGTTTTTCTCCTCGACACCTTGCAGAGTTTGAAGGTCCACACATGACTGCGTGCATCGTCAAACTGGACAGGCAGCAGCTGTCAGAGGCATTCGGTGCGCGGTGCGAAGGTCAATGAACGAGGACCTTTGGGATGCTCCTTCCAAAGCCATGCATGGTCATATTCTTGTCTCTGGCCGCAGAGGTGCAGCACGAGCGTTTATCTGATGACAGCCTTGACTCAAGCTTAGTGTCCGCAAATCTGGTACACTTTGTAGCAAGGAGATGTGTGACTTGCTCTCGCATTCCGAGACCTTGCCGAACTCAGCATGCCATACTGATCTGACAGGCAACCATGGGTGCATGCGGCAAGGCGAATGATCGTACGTAGGCGAATCGTACGACTTATTCAAACTCCTTGACCTGCTCCTTCCCTGGTTCTTTCGTGTTGTTGCAGGTACTGCATTCAGTCAACGAGTGGCTTCCTGGGCCTTCTGGAATCTCGGTAAGCCCACTGCGGCCAGTAAGGTGCGGCCCATATGCATTTCGTGATAATACGGCAGATACTCGATGTGTCCCTTTCTCGCTGTAGCAGTGTTAGGGTGGCGAGGATGGTAAGGATGGTGAGGATGGTAAGGATGGTGAGGATGGTGAGGATAGTAGGATGGTGAGGATGATGAGGATGGCGAATATGGCGAGGATGGCGTCCACTACGGAACTCAATTCTCCATACACGAAGGTCAGACCGGAGGTAGAAGTCTTCGCTGGTGATATGGAGGACTCTACGCCAACAAAAGACTTACTTCAGAGAGGTTCACGTGTCTTTCATGCCGTGAAGCTACAATGGCAATGACAGGCTGGGCCTTGGCTGTGGTCAGACATGTCGTGAAAGTTGGTTCTTTCCTCAGCGAGATGGTGAAAATCGTGTTTTACTACTCGATGTAGCTCGGCAAATTCAGCACCAACGATCTTCAACGCCGCCCAATGCTTTTTGGGTTGATACATTTCTCACGACTGGTGCTCCATATGGAATCCACACCCATACCTGCTTCGTCTAGACGGCCTTTCAGCCAAACTCGGGTTGAAGAACTCTGATACCGCCGGGTAACCCCTCTTGCCAACTCTTCCTTACCGGAGCCCGAAGGACTGATGTATGGGTCAAGGCGTGCGAGGCCAGTTTCACGAGCGTAGACCTTGCAGCTTTATAGAATGGGCAGGGGATGTTCCGTGACACCCCGTGAGACGAATCCATTCGATACCGGAAAATATCGCACGGAGAGCCTACGAGGCCAGAGTCTGCATAAGCCGGCGCACGGAGAGGGGTTGTCATGCCAAATCCTTAACGCTGTGCTGTGCATCTTCGAGGAGGTTGATGTTGCGCCGACCTCGATCGCTAGCGGAAAGGAGCAGGATGGTGCAACATACCGCTGGACGCTTTGAGTGGAGATCGCCACGCCGTGAGATGGGTCGAAGTTATGTTGGACTCACGATCTATCGTCTACAGGAAGAACAACGTGCCTTCTGACTGGGCTCCAAGCTTCGCCTACACGTCTGATAAAATGCGATACCCACACTTCTTGGTGTACCAGCTGGGAAGCTCGATATTTGACAATGTTTGTATGCTGACACGTACTAGGCAATACTTCAAAGTCCCAGTAGCAGATGCAGACAAGATGAAGAGCCGATGGAATAAATATTCAACGGGGATGGAGACAGTTTTCACCTGGAAGAAGTGGCCCTGGAAGTGCGAGGATACTCAAGGTGTGCATGCTTTAATACCGGACTGCGATGTCACATTGTTCTACATTTCTTATTCATACTCAAGCACAGGCGTGGGATCACCAATTTCCATTCCTGGCCCATCATCAGCAGCCAATGCCCGGTAGACCTGTCCATGAATCAAGTCCTCAACCAAATCCTGCCGCACTCTGACCTCGGACATAGTAACGCGACAGAATGGACACGGAACATCTGCTATGACGCCTGCAATCTCTCCTGTCTCTTCGTCGATGAGGTCGAGCCCGACCAGGTCCGCTGCTGTGACATTGGAGCTCTTGCTCGCCACGAGCTTGGCAAAGCAGGGCAGATGAAGGTGTTGGTGGCACTGGTGACATTCTACTGGATAGTTTAGGTCTTTGCATCGAGTGGGGTTGGTTTGATCAAGGCAGATACCGCAGGTGTGTGGCTGGGTGTCAGAGGTGACCGCTTGCATATTGTTGCCAGATGTGGAAGCCGTATCCCCAGCGAGGTCGAGGATGACTGAATTTTGGACCTGTGGAATCGTGTCAATGTCATTTTCAGAAGCGACAGACGGTTCATTTCATACCGGCACACGATGATGAAGGAGAAGGCATCTCGTGACCCACACCGCCAGCACGGCTTCACGAAGCATTATAGTATTGCAGCAAGTGTGGCAGGCAAGGGCATTCCAGATATTCTGAAAGCCGTCGTGCAGCTTCCAGAAGGGCAGTTTGGCGTCGAGGCTGGCCAGAACCAGGAAAACATTGCATTCGAACAATTTGTGGATAGTCATATTGGGGTGGCTCGCGCCATGGCAGCCCGGGCAGCGGTAGAGGCGAATCGAAAGAAACTCAGACATAGCTAGAGGATCCAGTGACAGAATTCTCAAGCTTTGGGATAGAGCAGTGCCGGAGGAGTGCTGGAGCGTTGTACAATGCTTGAGAGTTCCGGTCGAAGGAAGTGTGGTGGGAGATTGGCTTTTCAACCCACGGAAGCAGAGGGCTCCTTATATCCACGGGAAGCTGTCTCTCAAGCAGTCGACATGTTAAGCTTGCAGATACGACCTTGTCCAAAAGCAAGCCGAAAGATAACTTCTCCGAGCTAGCAAAGCCAGAAGCACGCTTCTCAAGCCGGAAGCATGCTTCAGAGGTAGAAAAAATGCTCATCGGGATAGAAGTAACCCAATTGATCCAGGACTGGGGTCGTCTATCGCGTCCAGATCTGAAAATGATGGCTATGGGAACTGCATCCTCATTCAGCTCACATGAATGAAATGAAAGAGTCTGCGACGTATCGTTGGCGATGAAGCAGTAGAAGCAGCCGAAGCGACTATTTCGCCCGGAGAAGGGAGCTTCCGTCTAAGCCGTGACGAAAACCCGACAGTAGCGGCAATGGCTTTTGCGTTGATGATCAGAGTTGGTGCCTTGTCGAATCGAAGTTTACCATAGTGTATCACCATGCAGGGCTTCAAGCGTGGTTATGCACTGCGTGCTACAAGTCTTGTTGGTAACTTGGCACATCTTGCTCAGTGAAGCAAGATGGATATTTTGAGCCCTGAACCGATACCAGGAAAGATGATATTGCTGGGCGCTGGCGCAACTGGTCGAACGGATATAGGTAGATGTTGAGGATCACTGGCAAGCGACAAGCGGCATAGTAAGTTGAAGTTCGGGTATGGGAGCACAGCCATTGTCCAGTCTTGGTCGTGAAGGCGTTACAGATTACATATTCGTCTAATTATTCATCATCGCACATTAACATGATCATCAAATCATACATGCTGTTCCAGTGAAGTCATCGCGTCCATAGTCAGACGTGGCAGTACATATACTCATTGTCACTGGCCATCCTCTCGCACGCTCAACCCCAGCCAATGGGTGCTGAACAAAAGCGATTTCCATCAGCGACATCCGCAGGCCGTTCCCCAAGACCTGCATGCCCAGCATACCCGAGTTATGCATCCCCTTGCTCGCCGACAGGAGCGCGCAGCATTTCCAAGATGGCTTTCGCCGCCTGAGTGTAGGCGGAACGGTACTGATCGACACTGGCGCGCAATGCTTGGAGCTGGTCGGCGTAGGAGGTCTGGTCCGCATTTAACGCTTGTCGTACTCTTCCTATGCGCTCGCGAAGCTCTCGCTGCTTGTTCTGGGCACTGTTGCGTTTGTCTTTGATGAGTTGCTCCATATGCTTCCTCATAATCGCCGAGTTGACTTTCGTCAGGTCTTCCTCGATTTCGGCAAGCTCGCGGTCCTTGGGAGGCTCCGTGTCCATAGCTTGCTTGAGCATTTCGCGAATGCGCTTGTTTTCGGTGTATGTGGTCTCGGCGGCGTTGACATGAGCGAGGTGGAACCTGAGACGATCTTTGTCCTCCTTCAGGATCTGTTCAATGAGTGGACCGGAGCTGGCTAGCTGCAGAGAAGTGTCGACGGACAGGGAGGGCACGGAGCGTGGCTTCGGCACCACTGGCGAAATTGGCGCGGCGAGGTAGTCCTGACATACAGAGACGAGCCGATCCCACGCGGCGACATGCACCCTGGAGGTAGGCGGCTGCAGCGGCGAAGATTCGAGGAAGTATGGCACCAGGATGGCTGCCACAGTGCTTGCGATGCTCTCCGACAAACTGAGCGACATTGGCACGTCGGTGATGACCGGCGCTGGTTCTGCTCGCTCCATCTCCGTCCGCATGGTGCGTACGTTGTTGTTCTCCTCTTCAGGACCAAAGTAGGCCATGATGAAGTGAGTGGGCTCGTTGTCGGAAGGTTTGCACCAAACAGCCCATCCGTTCACTGGCTCGGTCAGATCCAGGTACGCGGTCTTGGTGAGCGTGTCGTTGCAATGGTGCTCGTACTGGAACTCGTGCTGGCCGTTCGTGGTGAGCTGAGAGTCAGCCCGTGGGGTTAACGCGACGTGGCGAATGCCAAAGAGGCCGAGAGTAGACTGCAGGGCGGCAATGGTTACCGTCGCATCGCGCGTTGGAGGGGTGGGCGTGTGTGAGCCATAGACGCGCTGCTTTTTGGCTGCGGGCTCGGCCATGACGGTGGTAGCGTGATGCTGGTCACTGGTGGAAGTCGTACAGTTGTCGTCGCCTTCGTGGTCCTCCCCAGCGGCAGATCGGCGGGTGGTTGAAGACTCAGCGTGCGACGTCGTGAGAGTACGTGCAGAGGCAGGTCCAGATGCAGGTGCGCCACTTTGAGTTGCGGCTGTCGCTGCGGCTGCGGCTGCGGCTGCGGCTGCGGCTGCGGCTGCAGGGTTGCTCCGTGGCGGGGTGCAGCTGTCACCTTCGTATCGAGGACCGAAGCCAGAATCGTCTGGGCCAAGCTGGGTGTCGTCAAAGTCAAGGCCAAGCCCGCTGAAGCTGTCGTCGAGGCCATCTACCGAGGCGTCGCAGTCTGTGTGTCTCCCTCGCTCCATGTCGGGGCTTGCCGCGCTGGTATCTTTGTCTCCGCCATCAAATAGCTCGTCGTCGTTCTGACTGTGTTCACTGCCGGAGTCATCCTGTTCCAGCGAGTCATCATTCGTCTCTCTTGAGCATGAAGTCGATGTTCTCTTCTTGCTGGCGCTCGGCGACGCTGACTCTGCATCTTTCTTACCCTGTTCACTGGTGGTGTCATCCTGTTCTGGCGATTCATCGTGCGTCTCCTTTGAGCTTGAGGCCGATATTGACTTCTTGCCGCGGCTCGGCCGTGCATGAGACTTCGTACCCTTCTCTTTCACCCATCCACGATCCAAGAAGCTCTGCAATGCGTTCTTTGCGTCCTGATTGTGCCATTCTTGCCCCTGCCCCAGTGATCGGTCACGTAGCCGTACACCGCCGTTATTTCTTTTCTCACGCTCCTGCTGATTGTATACAAGAGAGCCGAGGGCTTCCTGGAATGTGAGGCTCAGGGTTGCATTTTCAGATGTCTTCCGGAGTAAAGACAGCGACTGCAGGCTGTCGGTGAAGCGATAGGCAGAGATCTCGTCGCCGAAAACGCCATACATCGTAAGTAGGCTGAGTCCCCAAGGCGTATACTTGAGCCTTGTAGCTGCCTTTGCCTTCGACGACTTTGGAATTTGTAGCGTATCGGGAAGTTCGCTGATCTGCCTCTCCAGACGCCCGCGCAGTTCAGCAGACATGAGTTTTTCGAGGTGCGAAGAGGTTCCGGAGCTGTCTACAGATGCCTTCCACAGCTCTCGGAAGCGCTTGAGAATCTCGGCGGACTCGATTTCCTGGCGATCTAGGGAGTGCTGTAATTTTTCCAGCGCTGTCGAGACAACCGCATCGCTGCTACTGTCGCCAGATTGTGAGAGCGGGTGGGCGGAGGACTTGTGTGGACTCCTGAGTCGTGCCATGGTAGCGTGGCTGGCCGCTGTCGCTCCGTTCAGATCTGTGTGTGCAGCCATTCAACGCCTCGGGGTGAAGGTGTCCAGCGGATAAGTTGCACCTACCCTGAGTAGCTGATGCCGGAGCTGAGCTTGCGGACCCTGATTCAGCCGACTTCCTTCCTCACCCCGGTAGAGTTCGCCTTGTGTTTGGGCGGGCTGCGTACCTGACAGCATGCATGTCATTGCATGGATGATTATGTCATTGCGTGGATGATGGGAGCCCGGGCCGAGGTCCGCTGCCGTTGGTTGCCAAGCCATCGACTTTCTCGCCCCCGGTATGAATGTCTTTCATTGACTTCTCGCACGTAGAATGTCTCTCATGCACTTCTTGCACAATGTCTCGCATGCAACCATGTCTCGCCGACGCCGATGCCTGCAGCGACCCTCTTCATTTCGTCCACCGCCAGAATGCATCCTCCAGCTTCTGCTTTCCATACTGGCCCCCGCTCACATTACTTCCTCCTCGCACGCCAAAATGCGTCTTACCATGACTATGCGCATGCATGTTGAGCACGCCGTCGACAAATATCACACTGCACTGCGAGTCGCATCGGTCTCTCTCATCATTTACGCCCTCGTCATCACCAGATCCCTTGTCCTTCTTGCCTTGGCGTCTTTTCTTGTAACCACGACCGCTTCCTGGTACTTGGAGCTCCTCCACCTTCCACGAATCCTCTCCTCGATCCGCGCCCGCTGCTTGCTCGCTTTTCTCCTCGTCAACTTCCTTCTCCCCGCTATACCTGTTGTCTACGTGCACCTTCATCCTCGAACATTATCCCAAGCCACCGGCTCCACCTCCGAACCGCCCGCAATCGCCGCCATCGCAACCATCCACACCCTTACAACGACCGGTATCCGAGAAAAGGATGCCGCCGTCGCCGACGACATTCGACTCACCCAACTCCTCTGGTGCAAGAGCATGGTAGCAGCCTGTCGTCTTCAGCCCCAACTGGCCCAAAACACGACCTTCACGAGAACATGGACATTCAATGCTACTCAGTTGCTTGGATATCGGGACCTGATGGGCACATCGCAATACGCCGAGTTGGAGAGACTTGGTGCAAGAGAACAAGGGTTGTGGTGCGATCCATGGGACTATTGCAAGCCTTCTCCGAAAGCACTCGAGCAGCAGAGAGGGGGCGATGCGAGCAGTGCTTGGAAGCAAGAGGCTATGCTGCATTTCCTGAACTTTGCCGAGCGTCTGGATGAGATTCAGTGGCACAAGATTCACACCGTCAGTCTTTTGAACTCCGGCTTGGACCTTGGGATGAGTGTTAGGGAAGCTTGGGTCAAAAGGACCATAAGTCGCCTCGACGAGATGGATGAGCGACGAAAGAACATGCAGAAAGGCTCGAGAGAGTTGGTTGAATCAGGATGGCAATGGTGCTGGCCGTTTGCGGCGAGCATCGGCACTGGTAGGCTGATGTGGAACATTGTTTCCGAGGGAACATGGCAGAGAGCGAAGACGTGGATCCTGGGAGTCTTAGTGGGTGGAGAATGGTCGATGGAGCCTGGCGATGCGAGACTCCACGCTGAGACTCAATGGGCCAGCGACGACTGTGAAGATTTTGTGGCTTTTCAGGAATCTGTCAACATCATGAAAGACATGGTAGTGCAAGACCGCGCAGAGCTTGACGCAATCAAGGACGGAATCACTTCTCTCTTGACGCACAGCGGAGAAGACTTCGATGCACTCGAGACCTGGCTGAGAAGCGTGGCAGACGAGGTAGTTGGGAACTTGACAACTTGGCATGTTTGGGACCACGCGAGTGCCGGACTGAATGGGCTCAGGAGAGAGATTGACGCGCTGTCTGGGGAGGATGCGAGGAACATGAGGTGGCAAGAGCGGTATTTGGTTGAGGATTCAGAGTGGTGGAAGAGGGCGCTTGCGGATGGAAGGCTGGGAACATAAGCAGTGTCAACACCATGCTTCTCTACGTAGCTGAACAAGACGATGCAGAGATTGTTTGGTCATGTTCGTAAAGGCCTTCAAGATCGTGCTGATTCTTGAGACTCGTGGTCGCTCTACAATTCTTGCTATGACCTCGGGAGTTGGTCAGTCGTCGAAGCGGACCTTGATGGGTTCCAAGTCTACATTGTTATCGAGAGAAACCCATTGATTCTTACCTTCCGACTTTGCATGGTAGCTGCAAGAATTGACATGTGCATTGAGACCACCAACAACGTCTTCTTCACCGGCCGCGCGATCATCGTCGGACAACGTGCGGTCATCATTGAGCTCTCCCGGCTCTGGTGCCGGGTTCGATGAGCCGTGGAGTGTCGGTCTCCGCTCACTGGCAACATTTCCATGAAGTGCAACAGAAAGTTCATGCTTGATGAGACCGGACCATTGTCGTAGCCGTATGGAGGGAGACACTGCACGGATTTCTGTTGGAGGGAACCAATAATCACTATTTGTTCATCGTCGCATCTGTCATCATGTTTACAAGTCTTGTTGGCTTGCGAGCGGCTTGGTATATCTGTCAAAATTTCATCGAAAAGGCCTTGAATACGTACACCCAGCCCCACTGCGGCTTCCTGGCAGGACAGAAAAGCCTGAGTCTAATGTGCTTTCGACTGCGAAAGCTTTGGTCTTGTTGCTGCTGTTGTAGTAATTGGAGGCAGGCCTCATTGCTGCAGCAGATTACCAACCCGTTGTCTACGTACTGGGATTGATCTTTATCTTCGGCCCCAGGCTCCGTAAGGCGCGCCTCGATGTCCTTGTTCTATGACTATGGCTATGAGACGTCCAGGGTGGCCTGCTGAGCGCCACCGCCTGCCAACACCCGTCAAATGTCTGATGCAGTCTTCCTGTCTCATCATTGTTCGTCGACCCGATGTGAGTCTGTTGCTCTCATTTTGCCTCCTGCTCTTTGCTTGCAAGCCCCGTGCCTGGGCCCGGACCTGCGCGATATCCTGAGTCTTGCGCTAGGCGTGGCGTCAAGCGGTTTCTTGTTGACGAAAAAGTACACCATGCGCGAGCAAGTTGTCGCGGCGAGTCGTGAGTGTTATGCTGAGACAGACTTGACAGGAATGGGAATACGTGGGAGCTTCAGATCGCGGCACTTGGATCATGTGAGGCCCCTCGGATCGTGATCCTGCGATCCGAGTCGCTCCACGCGTTTGGTGCTGAGACAGACTTGATACGCGGAATGGGAATATCCGGGGTTGCGTCAGCCACTTCACCCCTCGCCTGCGCTCGGGGATTTCGGCTATACGTAAAATCGCGATTTGTTAGTAGGCCACACGTAAATCTCGACGCCAGCGTACATTATATAGTGTATAAGATAGGAAATCGATAGTGCGTACGATTATAGTTAAGAAGCAGTAGTTTTCGAGCAAATTACGACCGTATTATAGTTAATATACCTATTCTTATCGCCTTAGCGCGTACCTCGCATCGACTATATAATTAATTACTGTACAGGTTAGCCTATATATCACTACCGCCTCTTTAGTAAATAGTTAACTACTATAGCTATTGTCTTGTATGTCTTCTAGCTTAATAGGGTCGTTCTTGCTACTAGCAACTAAGCCCTTATAACGACTAGTTTTCTTCGGACCTTCGTAGAAATACCGCTTCCGCTATACAGACTCTTAACGGCGACGAGGATGTACTAGATAAGGCTAAATTATAGTGTATATAGTATCCTTATTAAGTAGCGCCTTATCTTATTGCAACTAGTCTAGTCGGGTATTAGGCTCTTACGCGAATAAGCCGTTTAATCGCCGCTTTAACTTAACGTTAGTCTAGGTTAGAAGGTTACCTTCTTCGTGTTCGTAGGTGCGGCTCGGCAGTAATAGTGTCTATACCTAGCTCTACGTATAGGTAATGTCGCCGCCGTCGGAGGTATAAGTATATCGCTTGTATTCGCTAATAATATTAGCGTACGGATTACCGGTCTTCTTTACCGAGTCGTTGTTAGTAATAGTAGTAGTAAGAAGCCGAAGGTCGAAGGTACGTTATAGTAGCTTGTCGATAGGCTATAATATAACGTCTATAAACTTAGTCTTACTATTATTATTAAATACAATACGAAAGGCCTCGCTATACTTTAGTCGATATTAGCGTGCCTTGTTATATAGGGACTTAGCCTTACGGAGCATCTTCTAGTAGCAATTGTTAGCTATTTCCTTGTCTTGCTAAGTGAGTTGTAAGCGTAGTTTAGAAGCCTTAATCGTACTAGCTCGAATAAGCCTATTTAGTTGCTCCTTCTAGCGCTTCCTTACGCGTTTAACGAGGCTTATAGACTTGTATTTACGCTTATATTCTTTACCCTTATAGATAGCCGCATCGACTAATATGTTATAGATAGCTTCTGCTTGCTTTATAGGTAATAAGGAGAATAGATTGAATAAGGATAATATAGTATCGATACTAAGTAGTGCGGTCTTTAGATAGCGACGTCGGAAGTCCTTGCGAGCTTATATAGCACTACGAGATGCCTAGATCGTACGAGGGCTAGTAGTAGTAACTAGCAACTATTGTAGCAATTCGGGTGTTAGCGTCCGGATCGGCTAAGGTAGTAAAGATAGCATGCCCTAAGCAATTATATTCTCGAGATCCCTTAAATAGTAACGACTATTAGCGCGGTGCTACCTATCTAGATCGATAATATTAGGGTTAGGCGAACGTTTACGCTTAACCGATGCGAGGTGTTCCTACTAAGCGGCATCTGCTATTGCAAGCGATTCTTCGTATCGGGCTTCCTCCTACGCTAATTCGCCCTCGATTACCTACTAGTTCCAATTGTAGTCTATAGCGCTATACTAATCTCGAATGTAACGACAAGGAACCTCTCTATTAATTAGGAACAAGCCTATCTTACGGAATGCGGCCCTTATATTATAGTTAGTAAATGTCTTTACCCGAATAGCTAAAAGGGCTTCTATAAACTTAGGAATACCAAATTCACTAACACTACGGTGTGTAGCCTCTAAGACCGCTTGTCTATGCTTTAACTTATATACTTAGAATAGTATAACGTCGAGAGGCTATATAAAGTGCGAAGTATATAGTTATAGGCCCTATAATTGAATTTTATAGCGCTTCGCGAAGGCCGCGAATTCCTTAAAGCAGTAGGAGCTATAATTGTCGTATAGTAGCACCCTCTATTCGTTTGGGTCCTTAGGTCTCGTCTTGCGCTCAAACTAATAGATATAGTGTATAGCAGTGTCGTCCGTTATATAACTAGACTCGTTAACAGTAATTAAGAAGTTGTCCTTGCCTAATAACGAGGGTATAGTTAGTAAGTAACGTTGTTATTGCCTTAGGCAATAGACTCGGTCTCGGCAATAGACTTACCTTCTTTTAGTATCTAACGCTCTTAAACTATTATACCTTTAACAATCAATTGATATTCAATTACCTCGCCGTACGCGTTAACGGTCTCGACTATAGTTATATGCGTACGATTAGTGTCGCATTTAGTCTAGGCGCGCCGCTTCGTGTCTATTGTAACTACGTATTCGTTGCTACTAATACTAATCCGAAAACCGGTTTCGTCGAAATTCTATATATTCCGCGGCTTTATACCTAGTCGCTCTACTATCGCCTTAAACCGATTAAACTACGCCCTTATCGTCGAAGGGTTATAGGCTTCCTTACGCTGCTTCTTAATAGGTTTAGACTTTACCTTACTAAGGTTATGCCGAGCTAGGAATCGTTTAGCCTAGTTACTACCGAATAGTAGTATAACCTTATTAGGCGACATTCTCTTTAGTATGTCTATAGCAATAACGCTAATTAGCGCTACCGGTAAGAATATCCCTATTTCGTCCCTCTCTCGATAATAATCCGCTAGCGCTAGCTCTTAAGCCTCTATTAACTTAGTATTAGTCGGCGGCCGCGATAGGAGCGATAGACGGCCTCTTAATCGCTAGTATATTCGCGAATATAGGTCGGTTGCCCTCTTAATCCTATATACCTCTCGTATACTAAGATTGACTGATTTAGCCTATAGTTTATAGTATCTCGAAACGACGCGTTCTACTACCCTTTCCGCCCTCTCCGTCTCGGTTAACCGCTTAGTACGCACCCTCTTCGCCTTTTTGCCTTTTTTACGCCCTATAGCTACGATTGTATACAATCCGTATAGTAGAAGAGAAGGAATAGAAGAATACGCGCTTTAGAATGAGGTAGACGCGCCTGCTAAGGATTATATAAGAAAATAGCGGCAGTGAGGTCTATAGCTACTATACACTCGTATAAGGCTATCTATATAATATTTAGACTCGCGGTTTATAACAGTATCTACCTAGATATCCGAATAGGACTAGAAAGTACGATTATATCGAGATTTACGTATAGCCTACTAACAAATCGCGATTTTACGTATAGCCCATTTCCCCGCGATTAGCGGGCGTAGAGTAACTAACGAAACCCCGGATACGTAGGAGCTTTAGATCGCGGCAGTTAGATTATATAAGGCCCCTCGGATCGCGATCCTACGATCCGAGTCGCTCTATAACGAGCTTGAACTTCTACGACTATCGATATACGAATTTTACAACAAACTAAGTTTTTCTTTTCTAATGTCCCTACGGCTTTTATAGGGCTGTTCTTAATACGGGACAGTAGATTAGGCAACAATGGCCGTCTTTAGTGCTATAGGCAGGCGGTCGAGGTTAGAGGAAATTTCGTCTTTCGGGGTTTCTCCGTTGCCGATGCTTATAGAAGGGCGGTCTTTCCCGTATTAAGCCTATAAGCTTTTCTTATACAGTGTGACCCTATTTATATTAAATAACAGCTCGATTAGCTCGCATAGGACTAGATGTTATATCCGTCTAATATTAGAGACTCCCGAAGCCTTAGTAGACCTACCGGCAGCGAGGATTGCTCCTAACGCTACCGAAATTAAGAGATTATTGTTAAAGTCCTATCGAGAACCTTAATAAGAGGTCCTAAATAAAGCTACATTATACTTGCTTCTAGATTTCGACTATAGATGCCCTACGCTACTGTCTTTATCGGGTTTATAATACGGCATTTGTTTCGGATAAATGCGAGTATAGTAAAGCTACCTTTTAGCATAATAAGGGCCTAATAAGAGCTCTAAGGGCACCTATATTGAATTGTATAGTAGTAGTATAGGCTGAACTGTGTTATATTCGTTATATTCTATCTAAACTAGTAACTATCCTAGGTATATATATATTTAGTCCTTCCTATTATCGAGTATCCTTACTATTGTTAGCTACTCCGACAATAGTATCGGTATATCCGATAGTTCTAGAGGCGCCGTATTACGCCTCGTAATCTTATTTCTTTATATATAGAGGCTGTATATATATAAAGAAGGATATAAGGACAAAGCAGCCCGAAATTATTATTTACTCGCTTTGAGGCTAACAAAGCTTATTTCTAAGACACCCCCGTAAGCGGTAGATAGCCGATAAACAATCCTATTATATAGAATCGTAGGTTTTGTCGTACTTCGAGGGAATAAAGTATTGTTTAGTAGATTTTTGGTTTCCCTAGATTTCCCCGGACTAACTAGGCTTAATCCGGTAATTTTCCGCAAAGTCTCTTCCGACGTTACCTCGTCGTTTTATAGAGAGTCTTTTTCGACCGTTAGTTTAATACTATTAGATAGTCGTATAACACCCTAAGTATATAGATCTAGGAAGTTTTATACGTAGAATCGAATAGTATACTCGGTTTTGTTCTAGGGTTAGGAGTTCTATAGTAAATAGAACATAAGTATACGTACTCTTCTATAGAGTATATTACGTATATCTTTTTATTTTCTAGGGCAGTTTCGATTCTAGACGGTTGCTTAAGTCCTTATAGGCCTAATAAATCCTTTAGTCTAGTAAATATAGGTGCCGATAGTGCCTTAGTTAGTAGATCGGCGATTTGATCTTTTGTATTTATATATACTAGAGATATTACTTTGTTTTCAAGTAGTTCTCTTATATAATAATATCGTATATCGATATGTTTTGTCCTAGAGTGATGCTCTAGATTTTGTGCTAGTGCTATAGCACTTTAGCTATCGGTAGCTATAGTATTTCCTTCTAGATTTATATCTAAGGATACTATTAAATTAGATAGGAATTGGTATTCCCGAGTAGCTTCCGTTAGAGCTATATATTCAGCCTCGCAACTACTAAGCGCTACGGTCTTTTAGAGCTTACTAACCTAAGATACCGGTGCCTTATCGCCTATCGTAAAGATATACGCCGTAGTTGATTTTCGGTTATCTAAATTGCCCCCGTAATCGGAGTCGTAGTAACCTTTAAGAAGCGGCGGACGATTAGCCCGATAAAC